AATGGTTTCTGCTGATACAGTATCGATTTCACAACATCTGCTATTGTCATCCCGCTTTGGTTTTGGCCTGGCCTTGGCCATGAGTTTGGCAGGCCAGATTTTATACTAGACCATTTTGAGAAAACTTTGAGAAATATATAACGTACAACGGTGGTAAAATCATTGCTATAATATAGGTATAACACAGTTTACCCGCTCCGGGTGTGAGGGAGGGGTGTGGGGCAATGAGTGCACTGACGTGGCGCCCTCGGAAGGCCGGTATCTATGGGATTAAAGCTCAGCGACACTAAGGGCTTGTCTGATGCATTTGGTTATCGGTAGCACCCTCAGAATCACCGGCGTATAGGGCCCTCAGAACCGCCGGTAAGGGGCCTTTAGAGGCATGGGTATGGGCCGCCAATCGCCATGCAGGTGCTGGTTCGGGCGCACAGAGGTGCTAGTGTGATTCTCTCAGAGGCGCCGGTGAGGGTCCTTACAGGCGTTGCTCTGGGATCTCATAGACGCTGGTGTGGAGCCGTTACAGACGGGTGTGGGGTCTTTAGAGCTGCTGACGCGAACCCTCTACAAACCAACAGGGGGTTCTCAGTGACCGGCACGGGGCCCCTAGGCCGGCAGAAGAAGTCTTGTGGGGTCCTTAGAGGCCGGCATGGTACTGTCAGACGCCGGTGGGGCCCTCAGGGCTCAGAGTCACCGGTGTGGGGCCCTCAAAAGTTTCCAGTGGGTGGCCTTTAGATGCGCAGGTGTTGACTGTTGGGTCCTCAGAGCCGCCGATATAGGGCTTTAAAAGGCACTGGTATAGGCACTCAGAGTTGGGGGTGTGAAACGCTCAGAGACACCGGTGTGGGCACTCATAGGCGCCGATGAGGGCCCCCACAGTTGCCGTTATGGGACCCTCGGAAAAATAAATGTGTGACCATCACAGGCGGGAAATGCCCCTAGAACTGGCCCCTCATAGGCCGGTAAGAACTCTCAGAGGCCAGTAACGGGCCTTTGGAGACCACCGAGGGGCCCTTAAAATCTGCAAGATTCCCTCAGAAGCCGGCGTGGGGCCCTTGTTGAGATTTTAGTGTGGTTATTTAGGGCCCATAAGGTGCTCTAACGAGACCTATGAGGCCATTCTGAGTCGAAATATGGCCATCGTTAACCCTCGGCGGTCAAATGGCACCGCAGGGTCCCTTTCAACCCGATGGGTGGGGGGGGGGGGGGTACGTGTCCCCTTAGACCCCTAACTACGCCACTGCTTCATATGCATCATGTCAGGCATTTTAGGCTCGCCCCCCCCCCCCCCCCAACTTGAAAATCGTTCCCGGGCCCCTGATCACCCCTGCTATAATAACCACCTACCACCCAGAACACCCGTGACATGCCGGTTGTTCAGGGACATCACGAACTTTACGACCTAAGTGATCAGCTATAACAGATCAGCCGAATACGATACACATATGGTGTACTGTATGATCGACGATCGGACTCACAGTGACATTGCATATGGTTAATGCGATTCATTTATTATTAATTGTTGATTATATTTTGAGTTATTTTTAAGTTACGATGCCGTCCCATGGCCGGTCTCACGTTCATATTCGGGTTTGGCTGGGCGGACCGGGACGGGCCGGCCCGGGCCGGCCGGAGGTACACCCGTTTACCGGCGTGACGTCACGACACGGTCCGTCACACCCGGTTCCGTCACGTCACGTCCGCTTTACGTGATCCCCGCGGACGGGTGCGGTGTATGGTGATCACGTGCGTCCTGTCTATTACACTTGGACTCTAGCACTCGGGCCAAACGTGCGATGAGTGATCAGACAATTCAGACCGTGCGCAATATGACGAGAGATAACAGAGTTTGTGTATAATTACAAGGAATTCATGCGTGAAAGATGACTGATTTAGTATTTGGTATTCGTTCAAATAATTGACCGATTTTTTACATGGTATACCATCTGATGGGTCTGTGGGCATGTTTTCCACACACACATACTCGTAAATGATTTAGTCCCCACATGGAGCGGCTGGGTCCACGTCAGGGTCGTGAGTTATGGTCCTCTTCTGTCTGCTCTGACGGCGCCATGTGAGTGTGACTGAGAGACCGGCCCAGGCCCATTCCCCGGCCTTGGTACGGGGCGGACCCGTTGCTCTCCGTCCAGTTGCAAAACTTCATGTTTCTAAATGTTTTGTGCGGTTCTTGTTCATCGTCGGTTTACAAGGGCGATTACGGCTTTCACGAAGATCGTTCACATCTTGCAGCTCACCGCGTGTTTTCCCCAGAGTGTATGTGGGTTTTATGCTGCCTTTTTAGCTTTATATTATGTTATTTCTTCGTCAGGGCGTTTGTGGGAGTGATGGTGGCGATCAGTATCGCGTGGATCCCTCTGATCGACAAGGCGCAGGGTGGCCAGCTCTTCCTGTACATCCAGTCGATCGCCGCCTACCTGGCTCCGCCCATCGCCGCCGTCTACACCATGGCCGTCCTCTGGAGCCGGATGAACGAGACGGTACGACCCAGGAGGGGGAGAGGGGGCTACGAGCGGGGGGGGGGCTAGGAGGTCGGTACGGACCGGTGGAGCCTGACATTGCTTTTTTATTCATTGTCCTGTCCTTTACCTGTCTATCAGTTCGCTGTATATACCTGGTATACTCGTATACACTCATACAGTGCACGCTACTGTGTCCAGCAATTACCGTCTTGTCCACTTTCCAGTTCGGTTGCTCTATTCATTAGGTACTGCTGCTCGGCACTCAATGCTCAGAACTGACTGTTCAAACACAGCGACCCTTCACAGCACCTGACGCCCGTCTGACCTTGCAGGGGGCCTTCTGGGGCCTGATGAGCGGCTTCGTGGTGGGCGTCGCCCGCATGGTGCTCGACTTTGTCTACATGTTCGACGCGCCCAAGTGCTGGGAGACCGAGGACACCAGACCGGCGATCGTGGCCAAGGCAAGTCTCGAGAACTGCTGGAAGTCAACTGCTGCGGGAACTTTGGGGATTCTCGATAAAAAGAGTCGCTACTGATGAGTATTGAAGTAATCTTGCTATAACCTACTGATAAGACATAAGTAGTAATCTTGTTTGTAATAACCAGCAAGGTCCTCCACCATCGGAGGTAATCGCTTCGCACTACGCTGGAGTCAGGGCTGAGGAAGTAGTGGTAATAGACATTCACTCGTGTTCCCCAGATGCACTACATGTACTTTGCGATGCTGCTGTTCTGGCTGACGGGCGTGGTGGCGGCGGTGGTGTCGCTGGCCACCCCGGCGCCCGAGGACTGGCGCACCGTGCGCACCACCTTCTTCACACGGTTCTCGGAGCAGCAGCGGGAGGACGAGCTGGAGCCGCAGCCGCCGGCCGACGAGGACAAGCACACCATGCAGCTGGAGGAGGAGGAGATGGCGGGTGGGTGGAGAGCGGCGTGCACGCGGGCATGGACCGGTACCAGGGGAACGGGAGGGTGGTGGGACGTACATTGATTGCTGACAAGGCAGCTGGCTGGTGGGGGCAGCTGGCTGGTGGATCCCTGTTCTCACTCTGACCCCGATCGTATCTGCTCACAGCTGCGCCGGCGTGGCGGCGCGCCTACGACTGGGTGTGCGGCCACGAGAGCGCCGCCGAGGAGCGTGTGCACGCCGCTGAGCTGCAGCGTCACCTGGCCGAGGTTAGCAGCATCCAGCAGCCGCGCCGCGAGCGGCTGCTGCTCAACACCCTGCTGGTGCTCGTGCTGGCCACTGGCGTCGGCCTGCTGGCCTTCTTCACCGTCAGCCCGTTCAGCGCTGATCAGTACCGGCGCGCGCAGGCGGCCAAACTCCAGTCCATGGGCTACCCGTCGCCGTGGCCGGAGGACGAGCTCTAGCCGGCGGCCGCGCCGCGCCGGAGGCCAGACGGGGAGGTGCCGCGCCGGAGGGAGGTGCCGCGGCGGCCTGCGGAGGGCGGAGAGTGGTCAGTTGTCTGTCCATCTTGGCGAGGGCGGTGGCGATTCCGATCGAGCCGAACTGAGTACCTGTGCGATGGTGGATGGGGACCAGCGGCGGCCCGAGTCGCCCGGTGAACTGTACCCGGCAGCTCGTTGTCGCTATGATCCAAGTCGCGAGGTCACTGGCGTAGCGTGATCAACAGCGCCACAGCCGCACGACCGGAGCAGCTCGCAACTACCGGTGATTTAAGACGATCATAGATGGCACTGAGGTACCCGAGCCTGTCCTCAGACAGGTGAGGTCACCTCCGGCCAGGAAATCTGTCCTTCAGCTCATACTCGTAGCCTTTAGCCAGTGATAAAGAGAGGAGATTAGCGAACATCATACCAGTACGTCGGTTTGTCGCTATATCAGGAGTGGTGGTTACTGTGGGGCCAGACTACTGCCTGACTTCGTGAGAAGCTTGAGAAGCACCTTTTTAGCTGCCGTGACGTTTCTGCTGTCAAATCGTGAGATACGTTCCATCCGAGACGGCCGCGAGTCCCGTGAGTCGGCGGCGACTATCTGTCACCTGTGGGCACCGCCAAGGTCAGGAGCTACCCGGGCCGTTGGAACGCTCCAAACTCTCAATGTGACGCTGGTAGCTTGTACCTGAGTGTTATGTCTGCTGTGGACCTGCGGCTTGTTTTCAGGCACAATCGGCTGTCCTGTAGTTTGTATGTGAAGGTGTGTGTCGCACCATTTTCCGAGTGGTCGTCACTGTTCTTCGTAAGAACGTGTTTTATACAAGTGATTTCCAGCGACGCGTTTAAGATGGATGAGTTACTTCTAGCGGCATTGTCAGAGTGCCGATATTTACGTTAAGGTAAGGTCCAGGAGAGCTCTGCGAGTAGTGGAGCTCACCGTGGTAAAGTAAAGGTGTCGTGTTTTAGTTGTAGTCACTTAGAAACCCGTAGATAGCAGCAGCGCACAAGATAATAACCCTGCGCCATCTGTACTCTGTGTACTATCCGTCCCCTCCCTTAGTCACTAACGTAAGGCGCAATTAACCAATAACCTGTCGTTCATGTAACCGGTGCACACTATAACAATCCCAGTGGGAAGGGCCGGCGCGGTTTCGGTGGGCGAGCACCGCTCGACTGGCAGCTATTAGTTGACACTGGCGAAATGGTAGCCCACGGAGACCAGGAGTACTTAATAAATGTATCGGCAAGCACTAAACGGAGTTTCAACCAATTCAGCCACGGAACATGAGCGAAACCTCCCGGTAGCGCCGCATACAGCTTAGTGTCGAGGGAAAAGCTAGCAATTATGCACATCGCACAACGCTCTCTACTTTACGACATATGAGCGACTGAACGGCGGTGTCCTGATGAACTGGGAAGGTTCTAGCGGCAGCATTCTGAAAATGCTAGGGTCGCTAGTCTCCATGCAGAGTAACGAGGTGGAATGGTGCCGTCACGACACTGGGGACATGCTTCCATGCCCGAAAGGTCAGCAACACAAGTTCGACATTAGAACGCGACCGGACCGACCAACCACGAACAATGATTATTGAGTTTGGAGTTCCATCACGTCCTAGGGGAAACACCATCGACGTTAGGACACCACCTGCTCAAGTGGTCAGTGTCCTATTTCATGACCAAGACTAGCTGTGCTGCTGGTCGTTAGCGCTGATTCCAACGGCGAAGGCCCAACAGAAAAGTGAAATGCAAGGTTGCAAGGGCATGCGAATTGTACGTAGTGTTATCATGAGACTAAATACAATGACTTTGAGATGTTTGTAGAAAATCATGAGCTTTTATAGGTAATTTATTGTTACTGCCTTACTAGGCATCTGTCTGAAACATTGCCAAGCATAGCTGAAACGTCAACAGCAACAAGCATACGAGCAGTGATAATTGTTGATTGGCAGCGAACTTCAGCCAGCATATTAATGTGCTTTTGGAAGCAAAATAAGCAGATCCAGTGAGGCACCATAAGCAGATTTCTCCCAAAGATACATCCACTGTTATAACATAACTCCAGAAAAGTTTAGAGGGTGTGTTTAAGAAAATGCATCAGCATTTCCATAGCAGGCAGTTGAACTAGTTGGACAGACTATCCTATCTCCTGCTATGAACACAAACTGCACACTCAAGTGGCCAGCATACCACTCACAGCACTAGGCAATGTCAGTTTTCTCACATCTGCTGCAGAGTGCAGAATGCCTAATGATAACTCCAATTCTGGCTACTGTCAATCAGTTCTCACTAAGAGGGAAATAGACATAGAGGACAAAAACAAGATCAGATAAAATGAACTGTCATCTATATGGAAGGTACACTTTCACAGTGTGACCATCTCAAAATATATACCAGATATCAGTTATCACTCTCTTCATCTCCACATTTTGCCATGCTAAGGTATGGTCTGCACAAGGCAGCTGCCACAGCTTGCCACACCAGACCCAACAAGCATGAGTCACAGTCCACCTCTATAGAGTAAAAGTAGTATGAACCCAACAAGCAGAATAGTGAGACATTACTTCTTCTTCTTCAGTGCCTCAAACCTCTTTGTGAGGTCATCAAAGTTGGTCTCATCATCCGTGCCTGGCGGCGGTAGGTTGGGGACGCCACCATGAGGGCTAGGTAGTCCAAAGGTGTTCGGTCCAGCAGGGACATCAGGCAGGTTCAGGGCATCATCTGTGCTGGTTCTCGGGGCTGGTGTAGGGTAGTTGAAGTTGACGTTTGAGGTCTTCTCTTGACGTTCAGGCTCTGAGGGCACAGACTTGACAGCATAAGGATTGTATGGAGCTTCAGGGAGCGGATACTGCATTCCAGTGCCACTGGGCGCGCTCATGGTCTTTGGGTCCACGAAGCCCAGGGGAGGCGGTGGCCCAGAACCATTGGATGGGACACCTGGCAGGTTGAATGCTGCAGATCCTGTGGGCTCAGGGAAACCACCACCGGCACCTCCACTGCTCCCACCTGCACCATCTCCCCTGTTATCTTCGTCATCATTCAGGTTGATGAGCATTCCATCAGAGTTGACCACTCCCTCATTTGCCATCACTCCTGGGTCTGGCTCGTACTCCACATTGTAGTTCTTTGCTATCTCGATCAAATACTTTTCAACCAGAATCTTTGGAGGAGCCTGCACTGACAGTTTGTGCATCAGCTTTGGAGAAACTGTGCCCAAACTGTTTTCTCTGCATGCCTGCAAGTACTCCTTGCCATACTTAGCGGTCAGCTGAGCTGAGATGACCTGCAGCTCCGCCACATCAGCCTGCATCCGTGGCGCCACCCACAAGATGCTTGATATTGGCTCCGCAAGACCCTCATCCAGAGTTTTCATCTGCTGGATGAGTCCCATTCTGGCCAGAAGCATATCACAGTAACATTCAACTATCTCCATTGCCTCCACCAGGTAGTCTTCACGAATAATGTGCTCAACTCTGATCTTTGCTCTTTCTGCTTTCCCTGCCACAATATAGTCTGTGATTTCTTTCCTTGCTTTCTGGGCCAACTCTGTCTTTTTCTTTTCCAAAAGTTTTAATCTGTTGACTGCCAATCTCAGATTGGTCTTCAATTTGTTGTAGTTGGGTCCCGAACTGAACATTTTGGACTGTAGCCAGCTACGGAGAGAAGCAGGACTCAAATCGAAATGCTCCCGTCTGTAAGAGCGGTATCAATAAATTGAAATGTGGATAAATATGTCTTCGACTCTTCACTTCCACTTCCTTTCTCAAATACACCAAAAAACTTCCAAGATAATCACGACACCACACCCGAATTATTACGACGCAAAGTATCCCGTATTTTGATTTCTAACTCAACTCATCTCGGGATCAACAAAGGCAGTGTTCAGTTTGTCAATGCGTGCGCGCATAGAGGGATAACTGGCAAACTATAGCCAATCAAAAACCAGATTACAAAAACAGAAAACTGAATTTCGTCAGTATCAAAATGCGTGAACACACTTTCTTGTTATGGTGCGTCATATTCGAAGCAGATGAGTCATTATGAATCAATGCTTGCGGCTAAAATACAGACATGAAATGTACAAAAGCAAATCTCGCGGACACCACCCTTGCACCCACTTGCACCAATTCTAAGGTCCCAGTATTTGTTGAGAGTGCTAAGCTTGACCTGAAATGCCGCAAAATGTGTCATTAGCGCTTTGCAGGAGCCAAAATTATTGCCTTCAACGCCATGAAGAGCACTGCATTGAAATTATGGCGGAATAATGGCCAAAAAATCCACGTACCCAGGCATGAATGGAGCTTTTTGGATAACTGCTCTAAAATTTGGGTACAAAATAAATTATTCCCCGCATTGCATACCTCAAAGACCTCGTAGGGTCATCAAAACCGAAAACGCTTTCATCCATTGCACCAATCTCATCACTCAGGAGCAACCGGACCAATCAATACGAAAATGGTGCAACTCGAATTACAGTAGGCGATTTCATCAGCCATTTCAAATATAACGACCTCAGAAACGGGACCAAAAGGTGGCCTCAATTACCCACGATAAACATCAAGGTGGTCTGCCCGGGTCTCCGAGGTCATCATCAAGGGCACAATAATGAAGTGGTCCGAACGATGGGTCGAAATGGAAAACGCTTTTCGGTAAACACATGCATGCCCAGCTCCCGTCAGTGTATTCAGCCCATCTTCAAAATGGATGATTTAACATTGCGTCTGGTGTACAGTGGTCAGTGTACACCTTTGGTGGAAACAAACGTTTAATTTCTGCAATGAACAGCGCATAGCTGCAACATCGCGAATACAGAACAATCCCGCACAGCATGAGGGAGGACACAAACCATCGAAATTGCTTGCTTACACAAAACATTCCTTCACAAACGTCCTCGCGAACGCAGCAAACTGGAATGGTTCATCAGCTCTCCAGCGCGCAGCAATATTGCACGTTCTGCATTACAATCACACACCTCCCCCAATAACGCTGGTCCCCCGGCCTCGCCCTCCGGTCACGTGTCTCGACTCGTGCCGTCAGAAGTCACGGCTTTGTTCGTCACGGACGGGACACGGCACGTGCCCAACTGCACCCCCCATCCCGACACAGTGTCACAAACCCAGCCCAGCAGGGGCCTTTGCAGCACGCCAGCCGGCAGGGACCTCTCCGCTACCGCAGACTGTGGACAGACTGCTAAAACGTGAAATCACAAGATACAAACTTGAAACTTAACACGTGCGGACTTAAAGGAAATAGTTCACTTTCACGAAATTATTTTTTTGCAACGGATTTATGATTTTTTATGTTCAAAATAATCAGCAAAGAAAATAAAACCTTTTTATAACAAAATATTATTTTCTATATTTTGATATAGGAAGAACTTTTCAGTTTCTGTAAGGCACACGCGATCCAGTATGAAAAGAGCATGGGTCCCGAAAATTCTTCAGAAACAGAAAAATTATCGCAGCCACCGGCATTTGGGCGATCTGCTCGATCTGATAATGTTCCCCTGAATGTCCTAATTGATCAGTACGAGAATTTCTCTAGAGTTCTCGTAGATAATTTCTCTAGTTTCTGAAGAATTTTCGGGACCCGCATGCTCTTTTCATACTGGATGGAAATATATGCAAGGCACACATCCTCAACGCAAGACACCTTTTTCGGGACGAGAAATAGAATATCTTTGCCTAGGGTGATCGTTGGGCTGTAAAAGCTCCTGATTTATGCTCGTCTCAGCCCGAGCTACGGAACTGCTATTCCAGTTCAAAACCCATGTTAAAAAGTGAACTATTTCCTTTAAAATATAATTGCTAATCAAAACAACATTTTTAACGATCGTCCGGAAATACTGTTAATATCACGCAGACATCAATAGCCCACATAACGTTAACAAAGTCATATAAAACAAAGCTGCGGTCGACACGGCTAGTTGGCCGAATTAATAACCAAAACTATAAACAACTGTGCCATTATAGGCGGCACGTCTATTGCAACGTAAGCGATATATACGATATTGATGTGTATCACCGGATTAAATCACTGAATCACGACTATGTTCGACGAGAATCCCCAATTTATATCTATGTCATGGAAGAGGAGACCGAGGATAAGTAAGGCGTTGGGAATCATCTACAAAACCCAAATGAATAATGACATCCAGGCAGCAACATATTTGGTGAGAAGCAATCCATCCTGATGTCATCGGTTAACAAGTCGACCGATCCCCAGATAACAACTTCAACCAGCTATTCAGGAGCGAGCCAAAAAGTGAAATTATAAATCGACATTAGACACTTTCGAAAGCTCGGCTTTGGCTTTCAAAAATTTATCACAATTTGAATGTACTTTTGGTGTCTAAGTACATGCAGTGTATAGTGTATAATATAAACTACCATAAACTACTAATAGAAACACACCCTCACAGGGACAGTACATATCAAACGCTCCAGGAAATACATCTCGTGAATTGTAGCCACAAAGCCTTGGTCCTGGATGAGAAAACATTCAATTTTCTTCGGCTGAATTCCCAGACGAGGGATACGTGGCGTGTTTCGGCACTGGAATTGATATCTTCCGCCACTAAGTTCGTATATAGGCATAACGAAATGAAAAATGTGTTGGTGGTAAAGAAAAACGAACGCGCAAAAAAGGAGCGATGACAATTTATAGGTAGTCACAAATAAAAAATGAAGAAGTCTCTTTTCGATGGTGGCATTAGTTTTCAGCTTGTGATACAGCGTATCAGTGATGTGATACTTGTGATATCAGCGGGGGTAGAAGAAGGTAGCTTTTCGTACAATAAAGGTAGACTGAAGGATGACATTGCAATATATACGCAATAACAGCAATCCGGAAGACCACCAGGTGTCATGCAAAAGGATTGTCACAACCTTCAATGAAACTTGGTACAGAAAATCAAACAATTACCAAGCACCTTATCAAAATATCTTGCAATCACTTGCAAGCCACAACTACATAGCAAATTCAGCACCGGTATTCACACCTACCGACAACACTGTGAGATAACTTCTCCAGGGGCATTCCACGATAGATCGACCAAGGCCTAACACCCGACCATTTTTGATTTTGATGAAATCTTGTCTATAGGGTTCTCTTATGCCCTGAAGTCAATGGTGACAACGCCAGGCCCCTACGGTCAGCGATTTAGGAGATATAGCCCCGGGCATTTTGACGAGGTCACTCTGCAGAGTGATTTTTGAGGTGCTATATCTCCTAAAGTAATGAAGGAAATGCATTAAACCTGTACATCGTTGTGATGGCGGTGAAATGAGCAATTTATTGGCTATCTCGGATTTCCAAAAAAATTATTTTGATTTTTAGCTGTGACGTCATCAATTTTTAAATTTTCTGGCTAACCCCCTAGTACATTAAAATTTGTCATTATTTTTGCTCAGAAATATAGATCGGTCAATGTTCTTTTGACTGTCAAAAAATAAAAATGGTAATCTTTCTATAAATATTTTATTTTATTTTTTGAAAACAACTCTGTAATATGAAATTTGCATACATTTGCTCTGAAACGACAAATAGGTGCAGCTGGCACGGACAGTGGAAGGACTGGATTTATAAAACACCTAAATAATATTTTCTTGAATATTTTTCGCAACTGGAACAAAGCGTAAGATATTTTAATCTAACCCTCGCCGGCCGAGGGGGGGGGGGCGGGTGCCGCCCCCCCCATAGGGTTTTTTCGCGATAGCTCCGAACACGCCGGCGGTAGAGAGCTGAAACTTGGCATACCTGACCTTTGATCCAAGCCGCATCTTTTGACACCAACCGCATTTTTGGGTCAGGTCAGGTCACTGACCTATGACGTCATAAGTGAACCTCTGCACGGTCTTCAGATGTCGCAACTTCGCAACGCCCTCACTGCCAGAGGAGATGTCACAGGGAAATGAAACTTGCAGGATCTAGTATCCATTATGAGTCTCACAACTTGTATATCTCGTATTTTTCCTAAAGGTCATATGAGGTCAGGTCATTTTCGTGACCTCACCATTATAAGTCAATGGGGAAAAATTCAAACTGCTATTCTGGCGCCGGGAACGATCTCCAACTATCTCAAGCACACAGAATCGTGATTTGATGCACTCCTTGCAAGGTTAGATGCGTCACTTTTGCAATGTTGACCTTTCGTGACGTCATTTATGACGTCATCAAGGTCATATTAGTTTTTCGTCAATAACTCTTGATCAAATTGAGCTAGCGAGCCGGGAAAGCCACCAATGGACTCAGGAAGACCTGCCGAATCGAATGATATGCGACATGACCCCTTTAGACCAACTTCGTGACCTTAGGGTGCTGACCTGACCTTGACCTGAGGTCAACACCCCAAGTTGACCTGACCCGAACAAAAAGTATATCATTCGACGCGCCTGAGCGAGGCGAACACGATGCTGCCAAAATCGCGGCTCTGCGGCCATTTTCCGCGAAGTTATTCACCAAAAACTGAACCGTACCTTTGGGCACTTGACCTGACCTCAGAGGTCACCGGTTGACCTAGGACCTTAAAATCGGGTACCAATCTCTGCGTCTCGTAACGGCGCACACGCTCGTTTTTTCCGCGACGCGCTAGCTCCACCAGGGGCGAAACGGCGAGGGGGGGGGTCGTACCCGCCCCCCCCCTCGGCCGGGGCGTATGTAGAAAACCAATAGGTCCGGCGAGGGTTAACATTCTGTATTTCCCTACATATATGCCGAAACCCAGATAACCTCTTTTTGGAAGTAACTGGTCCTCGCAGATGTGTCTTATATTGCTTAATAACCCGATTCTGTAAATCAGAGTTTGTAGTGCGATTTTCAAAAAATAAAATAAAATATTTGTAGAAAGATTACCATTTTTGTTTTTTTCCAGTCGAAAGGAAATTGACGGAACTTTATTTCTGAGCAAAAATAATGGCAAATTTTAATGTACTAGGGGGGTAGCCAGAAAGTTTAAAAATTGATGACGTCACAGCTAAAAATCAAAATCATTTTTTTGAAAATCCGAGATGGCCAATTAATTGCCCATTTCACCACGATCACAACGATGCAAAGGTTTAATGCATTTCCTTCATTCCTTTAGGAGATATAGCACTTCAAAAATCACTCTGCAGAGTGACCTCGTCAAAATGCCCGGGGCTATATCTCCTAAACCGCTGACCGTAGGGGTCTGGCGTTGTCACCATTGACTTCAGGGCATAAGAGAACCCTGTAGACAAGATTTCATCAAAATCAAAAATGGTCGGGTGTAAATCTGATAAAATTTTGGTCGATCTATCGTGGAATGCCCCTCCAGTGAAACACAGGCTCACCTAAGATCCTCGGGTCAATACGGCCAGCGTGTTAGTAGATATCGGCGGCCGAGGACATCTTACTCCCAATGTTCAGCTGGTCCTCTGGGATAGCCTCTGTGACATCACAGCCGGAACTGATACTCGTATTGCCCGCGGCGCCACTGAGCTGCCGCACACCCCTGACCGGCGGGTCACTCGGCAGGGGACTGTCCTGCCGTCCAGCGGCGGAGCATCAGACCCCGGCGTTATACGGTGACCGCCCCATACCCCACCAGGGGGGGGGGGACTCTATCGTTCCAAAGAGAACCTAACGTGCCCCACCGGCGGGGGCGGCCGAGCCCTACCGTTCCACGGTCACCGCCTCGGGCTCCCCAGCCGGCGGTAGTGGCGGGGCGCCGGCGGCCGCCTCGTACTGCTGCGCCCGGTTGTAGCAGAGCACGCCGACCAACACGATGGCGGTACCGACCGCGCTCAGCAGCGTCACCGGGTTACCGAATATCACCACCGAGAACCAGATGAGCAGAGCCCGCTTCAGCGTGTTGGCCACACTGCGGGCGGAGCGAGGGACGGGGTCAGGTCAGGTCTGAGGGGCTCGGGTGCAAAACGGTCCACAGAAACGACAGTAATGTGGCAGCGGACCACAGGGAGCAGAGAACACACGACACAAATCAGCTGATCAGTGGGAAACTTCTCTCATGGGGAGACAACTATTTTCTTTTATACCGAAATATTAAGTCAGCGTTGACCACCCAAACATGTGTCACGGGACTTAACCACTCTTATAATACGACAACTGTGACACAGGAGGAATTAATATATGCAACCCGCATATTATCGCTAGTCCGGAGCAAAAGTCCCAGGTTCGCCCACCCACGTCACACGCGTCATTTGGGCCACTACTGATCCCGTCTGAACTCACCTGTACGTGACGGGGCTGATGTAGCCCATCAGGATGTAGGCGGTGAAGCTCTGCAGGTGGAACACGACGCCGTTGAGCGCCAGCGCCTGCAGCAGCTCGGGCGTCACCGTCTGCAGCTGCGCCGGGCCCACGAGGAAGTACGTCACCGGCAGCTGCACCAGCACCGACGACAGAGACGTGTAAAACTGCAGCTCCGTCGGCCTGCCGGCAAACACACAGAGGTAAAACTGCAGCTCCGTCGGGCTGCCGGCAAACACGGAATGGTAAAACGGCCGCTCTGTCTGCCTGCCTGGGCGAATCAATATTATGTACTTTACACCTAGGGCAGATTCAAGGGACGCGTACAATGAAGGCATCTAGGACATTTACAGACTTCCGCAAACGTTCGCAAACAAACGGAAAAATAGGTATTGCAAGAGGGAGAAGGGCCTGCGTCGATATGATCTTCCTTTGCAAGTCAAAAGGCAAAACACGGGAGAGGAAAAATGCCAGTCAGAGATAAAGCATGTCTACCCAAATGCAAAGAAATCGACACCTATTCACTTCACCATCACTCGTCCACTCTAGCACCATATGTTTGTGATAGTGGTGTCAATCGGAACTTGAATCTTCGGAATTCCGATTTTGTCCAATGTCCAATTCGGAATTCGGTTGGACAATGACAACAGGCTTTGGACAACTTTGGACAATCGCTTGCTACACCTCAACATTTTCATAAAGTAATCGTGTTTAACATTGATTGGCTATTAAAAAGCCCAGCTTTCGATATGATAAACACTTTTGAGCTGGTAACGATACATTAACAGCAAATTAAATAATGGTGTTGAGTGTAAACTATTGCGTAAATGTCGGACATCTTTGGACAAATGGCTGGCTTGGATATTTTTGGACGGACAGTCGACGCCAGCATTGGACATTGGACGGACATTGGACACATGTTTTCTGAAATTGACATCACTAGTTTGTGAACTCACGTGTACTTGTACTTGTCTCCCGATATGAGCATCTTGGAGTAGACGTTCTGGCAGCACTCGACCATGTTGGTGCTGAGTGCGGCGGTGAAGCCGCGGATGTCGAAACTGAGCTCGTTAGAGGAGCAGAGCGCCAGCCCGAGCATGACCGGGATCAGCGAGCAGTTCACCAGCACACCAGTCACCTCGCCTGGGCGACAGAGCATCTGGGGTCAGCAGGTTATTAGGGTACCAGTGGTGGTCACTTCACCTGGACCACAGGACACCTGGGGTAGGTGCGGGTTGTTAGGACCAGGGCTGCGGAGTCGGAGTCGGAGTCGGAGTCGGAGTCGGTCGGAGTCGACAGTTGTGACCGGAGTCGGAGTCGGAGTCGGAGTCGATTTTAGAAACCCGAGCCGGAGTCGGAGTCGGAGTCACCGAAAATCTGTCGACTCCGCAGCCCTGCTAGGTCTGCGGAGTCGGAATCGGGAGTTGGAGTCGGTCGGAGTCGACAATTCAGCCCGGAGTCGGAGTTGGAGTCGGAGCTGGTTTTTGAAAGCCGAAGTCGGAGTCGGAGTCGGAGTCGCCGAAAATCCATCGACTCCGCAGCCCTGGTTAGGACACCCGTCACCTCGCCTGGGCGAAAGCCGACGGGACACCCGGGGCCAGCTGCAAGTCACTGCGACAGCAGGGGTCAGTGCTGAGAGGGTCACCATCACATCCGTCACTTTGTCTCGGCGACAGGGCACCCAAGGTCAGTGGGTCATTGGGGCACCAGTAACCTCACCTGAGCGACAGGGTGAGGTTACTGTCGCTCAGGTGACCTCACCTGCTGACCCTAGGGTCAGCAGATTCATCACAAGGGCACCCAGTTTCAGCATCAGGGTACACTACAAACAGAGATCAGACTCGAGCTGCTCGCTATAACTGACGACTTACATACGGTGACGGCTCACCGAGCATGCAGCGCGAGATGAGGACGGTGAAGAGTGGCGCCGAGCTCTTCACCGTCTCCGTGAAGCTGACGGCCACAAACTTGAGCGACACGAGGCTGAGCACCACGGTGCCGAACCTGGACAGCGGAGGGGAGGGTAAGCGGGTCAGCGGAGAGGAGTCGGGACAGAACAGAGTGGTCAGGGAAGGGTAGTGAAAACATCCAGAGGTTGAGATATTCACTTCTTTTAAATTATGAGCACACTGACGTGCTCACTAGTAGTGGGCACTTCAAAAACTCCCATCGATATCGATTATCGAATTCGTTATCGACGATAACGTTTTTTTCAAGTTTATCGTTATTGATTATCGTTATCGAAGTAGCGTTATCGAAGTGACCGATTTGATTATCGAGTTATCGTTATCGAAGTCGCTGACCTCGACAGAGGTTATCGAATTATCGTTATCGAAGTCCCGGTCAAGTTACAAGTGCCCACCGCTGAGGTGCTCACGTAATTAATAGTGAAAACTGATATACTGAATGAATAGAATTGGACAGGGTCTCTAGATGAAAGTAACTGTCCTAAAACGAACTGTCACTTACCTGAGAATGCCCACAACAAGCATGTTCAGTAGAAATGTAGGCGACCTGATGCTCGTGGAAGACTGTTTGGTGAAATACTGTGTAACATTCAGCTGTATGAACCCACACACAGTGGTGAACAGCAACTGGCATACTCCTGCAAGCAGACAAACATTGCTGGCTTGAAGAATTGAAACATGTTTTGAGGAATGCCTGAATATGATCAAATCAGGTTGCAATGCTCAGATTGCCCGGCTGATTCCGCAGCTCAGCCGGTAGAGCATTGGACTCCGCGTGGTGAGAGCACGCGTTCCAGGTTATAACAGTCCGGGTTCGAAGCGCGACGGGCGCTTGACGTTTATGACCCTCTGACAGGTATGGTTGCGGTTGGTGGCAGGTCGTAGCCAGACGAAGTCAATGAGGGGACCGGCCGTGCGCGGCTATGTGCCTTGTGCGCAAATTAAACTTTGGACTCCAAAGTCCGCCGTAGAACCAGAATTGCGCGATCAGAGGGGTAGAGGGCAGGGTCAACGCAACAAGCTTCGCTTGGCATCTTTAACACTGATCTAAATTGTGAATCTGCCCTTGTCAATCCTTCCTTTCCAAGGATTCAAACTAAATAAAAAAATGTTCATAATGGATAGGACGAAAAAAACATAACACTACAACATTTATGCTTTCTTATAAGCTACATGCATGGACTGGCATAATTTAGATCAGTGTTTAAGATGCCAGGAAGGGCACAGACACTACACAGTTTATAAAATGTACAGAGCTGCTGGCACACACCTACCTAGAACAGTAGGATCCCCATTCAGGTAGCTCAGAATGTACTTGTTGAGGAACAGCGTGCAACCAGAGAACATGTACCAGAGGCAGAGAACTGTGAGGCCTCCCACATTCATCAGTCCTTTGGGCGCCCGGTCCTCTGACCCATCCACCAGGTCCTTGGAATGTGTTGGAAGTGATGCTGATGACATGGCTGCCTCCTTCATATCAGCCAATCAAAGAACTGGCCACCTGAAATATAGAGGAGAGGTTCTACTTTTAGCTTCCATTGTTGATATGTGAGATAGAAATGGACATGTATCGCTTGTTGACTAAGCATATACCAAGCATTTCAATTTAGCAGCATTAACTGCTACTGGTGCAGGTGTTGTCAAGCAAAATACCCAATGCCTGCAATGGTGACATGTCCTGCCATTGAGGGTCATAATACAGCACTGCTAGTCAATAGACCGCTGCAGCCAATAGACTGATGTGTGCAGCATTCACATTGAGCCAGCACACAAGAAAGCCAGGCAGTGAGTAGCACTGACGCTGACCATCTGGGCCATGGCAATTGCATTTACAACTGTGGCAATTGGGAAGAGGATACACTAAATGAACAATACCTGACACACCCAAATTCATCATGCTTTTGCGAAATATCCATTAAATATATCCATCCATATCCAGATTCTTTATTGCCACTGATTCAGCTAATTCAGACCACGAAAAATAGGTACCTAGGTACCATAAAACTGTCAGAAAAAGCTGAGTCATATTCATTTTTATACAAATAAAACCATTTATTACCCCAGCTTGGGCTGAAAACAGTTTTAAAGCTTTAAATATGAAAAATGCACTACGGCTGTTTGTATTTAATTTTAGTCTAAATGGTTGAATGGGCGGATTTGAAGAATCAGAGCGCGCAGGCACTACCCATAGCTTGTTGTGCTGACCCTGACCCCACCATCCATGTCCTGTTGTGAGGGCATATTAAACGTTCGGACAAAATTCTGCCATACAACTGGAAATGCGAGATCACGTCCAGTGGTGGGGTCAGGCTGTTTCCAGTATTAGTAGAGCAGACATCACACAAAGGTTTTCCAACCAAGGATGAGGAGAGGTGCTATACCCAGGGGTGTTTCCAACAAAACCCAAACCTAACCTAACCTGACCTGACCTGACCTGACCAGGGCAGTGTTTCACGGGCTGCTGCTACCACGCTGCTATCAAATTGCGCGAGCTGACGTCACACTTGTGGTAGTGTTGGAGCAATGGGCCTGTTGATGTCTCCATGGAAACCCAATTTGACAAGTCGTAAAATCGGCGTGCTGCTATCACCGGTGAAACAGGGCCCTGACCAAACCTAACCAACAAATCTACCCTACAACCTACAAATATGCTAGTAGAGTGTGTTGATCTCAGGCAGGACCTCTGCACAGAACGCAAGGCCAACCGCAAGGCTATATAAACCCAGAACGTCTTGGATCTTTTCTTTTCACTGTCATTGCAATTCATGCAAATTCATTGCACATCTGACATATTTATCTTATGTTGCACGTTGAAGTCCAAGGATCACAATTAAGCACAATAAAGTAAGAACACAAAATACTGAGGATATTACGTCAAACTATAAAAGAATCATTGAACTTTGAACGATTGTTAAATCGTAATTATCGTAACAATAATATTATCTTAGATTTTTTAAACATATTTAAGGTTTAATTCACTTTTGAAAGCAATTGATTTCCAATTGGTATTATTGTTTATGCTATTACGTCACTAACTCTATTATGCACGAGACTGAAAGGGACCCTCCCACCTTCAAAAAAGTTTATGAATTGGCATGAAAGTGATGTCGCTCGGTTCAGAAAGAGCGAAAACGAATATCTACCAAATTTCACCGAAAAATATTCACCGGTTTTCAAGATATTAGACTTTTACTTTTGTTTACTTTTTTGGGATCTCCGCTGTTTCTAGCGACTTTATTTTAGAAGTGCGGCGTTTGCGGCAGATGTTGCGCGCAAATAGCATATACCACCGCGTGCTACAAAACGTTTTAGTCAAACATTTAAAAATCGTTAGATATTTGCGCTGACGTCACACATTCAGAGGGGTATTCCTAAGCATTAGCCCCTCTGAATCAAAATGCTGCAATTTTGAAATTCAATATTTCCGATTTAAGGCATTTCTCGATGTTGTGAGTGCCGAAACCGGTAATTGTGAGCCAGGGACCCCATTTTGGCTATCTCAACTCAAATCTAATGTTAAGGTGGGAGGGTCCCTTGAAGAGCAGTGCTTTCTCTGCCACCAGCGCCCACTTTCACGTTGCAGAATACCTCACCGCCATCTCGCGAGCAAATTGTTCAAATCTCCAACATGGAATGCAGAGCGCGGTTTATGAAAAAAGCAAATGCATGAAAAATTCTAGAATATATGGAGTAAAGGGAAGAAAAAAATTATTTATCCCAGTGAGCCCGACGGCCCGAAGTCAATGAAGGCCATGAAGGCGATGTAGTAAAAGGACGTCATATCGACGGTCGACTGAATGTTTGTCAGGGTCGAATTTTGGGTCAGGCACCGTGTCAAGGGTCAGGTATACGATGACTTATCAGCTAAGGGCCACAAGGCTGACCTTATGTGGGCTTCGTTGTTTCAAACCAATGCATGGGTACGTTTCGTAGTATTGTACCTATCAGGTCCCACTCCCAGTTGGTCTCATTCGGTACGATTGAAACTCGGCGGTCGATTTGTATATGCGAGCCATCTTCATGACAACACCATTTCACAAACATTTCACTGAAGAAATACCAATCTTCAGAAAAACATTATGAGCAACGATATGAACTATAGACACGATGAAGATGCACAGCGAAGTTTGGCGCACAAAATATCGCGATTCCGTCCGAAACTTCTGCTAATTTGCATGACTGATGCAGTGGTCACATGTCTTCACTTGATGAAACAGCTGAGTAGTCGCATCTCTCGCATGAAGGTCCCATTAAACTGCCGTTGTTACCAACAAGATGCGGCCTCACATGGGATGCTTTGTGGAAGCTGGTCGGCCAGCTCAAACCAGCCGGTGCGCCTGCAGAGATGCATCAACAACATCGCATCACAATCGGCATCAACCTGGTTACCATACAACTACAAAATCTCCGTGGGACAATTATCAACAGCAGCCAGTTCAGATATCACATCATCCTTCGTGAGACTTCTGCTTCTTTCACACAGATAAACACCACTAAAAACCCAGCCACAGCGCCGCCCCGGCCGCCGTCCCTACAGGCCGAACCGTCGCGGCGTCTGTCGCGGCGTGCCGGGCTCTCGGCGGCCCGGTGTGACGATCGCCTCGCGGGTGCGCCGGCCGGCCTCCTCGCGTCGCTCGCGCTCGGTGCGCCGCTGGGTCATCTCGGCCTGCGCGGCCGCCATCTCGGCCTCCATCTGTCCCACGTGCTCCAGGTGCGTCTGGCGTTTCTGCTCGCGCGCGTGACCCATCTGCTTCACCGAGAAGAACATGGGTCCGAGCTCTGCCAGCCAGCGGCCGTCCACGGCCGTCACACACTGCATGTACTCCTTGCTGGTCATGATGAGCTCGTGGTAGACCACGTAGTCGGGCGTGAAGCCCATGCCGAACAGCGCCGACGTCGGGTGCAGGTGGCACGGCATGCCCGTCCGCATGTTCACGTACTCGCCGATGCCCTTTAGACGCGCCGCCTGTTGGAGGAGGAGGGGAGCGGAGTCAGTACCGGGGCAGTGCCAACGATCCAAACAAACGTCACCCGTGTGTGACCGAAAGGACTTACGTCTGCTTAATGAAAACTAGCTGACATAGCCTACGGTAGCAGCTGGCACTGAACACTGCTCAATACAGTGACTAATAAAATGGGCTATTAAAAAATAAAAATGGTACAATTTTCTTCGAATTGTTTGGGGAAAAGCATATCAATGTAAAACAAGATTTCGTAATTGCAAACGTAAAATGATACCCAAACAGAGCACGCAGCTGCAATGTGCACGGGTATTATGACGACCCTATTTTATGCACCCACCTGGTGGAAGTATGCGGAGCAGATGCACTTCCTGATAATGTCCCACTCGTTGCCAGTGCTGACCACCGGCATCTTCTGCTGGTCCATGATATCCTTGAGCTGCTGGCGCACCTCGCGCACCTTCCGCATCGCCTTGCCGTGGATGAAGTGGTCGGTGGCCCACTGCATGGCGTAGCCGTTGGCTTTCCACTGGAGGTAGACGTTGAGGAAGGTCAGGTGGTCCGACTCGGGCACCTGGAACTTCTCCCGCGCCGCGTCCGAGTCCTCCTCGCGGCCCTTGGGTCGGAAAAAGATGGCCGGCACCGAGAGCATAGAGACGATGATGAGCACCTCCTCGCTGCAGCGCATGTCGCAGCTGACGATCAGCATCTTGGAGAGCGCCGGGTCGAGCGGGAACTCCACCATGCGCGTGCCCAGCTCGGTGAGGTTGCCCGTGTTGTCCAGCGCGCCCAGCACCCACAGCTGGTACATCGAGTTCAGCATGTTGTCCTGCGGCGGCGGGTCCATGAAGTGGAACTGCAGCAGGTCCTCGACGCCCAGCGACTTGAGCAGCAGCACCACGTTGGCCAGGTTGGTGCGCTGGATCTCGGGAACGGTCGTCTCCAGCAGCTCCTCCTTGTACTGACGCCGAGTGTAGAGACGGTACGCCGTGCCCGGACCCGTGCGGCCCGCGCGACCTGAGCGCTGGTTAGAGTTGGCCTGCCGAAAGACGGACAGACGCGGTTAGAATGGAGCTGAATCGGAGTGACCGGGAGAATCAGACAATGTCCCAGCTGACATAAAAAGGAAACACTAGCGAGATGCAGTGGTAGGATCAATCGACGATAGTAAAAACCGAAAAGGTATTTATTTGTGATGAACACAAACAAAATGTTCCGAATTCCGATGATCGTTCGGTCGAGGCGAAAGATTATGTTAAAGGGACTATCCCACCTTCTAAAATGTTGTTAAAACCAATTAAATTGTGCCCGACTTTATAGATTGGATGACCAGGAACACGGTTCTAGCATTTATTTTTCATTAAACATCTTGGGCTTCCCATATTTCAAACACAAACTTTCAAATATGTGACGTCACAGCCCAAAATTACCTCCTTCCCCAGGCCACATTACTGTCATAAAGCTGATTCTTTTTACTCGTAGGCACCACAACAAAGTTCAGACCAAGTTTAAAGCGATTTTTCAACGAACAAACCCATTTAAATCAGAATGACTAAACGAGGTGACGTCACACTAACGGTCGCTCCATGTTGAAGATAGGGCCTTGTACAAGGCCCATTTTCAAATCAAGGGAACGAATTTCTTCAACACCAAGAGGTCGCGGGGGTTGCAACCTAGATAGATAGTGGTTTCTGAACCTCGCCGCAAACCTGGCTATCTCAACTCAAATCCCATGTTAAAGGTGGGATAGTCCCTTTAACAGCATATCAAAACAATATCACTTGCCCGCGTTGACTACTACTACAAGAAGGCAGCGACGGGTGGGAAATCAAATAATCTGTAAACGTTTGCCATTTAATATAATTTAATATCATAATCCATTGAACATGGGGACGAAGGGTGTTTAAGCACAAACATCATATAGTCATAAAGCTAAGCGAATAAAACGAAAAGAGAAAGAACCTAGGTCGAAAAGTCTGGCCCCAGGCTCCGCGGAGCTCACCTGTGAGATGGGGTAGATCTGGAGGGCGTCCATGCCGACCCGCGGGTTGTACACCTTCAGCTTGCAGTAGCCGGCGTCCACGACGAACATGATGCCGTCGACGGTCAGCGACGTCTCGGCGATGTTGGTCGCCACGACACACTTTCGGATGCCGTCGGGCGCCTTCTGGAAGATCTTGGCCTGCAGGTCGCTGGGCAGCTGCGAGTAGATGGGCAGCACGGCCAGCGGCGGCGAGTCGTCCACCTCGTTCAGTCGCTCGGTGATCTGGTCGCAGGTCACCTCGATGTCCTCCTGGCCGGGCATGAAGACCAGCAGGTCACCCTGGTCGTGCTGCAGGTGCACCTGGAGCACCTGTTTCACGGCGGCGTCCACATAGTCCTCCACGGGGTTACGGCTGTACAGCACGTCCACTGGGAACGTCCGACCCGGGATGATGAACACGGGCACGTTGCCGAAAAACTCTGAGAACTTGTCGGCGTTCATGGTGGCCGAGGTGACGATCAGCTTGAGGTCGTGTCGGCGCGCCACCACCTCGCGCAGCAGGCCAAACAGCACGTCCGTGTTCAGCGAGCGCTCGTGCGCCTCGTCCATGATGACGGCGCTGTAGTGGTCCAGGTCGGACTCGCGCAGAGACTCGCGAAGGAGGATGCCGTCCGTCATGTACTTGACGATCGTCTTGTCGCTAGTGCAGTCCTCGAAGCGGATGGCGTAGCCGACCTCCTGGCCCAGCTCCACCTGACCGGGACGAGACCAGTGGTTAGCAAAAACGTAGACAGAGAGGAGAGATCGATCAGTGAAAGTGAGATTGAGGGTGTGATCAGTAAAAAGGAGACGGGATGAATATTCCGCACAGAGACGGGTGAGCCGTAGATAAGTAAATATTGAGGGGAGGTGAAAGGTCAGTAAAACAGAGAACAGACTGTGCGATTATAAAAAAAAAAAACGGAGAAAGCGTAAGCAGTGAGTGTAAACGGAGATGGAGTGAAAGGTAGGTAAACACGGAGATGGGTAGTCAGCAGAAGCGGAAATTGGGTGAGCTATAAAATGTAAAAAAAGAACGGAGACAGGATATTGCGGCAAGTAAAATCCGAAACGGGTGAGTCGTAAGCGAAAAAAAAACGGAACATCGCAGTTATCAGACGGAATAAGGCACCCAATATTCAAGTCACAAAAATATAGGCCAGAAAGAGAAGTAGACAGACAAAATGGTAATGTTGCCTTACAATATGAACACATTCCTAACGCCAAATAACATCAATGTGATTAACTAATAACAACAATAAATTCATTACGTTCTAGTGTTAGAAGCCGAACCTCAGTTGAACCCGACAGCCACTCACCCCCATTTCGTCGGCGACTCGTTTTGCCACGGACATGGCGGCGACGCGGCGCGGCTGGGTGCAGCCGATCATGCCCAGCTTGGCGTAGCCGTCCTCCACCAGGTACTGGGTGAGCTGGGTGGTCTTGCCGCTGCCCGTCTCGCCCACCACCACGATCACAGAATTGTCGCGGATCACGTTCAGCAGCTCCTGGCGCACGGCGAACGCCGGCAGGTACTGGCGCTGCTGACGGATCGTCCGCGTCTGCGCAAAGTCCGAGCTGGCCTCGGTGGGGCCGCGCATGTGGTCGGCGAACTTCTGGTCGGTGCGGTAGTCGGTGGTGTCGTCAGCGCCCTGGCGCTCGTCTGTCTCGGCCTTCTTCTGGATGCCCATGATGTCACCGAGCTTGGTTCCCGCCAGCTCCCAGTGTTTGGCCTGTGCCTTTTTGCGCTCCTTCTGCTCGCGATGCGCACGCACCAGTGCCGAGCCCTTGCGCGCCACGGTGGCCATGTCGGAGGTGGGGTCGCGCACCGGCACCACCGGCTCCGGCTGTTTGGTGAACACGATCCGGCCGTCCAGGAACGGCGGCAGGATGTTGTGCACCATCAGGTGTACGCGGCCCTCCGCCTCCTCCTCAAAGTCCTCGTCAAAATCGAGCTTCTGCACCACACCCGAGCGCAGCATGCGGTTCGTCTCCCACATCTCGTTGTCCTTGTTGATCTGACGCTGCTGCGCGGACATGCGCTTCTTCTTGCGCTCCTCCAGCTGCTTTTCCTTCTTCTGCGTGTACTCCTGGCTGACGTCGGCGAACGGGTTGTGCGTCTCGTCGTAGCCCTCGTCCATGCCGTACCACTCGCGGTCGAGCCGCTTCTGTTCCTGCTCCCAGGCGGCGCGGTCCTCCGCGCTCAGCTCGCCGCCGCCGGCAGAGTGCGGCTCCGTCGCGTCGCCGCCCTTCCGCATCCAGGCGTTCTTCTTGTGCACCGGTGTGGGCAGCGGCGTATCGGCCGGCCGGCGCGGCCGCCGCTCCGACCAATCTTCACCGCCGCCGCGCGAGGACGGCGTCGGCAGGTCCCAGACGGAGCGGCGAGCCGGCGTGTGGTCCTCCTCGTCCCAGGCGGAGCGAGACGGCGTGTCCTTGACCTTCATGGCTGGTGTGGCCGGTGCGTCGCGGAACCGCGCCGGCGTCTCGCGCCACGAGCTAAAGTGAGAGCGCACCGATCGGTCTGAGCGGTCAGAGCGCTCCGAGCGGTCGTCTCGGCGACGGTCGGACCGGTCACCACGGTCGCGGTCCCGGTCGCGGTGGCGGTCCCTGTCACGGTCCCTGTCTCTATCCCTGTCTCGATCTCTGTCTCTGTTCCTGTTCCTGTCTCTCTCCCTGTCCCTGTCCCTGTCTCGGCGCCGGTCGCCGCGGCTATCAGCGTGCAGACCACCCCGGTCGCGGTCGCGCCGCGCCTCCTGACGCTCACGGTACGCCCCGCTCACGCCACCAGAGTGGCTCGGAGTCTCATTGGCCGGTGCGCGGAAGTGGCGGCCGCGCGCGTCCTCGCGGTCTCGGTGCTCCCGGCGGGTCTCCTCGGAGCCGCCGCCAGAGCTCTCGGCAGCGCGCAGTTTCCGCTCCTGCTCCTGGTCTTCCTCGATCTTCCGTTTCAGGGCGGCGAGCTTCTCCAGCCCAAGGCCGCCGCTGCGAGGCTTGGCTGGCTTGGAGTCGCCATCGGCAGGCTTCTTTCTGATGATCAGGCCACCTTTCTCTGTTCCAGATGTCCCCTCCAGACGATGAATAGAGTCCATTGCATCAAGGGCTTCTATACTCTGGAAAACATGGAAGAGAAACAGTTAAATAAGCATAATGCAACGCATTGTGATTGCTATGCATGCACATAGCTGAATGAAAGTCTGGAAGGGAATAGCAAAGTGGCTCAAGTGAGATCATAGAAGCTGCAGGCTGAGTAAGATTACAAATGGTTAGCTTAGGCAGAAAACTTTGGCTAGATTAACTTGGTGTGGTGCTACATTTTTTGTTGCTAAACTAAGGTCCTCTATTTAACGTGTATATTATGCAAATTTACTCATACCTGGACTAGCTACTTTAGCATCTGTGACCCAGAGTTGACTTTCCACAAGTTGCTTATTCTGCACTCTTGTATTTGGATGTCTTATATTGTATTTCAAAGGGATGTTTTTCAAGAAGTGGTCCTAGAAAATAATGCAGAGGTAGGCAACTACATAGAAAGAACACAATAAGTCAGCAATTAATGCACTGCAGACTTAAAAGTGCAGATTGTCCTGTCCCGTAGCTCAGTTGGTAGAGCACCGGACTCCCAGTAATGAGAGCCCGGGTTCGAAACACTCCGGCGCTCAACATTGGGGATGGTCTGCGATTGGTGGCAGCAGCCGCCCGCAGCCCGTTGAAGTCAGTTGGAGTGGGACAGGCTGTGTCCAGTTTTGATGAGCATGTTAAACTTCTGCGTCCAAATTCTTCCATTCTCCAGCATTGCGCGATCAGATGGTAGGGGTCGGGGTCTACGCAACTAGCTCTACCTAACATGGGCTTGGCTCTGTCAATTCATCCATTCAAATGTTTGAGCAAAATTTATAAAAAAAGATGGACAAAGGCACCTAGTTTCGTTGAATATTACCCATCCTGAGAACCTCTACAGTGAATTAACAATATCCCTCTCTGGAATTTACTTGTTCCAGCAATCAGAACCAAAATAGAATAATTCTAGGACAAGGTTCTGGAAAGTCAAAGCATAGTTTGATCAATTCAAATTTGAATTCTAGCAACAATACATTGACATAAGCCAGAACATTTGGCAGGTGAACGCTCCAACGTATGCATGTTATCAATCCCCTACTTTTCGCCAATTCAATTTAATTCAAATGTTAGTTACCTTCCTAAATTCCGTGACAAAAAACGAAAATGCAAATTGAAAACAACTCGAATACTTCGCAATACAAATACAAGCAAGAATACAAGGCTCGAAGCGGCATTTTGAAATATGTGCGCCAGTTCGGCAACCATTGAGAGCTACCATATATGAAACGTTTCGGTAAAATCCTTCATGTGAGGGAGAGTGACTAAAATAAAGTATTATTAGCAATATTAGTAAATATTAGTAGTGGTCTTGACTTCAATTATCTTTGAGAAGGACACACCGACAAACTCTTTGTAATTAATACACTTTGTGGCCTTGGACACCCATTATAGGTCTCAGCCATTTAGTCGCTTTTCATGTCGGTCAGAAGTATAGCTTTGAGAGCATCCATTCCCCAGCAATCAACTTCCGTAACAAAATTTCATTCCCCATCCATAAAGACACCATTCATGATTTCTAGCCGCCGTCAGCATCTGATGCGTCCATCGAAATCCGCTGGTGCTTCCAAAATACGACAATAAATTTGGCATTTATTTTCATTATCATAAACAACATCAACCACGGTGAAGATCGGCCATTTCGGCCGTCGAGCAGGGCCGTTCACGCTCGACAACACATACTTCACGCTCGGGCACGGAACATCATCGTCCGCGGGAGATCACGACACGACCGCTGGTGGTAAGTCCACCGCGAGTGCCCTCGCCGGCAGTCGGCGCAAAACGAGCTGCACGAGCCACAAACAGTCCCACATCTCCAAGCGGAATTCCACTAAAACGGCGTCAACTTTGTGATGATAAGCGCCGACAATTGACGGGAAAGCAACTGAGGTCGAGCAGAGAGGCGTCGCTCAACAGCGGTCGGTCTCCAGGTGGACTGGGAGAGGGAGCAGAACAATCACACCATCGCCATCATACACCCCGCGCCACACACGAAACGAACACGACGGGCTACCAGGGCGCCCTGGCCTGCGAAACACACACACACTGGCTGTATGTACAAACACTGGCAGGGCGCGTGGATGGAGGCGCCGGTGACGACAGCACAGTCTGACCGAAAACACCCAGGCAGCGCCAGAAGCCGTACAAAACACATTCACATCAACTTCACGATTTTAGCGACAAGTGCATTTCAGGAAGCTAAGATCATTCCGAGTAGAATATGGCGAGACACACCGGTAGGACATATGAGCTGCTATTGCTAGCTTAAGCAGTGTGTAGACTTGCAAAATTAACTACCGGTTAACCTACGCAGCCAGCTCATTTCCCACACAGAACTAAGTGAAACAACATGCGAAGTCCAGGCTAGAGCGGATGACAGCTTAACTGACGTCAATGGATCAAGTCGAGACGGGATTTGACTGTCACGATGGCATAAACTCGTCTCGATACCCGGCAGGAAAAATTGACCAGTTATGGACGCCATCGCCAGGTCGGTCGGAAATAAAATTAGATTCTTGGAAAAGCGTCAACCGTAAAATATCAAGCGTCCACATATGCAGTCTTTCGCCACGCGTGCAATCTTTCACTATGTACAAAAACATGAATATGTGCGGCTGTCGAGTCCATCAGAGCGCACGTGCACGCGCTCGCATTGTCTGCTCTCTCAGTCTCGACCACTGTATGATGAACAAGGCACACGAAACACGACACACGAAATGCCAGCCGAAGCCTTTGTACTGTTGCCAGTCCACTGACGCGAGGCCGGCGGACGTGGACTGCCGCGGCACTGTCGTCAGGGCGGCCTCCACGGTCCCGAGCGCACCGGCCGGCCCGCCGCCGTCCGCTCCCCATGTCCTGGCAGCCTGGAGTAGCGTGAGCTTCCCTCCAACTGCTCGGGGCGCCCACACTGCTGTTCGTGCTGGGAGAGTCGTCATCTGCACCGGGGGTCGAATCGTCACCCCGCCGGGGTCTGGTCGCCACCCCCACCGGGGTTCAGACGCCACCTCTGCCAGGGCCGAGTAGCCACCCCCGCTGGGGCCCAGTCGCCACTGTCGCCGGAGTTTAGTCGCCACTGCCGTCGGGCCAAGCCATCACCCGCGCCGGGCCGAGCCGTCGTGTCAATGCCGACCGGAGCACCCATTATCTGGTGGCCGCAGCCACCGCTGTCCGTCGACAGCCCACTCTGTTCCTGTGTTCCGTCTCGTCACTGAACGGTCCTTTGTCGGCCTGAAGCGCCGACCGTACGGCCACAGTGCCGGCCCCGCGGCCCTGCCCGGTGCGCCGCCACAATAACACGGGCGCGTCGACAAGAGCTGGTCCTCCAGGGGCGACTCACTTGCGCAGGTCCAGCACGAACACCTGAGGAGCCAGCAGCGGTAGGTCATGTCACGGTCATAGTTCCTACAAACAGACACGGATAAGTAACTCAAGACTGGGTCGATGGTGCGCATAGCCGCACGCAGCCGTGGTCGCCTCGCACGCGCGCTGATAGTTGCTGACGTGATTACTATTTGATCAGAAACATATACGAACCACATGAAAAAGGTGCTTAGGTAACTGAAAAAAATGGTTCACTTTGAAAAGATATACATGTCAGTTTGTTGCTTAATCTCTCAATAAAAAAGAAATATCGGCGCACACCGCACATTTACGAGTACGTGCCTCACCACCGTCCTCAATCAGAATTCAGTCTTAGCGTACAGTCGGTCATAAACAATCTGAGTTCTATCCAACTAACAATACAACGAACAGACAACAGTCCCTGTGGCTTCAGCGTGCTACGGGCGCTGGTTAACCACGCTGACCGACTACACGGGTCAGCGGCTCTCGGCGCCGTACTTACACTGCCGTCGCTGGCACTGGCGCCCACTTTGTCGCCCTTGGAGTTCCAGCAAACCTCGAAGATGCCGCCCGTGCCCTTGTAGCTGTGCACCAGCTGACCGGTCTGTGTAACACAGTCGACAGAGGGGTCAGATGGGGTGGTCGGGCTCAGCAGGCGCAGAACGGATATACGCGGCACTAACACAGAGAAAACACACGGCGAAATCGGGCGCGACAATCAGCTGCCAATATCCTCCGCATCTCATCGAATGCATGGATAATGCGGACCAAAACATAATGGCCTTAGTTAATTTGAAGAAAAAATTGAATGACGACCAATGAGCAAACACAGTAAGTCAACTACCACCACGAGTTGCAGATAAAAAGTTACATTTCCAATTTACTGGAAGCATGAAATCTCATGAAGCATGAAATGAAAAGGTGACAGACTCCTTCGCTATTACGACTCTCCTCGTGTTTCCACTGTGACTGACCTGCGTGGACCAGATGTGGACGCACTTGTCGAAGCTTCCCGAGGCCAGATACTTTCCGTCCGGCGAGAAGGCCACGCTGTACACGGGCTCTGTGTGCTTGGTGAGCGTGTGGATGTACTGTCCGCGCTCCACGTCCCACAGACGCACTGTCGAGTCGAACGACGCGCTGACGGCCGGCCGGGGAGGCGTCAGTCACAGGACAGTATGGTCACCATCACTGACAATGCACCCTCAAGCCGAACAAGTGGAGCAGGGGAATCGCTATCCACAGGGCAGTCACAGGATGAGTAAAATGAGACACAATGCTTTCGAAAAAGTGGATCTCTTTACGTAATTATTTAGCTTTTATCAAACTACGCAGAGAAAAAAGAACTCAACAGCAAACCGTTTTGACCCACGTCGACCATACGGCAGCCGGTCGATGAAGCCCACAACTCTCCCTCCCCGGTCACCGAGCAGGCCGACTCACCTGGCCAAGATGAGATTCATGTTGGGGTTGTTGGTGCCGGGCCCGGTGGGCGACCATTTGATGGTGTAGATCTCCTTGCTGTGGGCCTGCAGGTCGTGCACGCACGTGTCCTGCTTCATGGACCAGATCTTGAGCGTCATATCGTCCGAGCACGAGGCCAACAGGTTGCCCAGCGGGTCCCACTTGATGGCATTCACCTCGTTCTGAGCGCAGAGGCGGAGAGGATAGACGGTTAATCGGTGAATTTATGCTGAATAGTGGAAAAGAACATAAGTCAAGAGGGGCAACGGCTATTAAACATGACGGAACAAGCAGTTGTAGCTGCTGGTAGCAGGTCTAAACAATCGTTTCACTCCAGTCCAACATTTTGACTCGTTTATTGGGGCTTTAGGAGGTGTCAACTGCAATTTCCTGCTCCGACACCCGACAGTACGCTGCCCTGACCGTCGGCCACTCACCGAGTGCCCGCGGAACGACTTGATGGGCTTGTCGACGGCCAGTTTGCAGACGTGGATGCACTGGTCGGTGCTGCACGAGGCGAAGCTGGTGTTGCTCTGCCAGTCGACGTCCAGCGCCGGCGCCGAGTGGAAGGCGAACTGCTGCGTGCAGTGGCCAGACGACGCGTCCCAGATGATTGTCGTCTGAGGGGAGACGAGGGGGAGCGGTCAGCGATGGCGTTAGCGATAATGCCATAATAAGACACGGAAGGTGATACTGAAAAAGCACGCCGGAAGCAAGATCGATGTATAGTAGTAGTAGCACTTGGAAGCAGGCCTAGTTAAGACCATGACCTAGTACTAAGGTCTAAGCATATCGTTATGATAATTTGAACACTTGCCGTAATGTCAGGAGAAGTACCAGCATGATTACTCAGCTTAGTACCTACCTAGGTATTTGGTATTATGGACCAACATTACTTTACATCTTCCTGACCATCAGCCATGAACATTCTGGATCCCTCGTCACCCAGGCGCCACCATTCCGTAGCAGCTGCAGGCTTCCTCGGAGGACGGCGTGCTCTCACCTTATCTACGCCGGCGCTCAGGATGTAGTTTCCCTTTTTGTTCCATTTGAGCGCGAATATGGGCCCCTTGTGCTGTCCCAGAGTGGAAGCCAGGCGTCCGTCGGTGGTCCAGATGCGCGCGTAGCCGTCGTAGGAGCCGGTGGCTAGCAGGGTACCGTCACACTGGAAAAGACCGGTGGGTCGAGGTTAGGCGGGGTTCACACAGGGACGTACCATCACACTGTAACAGGCCGGGGTTAGGCGGAGTTCACACAGGGACGTACCATCACACTGCAATTACAGGCCGGTGGGTCGGGGTTAGGCGGAGTTCACACAGGGTACCGTACCGTCACACTGTAACAGGCCGGCGGGTCGGGGTGAGGCGGAGTTCACACAGGGTACCGTCACACTGTAAAAGACCGGCGGGTCGGACTCGGAGTTAGGTTCAGTTCAGACAGGATACCGTCACACTGCAACAGGCCGGGGTGAGGCGGGGTTCACACAGGGTACCGTCACAGTGTAACAGAGTAGACCGGGAGGCCGGGGTTAGGTTCAGTTCAGACAGGGTACTGCAGTGTTCCATTTTTCAGACTTTTTGGTGGCAAATCACACCTAATGGGGAAAATATTTTCATCCCTAAAATATGAATCACCGACTTTACTTCATCTCTGAAAAGAGTTTCATGTATTCCAAAAATCCCAACAGCCTGTTCACATGTCACTTGACAGTTGATGCACCCACATCCTTTTGTTCCACACCCTGTCAAGATCCTGACATGAAATCTTGGTTTATCAGTTGGCATAATTGAACATTGGCATTACACCATTTTGCAAAAATATTTCAGTTATTTACTTTCTTTTTTCTCATCCTAGGATTTTTTCCTTCATCGGCACACCCTACCAATATCCAATTTTAGAACACTGGGGTACTGTCACACTGGAACAACTGAGGCCGGCAGGTCGGGGTAAGGCGGAGTTCACACGGGGCACCGCCACACTGTGGCAGGCCGGCCGGTCCGGGTTAGGCGGGATTCAGACAGATAGGGTACCACTACCTATCATCACACTGTAACTGAGGAAGGCGAGTGAAAGGTTTGACGACGGTTAACATCTCGGTCACTATCATGGCAGGATGAGCTTGAGGGTGGTACGATCGAGGCGCCGCGATAATCGAGAAGAGGATACGACTGACTGACGTGTAGTAGCGGATGTAGGTTAAATTAACATCATTCATTCATTCATTCATTCATTCATTCATTCCATCCGCCAATCAATCAATCAATCAATCAATCAATCAATCAATCAATCAATCAATCAATCAGTCAATCAATCAGTCAACCAATCTCCCATTCATTCATTCCACCAGCCATTCAGACTATCAATCAATCATTCAGTCAATCAGCCAACCATCCCTCACTAAGTCACTAAGCCCGTTCACTGACTCCCTTCAGCCCTCGTCTGACCGGCCACTCACGTTCCAGTCGAGTGATGTGACGTCCTTGTTGCTGGGCACCTCGTTGCCGTCCTTCTGGATGCAGTGGCGCAGCACCAGCTGCTGGTTGCTGGAGGCGTTGTCGGACATGTTCCAGATCCGTGCCGTACTGTCACCGGAGCTGCGAACGGCGGCGGGGGAGATGGTTAGGAGATAGAATGGAGACAAGGTTGGGACAGAGTGAAGACAGGACAGGAGACACAGCGGATCAAGATACAAGTGGGAACAGCAGCTGGTCAAGAGACACAGAGGAGACAGGTCAAGAAAACTGCCGGTTATAGCGGGTGCCGATTATTTTACCCGAAAGATCAGACGCTTTTTGATATCATGTAAAGTAAGAGGGTAAAATTGTCGCAATTTTCCTAATAATTATCAAGCGACAACAATCAGACACAGACACAAGACATACAAGTATGGAATTTAAACCAACGCAACATTCATGCGAGTCGAATCGACCCGTACTCGACCCGAATCCCTCGCCCCATCCCTCGCTCCCTCACCCGGATGCCAGCAGGTCGGTGGTCGGGTTCCAGGCGCAGATGAACACCTCCGAGCCGTGGCCTTTGAGAACGGTGGCCTTGCTGGGCGGGATCTCGATGCTCTGGTCCACCTGCGCATCGGTACACTGAGATGAAATTCGCAGAGAGTCAGTTGAAAGATAGAGTCGACATCAAATGCAATCAGTCGGTAGTCAGGCATGGACGCGCGCAAAGGCTATACAAGAGTATCGGCGAGATGTACAAACAGCAGACATCAAACGACGAGGAATTAGACAGGCAGGTGCGAAACAAACGTAGCTCGTGTACGCGTTCAATGCTCTGACATTTAAATCACATAGTAAAAACAAACAAATACATATTAGTTACAATTAATAGGAACGATGAGAATGATTTATAAAATCCCCGTTAAACACAAAAAAAGATCGAAACGGGGTAAAACGATTACAAGTGCGATCAGTGTTGACTGAACTATCTCAAGCATAACACTTCTGAATATCGGGGTTCATGACTCAAACGAAGAAAGATCAGATAAAACCTCGGTTGATATAATTAGGGAATTTTAATTTCTAGAGCAAATTTAATGCATTATTATTGAAAAAATGATGTAGTGTGAATATGATCTAATGGATACCTTATGGATAACAGTTCCGAATTTGAAATAATTCAGGGAGGTTGAGTGTCATAGCATCAAAATGCAAGAATTATGCACATACACTATACAGTGATAAGGAAAGTGCGGTCAAGGTGGAAATCGACATTCAAATCGCGCTGCCATTGTCAACATTTCCGTTAGCCAATAACGAAGAGCATCAGCAAACTGAGACATTGTTTAAGGAGCAGCATCCAAATATGTAAAAATGAATCCGTAAATTCTGGTATGTCGATAAACATTTCAAAACGGTTCATGCAGCGCGGCTTACCTCTGCATGAAAATGTCACGTCTTCTAATCGATATAATAAAATAAAATAACATCGCTATAACATAATCAAATAACCGCTGACAGACCCACCTCCATGGCGTCGACGGCGGCTGCGGCGGGCTGCGGCGGCGCCTCGTCGCCGTTCGACTGCGGCACGTCCGTCTCCTGCTTCACCGGCTTCTGCTGCTGCGCCGCCAGCTGCTGGCGCGTCGCCACAATGTCCGGCATGACGGCGTCGATCAGCGACAGCGACTCGATCAGACGCTCCGTGCCGTCCTGTGGATACCACAGGTCAGGTCAAGTCAGGTTAGACTCGATCAGACGCTCCGTGCCGTCCTGTGGTCACCACAGGTCAGGTCAGGTCAGCGACAGCGACTCGATCAGACGCTCCGTGCCGTCCTGTAGATATCACGGGTCAGGTCAGGTCAGGTCAGACTCGATCGAGCGCTTTCTGTTGTCCTGACAACAAGATTAGGTGAGTAAATACATAACTACGATCCCGTTCAACTATCAAGTATTGTCACGCTTCAAATAGACCCTGTTCCCGGCGCGCTGGGAACAGGAGGTGACGAGTCGCACTCGAGTGCAATGCGCACTACCCCGCCCCGGCTGGTTGGAAACGGCTCATCCACAAAGCAAAACGGGTGCCTAAAAGTAAGCGCAGCCACAAAATCGGCTACAATGGAAAATAAACTACACGTACTGTTAACGCATTGCAACACAAGTTACTAACACGAAGTATTAAATGATAAATTGTATAAACTGAGGCGGGTCAGATAATGTGCAAAAGGGCTGAAACACGTCACCAAACATGCGTCAGGTAACCTCGTAATTCAACTTTTTTTTTTACTGTTGGTTAAAATAACCTCTGAAGCCTCAAAGGAAAAAACATCGTCAAAGAATCCGTAAGCATGTGCAAATACGGTTCAACAAAACTCAGCAGTAACTCAGGCAAACAAAACTAAAATTCAATTTCCTAACACCATCCGCCAAAAATTGAATGGTTAAATCCAGTACGTGCACGACGATCTTCCGGTTACATTACAAACGAGCGATATACTTCCGCAGCACCGTACTCCGCCGTCAAAGATGGCGATGGACGCCAACCCTCGTTCGGAACTTCGCTACTGTCTCAGCGGGGCTGCCAAACAACCCTGTTTTGAATCCGACCACTCCGATCGGCTCTACATGCCACCGCCATTCCCGTCCCGACCCCCTGAGGGTAAGATTAGGAGAGGGACGGCCCCCACGCCCTGCCTCCGGAGTGAGAGAAAAAGAGAGAGAGAGATAGATAGATAGAGAGAGAGAGAGAGAGAGAGAGAGAGAGAGAGAGAGAGAGAGAGAGAAAGAGAGAGAAAGAGAGAGAAAGAAAGAGAAAGAGAAAGAGAGAGAGAGAGAGAGAGAGAGAGAGAGAGAGAGAGAGAGAGAGAGAGAGAGAGAGAGAGAGAGAGAGAGAGAGAGAGAGAGAGAGAGAGAGAGAGAGAGAGAGAGAGAGAGAGAGAGAGAGAGAGAGAGAGAGAGAGAGAGAGAGACAAGTGTGTCGCCAAGGAGCCTCCCAGTCACCCACGAATCACGATCACCGTCCCAGTCCCCCGGTCACCCACCTCTCCGATGCTAATCTCCGCCTCGGTGTACTGCAGGCCCTTCTGGACGATGGTGATGAGCGCCGCCGGCGGCACCAGCGCGCCGTTGATGTTGCTCTGCGCGATGTGCGATTCCATGCCGAATGTGTAGGCCGAGTGGGAGAATCCTGCAGGCCGGCAGACACGGGAGTTGGGATAAGCTCCGTGGGTAGCCAATGGGAGTTCGGATAAATCCAGCGGGTAAATACACGGTAAAACAGGATGAGTTTCACGGATGGAGTGGCATATAGGTTCCTACACCTGTGATTCCCGGTGATTCCTACACCGGGAATCAGTGTTACAATGTATCGGGATTTATAATCGATGGAGTGTGCGAGGTAAGTAGCCTGGATGGGAAGACACAGTGTGCGCTGTGGAGGGTATGTCAGGTGCATCTGCACCATTATAAGGGGTGGCCGGGGCCAAGCAACAGGTACACAACGAAGGTGGTGGCGCCACTCTACCTCAACTGCCAACTCTGACACTATCACCAGGGGATTGATGACAAATGCAAACCTTTACGATATGCTTTCAAAATTTCACCTTCAAGTAAGGAGTGTGAGGGGCATCCTTTCAACCAGTCACTGACTGCATACTTATGATTAAAAATGCTGTTATAACAGTGTAGGTACAGCCCACTGCTAAAGTAATGTGTGGTTTTACCAATCTCAACGGATGGCTTTGACAGACGATTTTTAAATGCGGACTGATTGAAAAGAAGACGTCAATAGATAAAGTTGTAGCTGCAAGGGTGAAGATACATGCAACCTACATTTAAAGTCTCGTTGCAGTCTGGCTCATCGTTCCTAGGCTTCAGAAGCAGAACATACCCTTGACTGAAACCACACATTACTTCTTCTGTGGACTGTACTTAACCACTAAATTTGAGAGCAATAAGTCCAGCCATTCCTGAGATGCTTGACTGGAATAAACCAACAGAAGATGCTGTTATGGCAAACAGCACAAACACTTTCATGAAATTGAACTGGTTTGACCAATGCATGGCTCAAACAACTATATCCTTGTTCCAATCAGTCAACTGTCAAGTACCTACTTATACCTGATGTGGGCACCAAATACACATAGTCTACACCAGCCCATCAGAATAAGCCTAAATCTAAGCCTAGCTGAGCAGATTATCATCCTCACACATACCTGACTCCTGCAGATACCTGTATACCAGGAAGTTGAGCTCATCACTGGTGAAACTCATCTTGCTGATTTCTGAAAAGGATATAAGACTGAAAATAAAATATGAAAGCATCAGTGCAATGTGTTGCTGTATTGCACTTGCACAACAACACAAACATGATTATTGCATGACAGCATGCTACAAGTTAGGGAGAGGGGCTGATACAACACATTTTCATTAGACTGTGTGGAGTGTGCATGGCCTCAGTGGCTCCTTGTACAGCAAATTTGTCTTTAAGCATTGATCTCGGTGTATCTTTATAAACCAAAATAAACGAAAAACGAATTTGAAATTTATTTGTTTTACTTGAGCACGCATCACCTCAAAAATTTGATAAAACACAGGTCGCGGCGTTTATGGCGCTCTATAATCAAAGTCTACTAACAAAAGCGAACTGTATGTAAAGTGAATAAATGACAAAATAAGTTGAATATGCACCACTCATTCACGAAATTGATATCGTAGATCAACATAAGCATTACTTACCTGAAATCGACGAGACTAAGTACGCCCACCACACGCAATTGCCGCCTTGCAAAGCACCGGATTTAAGGCTGCCTGAATATTTCGTGAAGGTAAAATACAGTTTTTCAATTTTAAATGACGTTTCAACAAATTTGTTCATTATAATGCAGCATTACCTAAACTTATCGGATATTCTTATAAAATTTTATATTAGCCTATACATTATGCAGTTTTTTAGATTATATTTGATGCTTTATTGAAACAAAATTCGAAATTGACAGCATATATTCAATAAAACAGGAGGGCACGTCAACCAGCAGTTTACGGGACCTTGCCGGTTCCGTTCAAGCGCGGAGGAGAACAAGAGAGGAGTTCGTGTGGTGTTTATGACTAATTTCTTGCTAATTTCAATTCATTTCGATGTAATGAAGATCAGTCTTATGATTAGGATAAATTAGGAGGTGTGTGTTTCCCTTTCTCCAGATGCAACCGTTTGTTTTCGTTGTTAATTAAGCCTACAGGCAGACTGGCTATTGATTCACCTTTTTTTGGATTCAGATTGATTGAATCAATGAATCATTGATTCATTCGATTTTTTTTTCGATTCAATCACCGTTCCATACTTTAAAAAAATGGCGAATCAATTCATTTAGATTCAGAGAATCAAAAAGATAAAAGGAATAATTCACGTTTCAGTTTAATTCAGCCAAAAAGTTATTGAATGATTCATTTTTTGATTCAATTTAGAAAATCCCATATTCAGGGATAGTATTGTATTTGTTGTGTTGTTATTGTTGTCATGCAATGTTTATCACATGGCAATATTGTTGATAATGAACTATGTTCACTTCAATTTTTATTTTTTTCTTAAGCATTAATCGTGTAATTTTTGTATTCAAGCAACGCTGATTCCCAATGCAAATCAAAATGTGTTTGATGCAATCATGGCTTGTGAATCAAATGATCCTGATGGTGAATCAAACCTTTTTGATTAAACAATTTTTGTTTGATTCAATCTAATTGATTCAATCACGAGTCAATCAAACGACAGTCTGCTTACAGGGTTACAATAACCAATGTCAACTGTATTCAGGAATCAGGTGAATAGTCTTTGGTCATCTGCATAGGAACTGTTAATGAACAATGAATGAGGCAATTTGGCGCACTTCTAAATTGAAGTTAAAGTGGTGATAATTGCTTTCAAATGCACTTTCTGCACACTTTCAGAACCTGCTTGCTGCAACAGAGCTGACAAGATGGAGGACCCAGGGGAGCACCTGCTGGCCATCGTGTTGGACACCAACCTCACCTCAGTGGTGTCAAGCGGTGGCGACGCGGGCGCCGTGCTAGACTCGATCCTGGCCTTCTGCAATGCCCACCTTATGTCCAGCACGGCTAACCTGCTCTGTCTGACGGTGGCACACGGCCGCGAGAACCGCGTGCTCTTCCCGCCCGAGCTCGACGACGGTCAGTCGGCGCAGGCGCACTACGAACTTTTCTCACAGTCCAGCAGTGGCATCGTGCGCCAGCTGAAGGCGATGATGGAGGCGGCGCCGCCCGACCTGCTGACGAGCGCGCCGATGGCCGCCGGTCTGGCCATGAGTCTGTGCTTCATCAGCCGGGTGAGCCGCGAGCGGCCGCCGCACGCGCGCCTCCAGAAGCGCGTGCTGATTGTCTCCGGCCAGGGCACCGTGTCGGCCCAGTACATGGACCTGATGAACGTTTTCTTCACGGCGCAGAAGCTGGAGATCCAGGTGGACGCGTGCGTTCTGGGCGCCGAGTCGGGCGTGCTGCAGCAGGGCGCCGACATTACGGGTGGTGTGTGTGTGCGCGTGCCGCAGCCGCGCGGCCTGCTGCAGTACCTGCTCTGGGCGTTCCTGCCGTTCGGCGAGCAGCGCCAGAAGCTGGCGCTGCCCGAGCCGCCCGTGGTCGACTACCGCGCCGCCTGCTTCTGCCACCGGCAGCTGGTGAGCGTCGGCTTCGTCTGCTCCGTCTGCCTGTCCATCTTCTGCAAGTTCGCGCCCATCTGCTCCACCTGTCACACGGTCTTCAAGGTGAAGGGCATGTCGCTGCCCAAACCGAGCAAGCGGAAACGGCCCAAGCAGGGACTGTGATAGACTGGTGAAATTGGAGTGTCGCGCATGTGCTGGATTGGTCTCGGCACCAGTACAGATATTACTAGACACTCTCGTTGGACAAGGACGGTGTGGGACGCGACACGTGCTGAACAAAGACTGTGTTTCTGATGTTATGCGATAAACAAAATACATTAACTTTGTATATTTATAGAAGTTACGCAACATAGCAATATCAAAGTCACTCGGCAAATGTGTTGGATGACAGCCGGTCTCGTTTGTAGAAAAATGAAAACAGCCTTCGACTGCATCCAGGAACTGCGGGCGTAAATGAAGGAAAATATGGCACTGTCCTGGGCGGCTAATGTAAGTGACATTTTTACATTCGCACATGCACTGTATAATTGCACTTTCGTTGCACACTCGCACAAATTACATATTCCATTCCTGAAATCATAGGCGATCCATTTGACCTACAGGCTACAGCAGTACATGTTTTACTTATGACACGACACGATCGCCCTGGTATTTTGATGCCTCCATAATATACACATCTGTCGAAAAAGTCAACCTAAAGACACCCCGATACCACATGGTAAGCTATCCTCAGAATGTATGCGCGGAGCGCTACTGAGCCTCTCCGCTAATTGCATTGTTGGTACCCTGCGCCGTCCGTGTCACCCTCCGCGGGCGGACGTTTACACTTTGACCACAGCCTTGCCGAAGTTCTTGCCGGCCAGCATGCCCATGAACGCTTCGGGCAGGTTCTCGAATCCCTCTGTGATGGTCTCCTCTGCCTTGATTTTGTCGTTCTCCAGCCAGTCGCGCATCTGAGTGACGCCCTCCTGCCAGCGGTCCGACCAGCGCGACACGATAAAGCCCTCCATACGCAGCTGCTGCATCAGCATCGGCATCTGCAGCATGGGCACCAGCGTGCGCCGGCCGCGCGGGTCGTTGTAGCCGGCGATGCAGCCGCACAGCGACACGCGGCCGAACAGGTTCATCTGGCACATGACGGCGTCGCTCAGCCAGCCGCCCACGTTGTCGAAGTAGCAGTCGACGCCGTTGGGCGCCGCCTCGCGCAGCGCCTTGCTCGTCTTGGCCGTCTTGTAGTTGATGGCGCGGTCGTACCCCAGCGAGAGCAGCCAGTCGCACTTGGCGTCCGAGCCGGCGAAGCCCACCACGTGGCAGCCCTTGATCTTGGCGATCTGTCCGACGAGCGCGCCGACGGCGCCGGCCGCGCCAGACACCACCACCGTCTCGCCCTCCTTGGGCTGGCACAGCTCCAGCAGGCCAAAGTAGGCCGTGTTGCCCGGCATGCCGCAAGCGCCTACTGAATGCGAGCGGGACAGGTTTCCCAGGTCGGGCATCGGCGCCGTGGCGAACGGCAGCAGCTGGCCCTGGTCGCGGCTGGCCTCGCGGATGGTGTGCGACCGCCAGCCGAGGCCGCCCACCACGTACGAGCCTTCCGGGTAGCCCTCTGCGCGACTCTCCAGCACGCGCGCGCACTGCAGGCCGATCATGGTCATGGGTACCTGCATGTTGGGTGTGTAGGCACGCTGGTACGGGTCCACGCTCACCCACTCGGCCTCGCACAGGTACTCGCCGTCCTTGAGCGCGCGCAGCGGCTCCTCGTGCAGCTCAAAGTCGGTGTGCTTGGGGAAGCCGTCAAAGTGCTGCACGAGCACCCACTTTTTCGCGCGCAGGCCGGACGAGTAGGAGGCCACCCGTGTCGCCGCCGACGGTAGAAACCGACTCAGTCGGGACGCCAGGAAGGTGCTCATGGCTGAATGAAAATTAGCAGAATCTGAAAAACAGGGCAGCTGTTTAAAGCAGGCATGTAACAGCCTGAAATAGTTCACACAACAGGACAACATTGGACAAGCAGACCCATTTGTGCCAAGCATACTATAACCATGCCCATGCTATAGCCTATAACATAGTTTTTCAACCCCAGACATACAAATGATGATAACTCAGAACTTTGAAGGTTTGAGACAGTCTGAATCTACCTCATTCACATATGACTGATTGATGCTTAACAGCTATGATAGAATGGATAGAATGGTTTAGCATATGTTTTATGGTGGGTCTGGTATCTGATGAAAGTGATTTGGGGGTTAAGGGTGCCCAAACTGCAGTAGTCACTGATCAGTGCCCATAGGTCTGGTATGTTGTCTTTTTTATACATTTATAATCCTGAGAAATTAATGACTTCTGAAACTTGTGGAAGAGAGAAATGTTATAGACACATTTCCTTTGTACAATAATAACATATTTAATGTAAATGTTAGGTCTAAAGGCCTTTAGGTGTTCTGGAAATGATATTGTCTGGGGTGTGCCTTGCTCAGTAAATTTCATCTGGAAAACTGATGAAAGTTTGGGACCAACAGTAGCTCCTGTACAGCAGTCCTGAATTGAATTGTCCCACACTCTCACAGGGAACAAAAATAAACTCAATCAGAACTAACATGGGTACAGAAAACCCTCAGTTGCTTATGTACAAGGACCCACAATTGATGCACAGTTCAGTTCATGATATCACTGTGTTCACTGCGCAGTTCTGTTTATATCACAGCACACACTGAGCAAACACTGAGAGCTTCTTTAACTGGTAGGTAGGTACTAGGTTTGTGCAGCAGTAATATCACTGGAATCATCTCCTGGTACATATCCAGTGACTTGCCAAACAATAAAGTCATTAAGTCACTTGCCATCACTATTTATCACTCTATTTATACCTACTAGGTAGGTACCTAGCTTGCTACCAGACAGGACAGAGTTGGAGTTCCTGTAAAGTTAACAGTAGCACCTAGTCCTACAGGTCTCTACAAGATCTTGAGTAGGTACTACAGTAGATGACGGATCTCAATGTATAGCAATAGTACTAGTAGATTGAGATCCGTCATCCTGCAGCCAGGGCTAGGGGTCAAGGTTTAATTTGCTGAGTTGAGGCCAGCTTTGATTGCCAAATCAAAATTCTGATACTTGATTTTGGCAGCCCTGGCATCTTCAGCCCTATCACTTCCGAGTTCCGACCTGCGACCCTGAAATGAAATTTGACCATCTTACGAACTGGCTCATCAACCCCCACGCAGTATGCTAAAAAGCGAAAGTGAGATGGGCGATCGTACCTGAATATGCGTAGATATAAAAAAATAGACCCGAGTCCCACTTGGCTTATCACCGTGACAAGGCGTATTTCTTTATTTATAGATGGCCTTGATTTGAGCCAGTTCAGCGCGTTGAGCGTGTAAATAAATGGGCGTCAGCCGGGGTGGGACTAAATGCTTACTTCGAAATCTAAGCTACGTTGCGGCATTGGCGGTTATGTGCGGCGTGTATGCCGCATGATTAGTAAGCGGCGACCACTAAATTAAAGACTCAAACGCTCCGACCGGTTCTCAATGAATAACACTGCATACCAAAAATGCCAACCGCTCTCGTCATAAGATATTCAGCTTTAAATAACTAGGTTATCTACATCATCATTTTGAACCAAATTAATACTTTCAACTTAACTCACTCATTCCTTCCTTTGTTGTCTCCAAACAGTCTTTCGATTCTCTGGAAATCGTATGCTAAATCCCGTACCTGTATGCGACTGGTGCATATAAAGGCCGATAAAAGAATTTGAATAGGCTCTGGCATGCGATTTCCTGGCTACCCAAAAAAGTCTGTTTCAGTCTTGCTATCAAAACATGACCTCGCCCGCACAGGGGGAGGGGTTGATGCAACCCCCCTAAGGTTTTTCGCGAATAACTCGCTTAAAAAGCGGCTGATCGCGACGAAACTTTCAGTACCCTCGCATTGATCAATTTAACACCCATCCTGAAAATTTCATGACCCTGACCCAAATGACCTTTGACCTGTGACCTACTTTTCGAGATCATGTTTGGCCGGAACCGCGATTCAGCGTATGTCGGCTCGCATTAGCAGCGCGTTTGCAGTCTTTTCGTGGCTTCAAGCGTTCAAACATGTGATATGATGTTGCCCCCATGCATTAGGGTGGGTGTCAAGGTCACCTGAAGGTCAGGTCAGGTCATTGACCTTTGGTGACCTCGGTTCACTTTTTCGAGTTTGACATGTTTCTAGGTCAGTTTTTCGAGCTGAATTCGAATTAAGCAACCACATGAACGTTTACAAAGTAGTTTTGGTGCCTTCGTAACATGTTACGAGGCTGTCAGAGGCGGTTGACACCTACTACAAATACCTGGCAGGACCTCTACTGGTTGACATGACCTGACCTAACCCGACCTGGCCTAAATGAATGAAGACATCATCTGTGATCAAAACTAGCATGATATTCGTGATCAGCACCCCGAAAAACCCCATAGCAGCCACACTACGACGTTCTAACAGGTCCCAATTTTCCCGCCTTTTGGGTCATTGACCTGACCTGGAAGGTCAACCGATGACCTAGGACCTTAAAATTGGGTATCATCGGCTTTCTCTCGTCACGGGCAACACGCTCGTTTTTTCCGCGAAGCTCTAGCTTGATCAGGAGCGAAACGGCAAGGGGTTATACCTTATACGTTCGCGGCTGAGTATTAATTTCGTTCAAAACAATGATGTAGATAAGTTAGTTATTTAAATCTAAATATCCTTTGACGAGAGCGATGGACATTTTTGGTATGCAGTGTTATCCATTGAAAACAGGTCAAAGCTATTGAATTTTTAATTTAGTGGTCGCCGCTTACTAATCATGCGGCATACACGCCGCACATAACCGCCAATGCCGCAACGCAGCTTAGATTTCGAAGTAAGCATTTAGTCTCACCCGTCAGCCGCGATTTGTTTTCATGACGGTAGCGTCATCTATCAGCGAAGGCCTACGCTGGACTGGACTAAAAGTTATGAAATAATTTTTACAGCTTATGGGGAACGTCAAATTTTAAGCATTAAATTTATTGAAAAATATTATTCAGTTATATGAACGTCATTACATCTTTGAACCCCTGAACGATCCAGTGTTTAATACTCAAATCCACATTCAAAAAAAGATGGCGGAATCCCTAACCATGAGGCAGATCCTGCGCGGGAAAGTCATTACTGGCTTATTCTACATTATATGGTTATATGGTTATGGTTATATGGTTATATGGTCATTATATGGTTATATGGTTTCCCGTGTGTAAATGGTTTTAACGCACGACGTGGATGGATTGGAGCACGAGTGTGTTAATGCACGAGTGAAACGAGTGCATTAACGCACGAGTGCTCCATTCCATCCACGAGTGCGTTAAAACCATTTATGCACGGAAACCATGTGTTAAACTAATTAATACATGCTTAACGGTGCGAATTTAAATTAAAATTAAACTTTGTCCATGACACTGAAAGGGCCTTTAATGGGGACTCTTACAATAAAGTCAATGACCCTTCCGAAAAAACTTCAGTCGAGAAATTCATCACTGCACGCGCGTGCACCAATTTAAATTGGTGCACGGCTACCTTCGAATTAACGCACGGTTAATCTCCAGTGAACGCACCGTAAAGTATGTATTAATGGGCATTTGTCATAGGGGGCCTTGTTGTAGTCAAGATTAGTTTGAGAGGAGATTACTGTTGTTTGACTGTCGTGGAATAAAATCACAGGTCTTGGCATCACATGAATAAGTTTTGCTCTTAGTATGGCCACTCACAGAGTTTTCAAGCTATTTGGTAATTATTTAGCGAAAGCTGCAACATCAACATTCAAGCCCCAGAGTTATGTTGCGTATCGTTCCCGACGAGGGCTATTCATATCAGCGACTAACCTCTCCAAGGCAGTTGGGTCATCAGGAGATTTCTTCCAGTTGTTTTCTCTGAGCAGAAAGTTTGACCTGAATTCGACTGAGCTCACCAAGCAGTTTCGTATCCTCCAGAACAAATGGCATCCAGACAAGTTTGTCGGCAGGGCTAAGGTTTGTGCAACAGTAATATCACTGGAATCATCTCCTGGTACATATTCAGTGACTTGTCATAAAGTCATTAAGTCACTTGCTATCACTCTATTCATGCAACTTTGACTTAGATTATTTCATTGTAAATTTGTACATGTAGGGATCCTTACTAAAAAGCAGAAGCATATTTATAAAAGAGAAATTGCAACTTAGCACAGCCAATGGTCAATAAAGGCTGAAAATACCTTTTGTCCAGTGGGATATTTGTTTTTTTTCTCAAAATAATGATGTTTTTTCAGGATGAGCAAGAGCTGGCTGCTAGAGAGTCTTCATTCATCAATCAAGCTTACAGGACACTGAAAGATCCTTTGAAGAGAAGCCTGTATCTCCTGAAGCTGTCCGGCCATCCATTGGAAGATGGAACTGTGAGTAGGTTGTTACTATTGCCAACAAGGTTTATTAGTATCAGGTACCCAATAATATGGCCATATCAAAATAATGCTGAGTTAAATGAAGCAGTTTTGGAGTTTTGGTAGTTTTCCCACTTAGCTAGTTTGAAGAAGTGCTAGTGCATTATATTCTGTTCATAATGGCCACCTGTTTTTACAGACTGAAAGTGACCCAGAGTTCCTCATGGAAATCATGGAGCTGAATGAAAGACTGGCTGACATGAAGTCACATGATGATGTGGTGGCCTTAAAACATAGCAATCAAGAGATGCTGGATAATTTACAGAGGTATGCATGCTTTTTTGCTCTAGCAGCTATAATTGCTTTTGTTTTTCTTAATTGGATAGTTTTCATGTTTGCTAGACTAGCTAAGCTATCTTCTCAAATGCCTATATAGCTAAAAATCCATCTTAGCTAATAGACTAAGCTAAAGTTGGATAGGTACTGATTTCTTCCTGCACAACAAAACTTGTGGTGGGATAGAGTACACTGTAAAATATACCATAAAAATTAAAAACAGGAGGATTTTATCAAATTAAGGCTTGATTTGAATCTGAGCTCTAAGGCCAACCTTAAAACAGCACAATTGCCCAATATCACTTTACTATTGTGGCTCTCGCCAATCGCCCGCAATTACCGGCTACAGTTATGTTTTGCCGTGCCCTGGTTTTGCCTAGTTCGTATAAGGCGGTCGAACGCAATCCCTCGGTTTTTCACGAATAACTCTCGTAGAAAGCGGCCGATCGCAACGAAACTTTGAGTACCCTCGCTTTAAAGGAAGACTGCCACCTTCAAAAAGTTTTCTCAGATCGGCCTATGATTTATTCCCTGGACAAAACAAAATTTTATAATTCACCTGACAAAGTATCATCACGTGAATCGCGAAAAAAAATTGTCGATTATCATACAATTATCAATCAGTTAATGTCTAGCGACAATGTTTACACATCACTAGACTTCAAGGTCATAAGATTATTACATTTTATTTGAAAAAGTAAGGTATTTTATGATTTACTAATATATGATTTCATAAGAAATTGGCCATGTTTAATTTATTTTGCATTTCAGTTCGTAAAACATTTAAAAAATCATGGCTCATTTGGAATGGGTCTGGCCCATGTTAAACCCCATTTCCCACACTTTTTTGGAAAAAATGAACTACTGAATATATAAGTTTAACTTTTATTTTGACACTCCAAAATTCTTCTCTGATCTCGAAACAATCAAAGTTTTGACATATATTTACCAAAAGATAAGAAAATTCATGTTTCAAAGTTATCGATAAACAGTAGAGATGTCGGTTTTCTTGGACTAAAAAAATGGCATCAAACTGAACTTTGGTCTCCGATTTCTCGCAAACGGGTTCGAATTTCGGAAAACCGACTTCAGTCTGGGACATAGGTGGCTCAGCTCTAGTGAAAACCGTTTTGTGGAAAAAAGGTGGCAGTCTACCTTTAATCAATTTCACACCTACCCTGAACATTTCATGACCCTGATCCAAATGACCATTGACCTGTGACCCCTTTCTCGAGACCATGTTTGGCCGGAATCGCGATTCGGCGTCTGTCGACTCGCATTAGTCGCGCGTCTGCAGTCTTTTCCATCTGTGATCAAAACTTGCATGATATTCGTAATCAGCTACCCGAAAAACCCCATAGCGGCCACACTTTACGGTGTTCTAACAGGTCCCGATTTTCCGACTTCTGGGTCACTGACCTGACCTAAAAGGTCAACCAATGACCTAGGACCTTAAAATTGGGTATCATCGGCTTTCTCTCGTCACGGGCAACACGCTCTTTTTTTCGCGAAGCTCTTGCTCGATCAGGGGCCAAACGGCAAGGGGGGTCCGACGGACACCCCCCCCCCTTATACGTTCGCGGTTGGCAATCCACTAATACGGGTAAGGGTTAAGTCCCGTCGCCGGTCGTCTACTCCCGTAGCTTGCCTAAAATGCCGGTCCCGTACCTCAGTGGGTAGGAAGAGCGTTGGACTCTCCGTGGTGAGAGCATGGGTCCCGGTTGTAAAAGTCTGAGTTCGAGGCGCGACGGGCGCTCGATATTCTTGAGCCCTTCTGGCGGGTCTGGTGTCGGTTGGTGACAGGCTAACCAGCTCCATACCAGCCGAATTCAGTAAGGGACGTGGCTATGTGTGCGTGGCTATGTGCGTACGTTAAACTTCGGACTCTAATTTCTGCCATAGACCCGGAATTGCGCGATCAGAGGGCAGAGGGCAGGGCCAACGCAACAAGCTCCGCTTAGCGGGAGCTCTATCCTTGTGAGTGAATCCTTCCATCTCAAAGGTTCGGATTAGATATAAAAAGTCGTCCCCAAATTTCGCCAGTCACGCGGAAAAATAACCACTTACCGACATGAAAATGTTATCAGCCAGGGCTGCGGAGTCGATGGTTTTAAGGTGACTCACTCCGACTCCGACTTCAAAAATTGACTCCGACTCCGACTCCAGCTCTGACTTCAGAACTCGACTCCGACTCCGACTCCAGCTCCGACTCCGAGTCCGGACATTGCTCAGCAAGTCCATATAATGAAATCAAATTTCATGTCGCAGATCTTTTTACCTTGCCTGCAGCGACCCTTTGCGCGTTCAGACGCCTTGCATTGGAAACATTTTAGATAGCATTCATAGATAAAAACAGGTTCGACGCAGCAGCCATCTTCAGTTATTATTATTTTTTTTTTTGTCAATGAAAACGCTTGTCCTCAACTTCAACAAAATCATATTTTGAAAGGTCAATGAGCGAAATATCGTCATAAAGCAGCCATGGTGTTGGGCACGACTTTGGGCAATGCAGCAATGCAGCTTTGAGCAATACCGACTCTGACTCCGGAGTCGGAGTCGGAGTCGGTAAAATTTTAGCGACTCAAACTCCGACTCCGACTTCGGGCAAAACTGCCGATTCCGACCGACTCCGACTCCGACTCAGACACAGACTCCGCAGCCCTGGATGAGCCAGCGGCCCAACTGATATATTTTCACATCAGTAGCCATTTTTCCACCTGGTTCGTTAACTTTATGGAACACTCAGTGCTGATCTGGGGTAGGTATTCCACCCGGCTCGCCCGCAATTTCTTCCAGCCACAGCGTGAGGCTGCGTGTGAACTGCAATCGGCGGCAGTAGTTCCGGCACAGAGACAGAGTGAATGATGTCATCCTGCTGCTCAGCTGCCTACTGCTTCCAAAAGCGAAATCAGTTTATGCCAATTAAAGCATTTCAGCGGTTACCAATACCCATCTCCTGGGGACTGTCAACTGTCAAGCAAGATAACACTCAAGTGTTAAGTCAAGTGTCAAGTGCATAAGGCCAGTCGCTTCCTTCACTCCTCCTGACCTATTCGCTTCTGATCGGTCACTTCTTTTAGAAGCAGTAGGCAGCAGAGCAGCAGGACGTCACGAACACGTGATATGTACAGTCTGTCTTAAAAGTACCGCGCAAAGTGACGTTGGATCCATCGAGCCTGACTGAGGAAGGGCCTGCTAAATTTGGGTCACCGAAGCAATTGACATCCTCGTCCATTCCCTAGATCAATTGGTCGGTGGCTTTCAAATCAAAGCAGGCCCTTTCTCCGTCAAGCTTGGTGGATCCACCGTCACTTTGCGCGGTACTGGTAATTTTAAGACAGACTGTACGGTCCGTGCCCAGCTATGTGGGGTGGTCATATTTGTCCCGTCATCCCAGGATTCCTCGATCGGGTGGAGGTTAAGTCAGAACATGTATAAACTCTGTTTTGAATGGTCTGACCCTGAAATCTATGCATGGAAATTGAAATCATGCGCGAAGTTCAACATGCCGAAATCGGCTCGTGGCCTGATGGATGAAAAGACTGTTTAGTAACTCAGTCGTATCATGTTTATGACTATAATTGGACAAGCTCCCCTACTGGATCCGAGAAAGTCTGGCCACCCAGTCACTCTGTTTGCGATACCTACTTTATATCACCTCGATGCGCACTGCGCAGTCAATCACCGAGCGCACCGCGGAACCACCGTTTTCTGACTACCCGCTGGCCTGCGCCGCCGCTACCGACCTCTGGCTCCGACCAGGTCACGTGACCTTGGCTGACCTTGGGCAGGGTCAGCCAGAGGCGGATCCAGCTCAGAGTTTTTTTGTTTTTTTTGGGGGGGGGGGCAAACCATAACAATTTATCGATTCTTTCCATGCCTCGTCCATAGGCGTAATGTTAAAATTATGTCATTTGGGGGGGGGGCAAATGCTCATTTTGCCCCCCCCCCTGGATCCGCCACTGGGGTCAGCCGCCTGGCTAGACATGCACGACCCCTAATAGGAGGTGGCTAGTCCGGATGGACGGTTAGCTAAGATGGTCTTCATGCGACTATGCAGACACTACGTTTCATATGAGATTTCCGATTGGACGATATATGGGACACCGGACAGGACCTACACAATTCACCGGCTAGGTATCCCCCGTCCCCATGTCATTTTTCGTCCTTCTTGTATGTTACCTTATTTTGTTTTGCTGTAACTTATTTGTTGTTGTTTTAATTTGCTTAAATAACTCACATTATTCACTTCGCACACTTTCAAGAGTTTTGAACTGCGCAATTCTAAAACAACACAAACCCTGGCGTCTTACCCTCTAGGATCTGATAGACAAGTTGTGAATTGCGATCAAGCGAGAGCAATAAGCGGCCAAAATTTGGCGCACCCAAATAACCAGATAACGTTCTGTGCACTGGAGTGGTCACAGACATTAACTAGACTGATCAAGGATGCTCTATTAAGTGGCTGCAGCCGCTCCCTCCAACGCGACTTCGTCTGTCAAGTTAGCAGTTTTGAATGAACAACTTGAAAGAACGTCTCGAACCTGGGCTCAATCATACATGTGTAATGAGGAACAGAGGGTCATCAGGGAAGGCAACCTGATGGGGCACCCCATGGGTGGAACCACATTGTATATAAATAACCAACGGTGGGTGGAACCAACGGATAAGAAGTTTCATTATTTTTTGTTTTCAGGTCATTCGCTGCAGCGTATGACTCCGGGAACTTTGAAGAGGCCCGAAAGATCGCTGCTCGAATGAAGTATTATGCAAATATCAGCAACAAGGTGCTTCATTTCGAAAGAGAGCGAGGACTTTAGCTACAACAGCTGGACAGCTACTTCACTGAAGGTTACCTTACTGGAGTCATTTAGTGCTCCGTTGTTTGGTCAGTTTTCGCCGGAATTATGATCGTGGACTGACTGAAGACTTGCGCTAGTTATTTGTTTATACGATTATGCGATCAGTGCCTTGTGGATAAATGGTAGACGTTGATACAAATATGCACCAGATTTCCACATTGTGTTGGGTGTGACTGAATATTTTATGCATGAGTAGTGAATGAATGGGAGTGTGGGGGTGCGTCGTTCCCCCAGTCCTCAGCTCAGCTTATGTCGGATGATCACGAACAGGCGTCGTTTGCTAGAAACTAATTGTGAAAACCAGTAATAACCTATGCTTTCATAACTGTATACCTATCGTAGTAACGAGGTATACTTTTCTTGTGCCTTTGTATTCATGACTAGATTTGTTGATGTTTGAATACAATATTGGCCGTGATTGAACAAGACATAATCGTTGTTTGTGCACCGCCTATGACTCGTGACTGGCCAGTGTGAGTCGTAGCGCCCCCGTTCAGGCCACGGGCGTCCTCACTCCGACGGCCACCCAGCAGCGGGCCGAGCTCTCCATGGGGCAGGTGACGCGCGCGTACCAGCGGGCCGAGCTGGCCGCTTCGAACACGGACGCATCGGCGAACCCGCCGGCGGCCAGCTTGTAGCGCAGCAGGCCCAGCTGGTAGTCGCTCACCACGGCCGGGAAGCGCGCCTGGAACGCCTCCACCGTGTCCAGGATGGCCCCGCCGGAGAGCTTGTAGGAGCGGTACTCGGCCTGCACCTGGCTCAGCACTCCGGCCGCGTCGTACAGCGGGCGCACCGTGTAGCTGGCCGTGTCGCCGGAGCCGGCGGCGGCCGCCAGCGCCTTCACCTGCTCGCCGGGTGTGCCGCGCGTGTCGGTGACGGAGAACTCGGCCAGGGTCTGCAGGTAGTTCTCGGCGGCCGACACAGCGAGCGGCTTCAGCCTGAACGCCACCGGGTAATGGTCGGAGACAGACTCTGTGAGCTCCTCGGACAGACCCCAGGCGGCGTCGAACCGGAACGGCGCGGCGCTGCCGGCCACCAGGGCACGGCTCAGCGCGTCGCCGCGCAGCACTACCCGGTCGTAGGCGCAGTTGGTGGCCGAGACGGTGGTGTCGGTGTGGTCAGCGATCGCCCACGTCACGTCCTGACGGTGACGCAGTCGGTTCACGGTCCACTCGCTAGACGTGACGTAGCTGCAGCCGGCGTTGAAGTCACCCAGCAGCGCGACGTTGGTGGCGCCCAGCTGCGCCGTCGTGTAGTCGAGTACATCCGAGAGCGCGTCGATCTCTGTGTCGGCGGCCGACGGCTGCGTGTGAATGCCGACCAAAGTCAGCTCGTCCAAGTGCCGCACGCCGCTCACCGCGAACGTGGCGATGTACGGCTCGCGCGCGAACACGTCCGTGGTGTCCGGGTACAGCTGGGCGGCCTTGACGGACACGCGGTCCGTGCGGTACACGTAGCCGTACTGCTCGTACGAGCCGCGGCCGACGCGTGGCGACAGCGTCACCTCGTACTGCAGGCCGGCGGCGGCCGACACCCGCGCCGTCAGGTTGTGGATGGCCGTCTCCGACACGTCCACGATCTCCTGCACCAGGATGATGTCGTAGCCGGACAGCACCCGCGTCAGCACGTCCATCACCTCGGGTTTCTCCATCTTGCTGAGGCCGAAGCGCTGCACGTTGAAGGCGGCGACGGAGAGCGGCTCACTAGTCACGGTGGCCGTCTTGGCGCTCGCGCCGGCGAGTAGCGCCAGCAGCGTTGCTGCGATCATCGCCACCTTCATCTTTGTTTCAGGGAGCTGGACGATAGTGGCGGCTGTGGAGAACGGCCGCAGTTTATAGCGTACCGAGTGACAGGGATGACGGAGCTCTCGGTGGCCGCAGCTGCGCCTGCTGGCGTCAGCGCGTGTCACCGCGTCTTGCTGTGACGCTTGGCTGCCATCGTATCGTGACACCGTCGGAGTGGAGGATGGATGCGCCTGTCGGCCGTCCGGCGCCTCTCCGACCTACAGTTGACGGGTCGTGTCCGCCGTGTCCTGTCTGCGTGACGGCGCCCGGACAGAGCTGTGACACGGTGTGACGGGGCCTGTGACGGCCGGGCGATGTGATGTGACGGGAGAGTGACAACACACCTGTGTCGCCAAGCGTCCCGACGCGCGCGTCTCGCGAGCCCTTCCTTCAGAAGCGACCAGGATATCCATGCAGCGATGAGCGAGAGGTCCGGTTTACCGCCGATGTTCGACATCCGAAACTGTCTGACATTGCAGAGCGATCGACTTCACCCTGCAACCTCGCTGGTCTCGAGTTACCTTATTTGTTCGCCAAACTATTCACTCATGGTAATGCTTCTTGCATACCATCAAATCATCGGTGAAAGCGAGTGCAATATCAAGCTTATTAATACGCTGACGATAGGATAAGATGATATAATACAGACAGTTAACGCCGTGTGGCGGCCCACATGGTTTAGGTACCGAGACCGGTGAGGTCGTCTGGTAACAGTGGAGCGCCGTTCACGTCGGACTGTGCTGCCCGTGGAGGTCAATAGAAGGGCTGGCGACTGGCGAGTGACCCGGCCGGTGCGGCGGGCAAATACGGTGATCTCGGTCGCGATAGGGGCGGCCCGGTTCTGGCTCTCGTTTCGCCTCGACAGACAAGAGACGAGGCGGCGCCGGGAACGGCAGGATGGGGAGTTGGAGTAGGTACCCCCATACCCTTAGAGTAGGTACTGAGTGCCTACCATGCGTCACTATAAAAAAGTATATTCAGCTAAGCGAGCTTATACGAGCCAATGCGTCTCCAATCGTCATCACACTCCATCGTCACACAGGGATAGACACTCGACCATACATAATGATTAATGACGGCCTATGAGGACGTAGGCCTATGTGTCGATGGGAAAGAGGGACAGAAACCACTTATCACACATGTCTTGATGTCGCATGACCATCATTTCATTCCCCCTGGCCCCTAGAAGACACGTAAAAGCAAGATACAAAGGTTACAGCGTTTTAAACCACGATATTCTAGGTGGCATATTAGATTAATTAGTGGTAATTTATTTCTTCATGTTCATTTATTTTTGTATCCTACCCGTACATGCATGCATCATTTCCATGCACAAGTCAATGGCTTGGCTCTGCCCTTATTGCGCAGCATTCGAGTTAAAAGTTTGCAGTGTTTTAGAGGGTCAATTCGCATGGCAACATTCCTTTCTGCTAAAGTGGAAAGCGGCGCGCTGTTTTGATTGTATTGATGTGAACGGTGTGAATTGTGAGAGTAAACGAGAATAAATTGGATAAATTATTTTTCAGCATTTGTAGTCTGAGGTGTGGTAAAGTCCTTGTTGAACTTGGCCGGTTTGGAAGTATGTTGATTGCACATGAAGTGCTTTCTACTCACATGACGGCTGACGCCGTAGGGCGTAGTAAAGCCTTTTTTGAACCTGTAGTTGAAAACCTTTTGAATTTCAAAATGTTGACAATTATTTTAGTTCACAGGAGACTGAGACTGCCAATCGTAACCTAAACTGGAACAGATGCTAGGATTTTAGGACAAACCTTTGGCTGGACAAGTTTTTGTATGGCTGTTTTCGATCAAAGTAAAATAAATAGAATAAACATAGCATAAACTAACCTAACATGAAGTAGCTGGTACCTCTAAGAAACTGCTATCTCAGTTCAAAACCCCATGTTGAGGGTGAACTATTGCCTGTAATACGCTCGCTTCGTATTTGATGAAGTTATCGTTGAGATTGACTGAAACAGGGACTTCAGCTTGGATAACACTACTTTGATAACGATAATCAATTAGGATTAACTTGAAAAACATTTTTTTGAATACCAACTTTGATAGGTAATCATTTTCGTTGGAAGCTATCAAAGTGCTAACTTCTAACCACTGTTATTTGGCAATGAATCTCTTTAAGCTGCGTTTTTCTTATGTATTATACATACCTATGTATCTTTAAACCAAGAGAAATAGATCATTTGTCTGCTAACATCAGCATAGGTCACATATTTCTGTCATGTAAAATAATATTATTTTGATATGAAATTAATTTAACTGATTTTAAATACTCATTGAAAGTTCATAGCAGACATGTGCATGGATCCGAGTGATGGATCTATGATCTTAGTGGATCTCGAGGCAAATTGTAGGTTCGGATCTATGATCCCACTGAATCCGACGTGAAAAATTTATCCTGGATCTATGATCTCACAGGATCTGACGATAAACCAAAACCATGGATCTATGATCTGAGTGGATCCCACCATGATTGAACAACATTTGAAACCAGGTTTCCAAGTGGTTCTATGTCAATAAGTGACATAAAACTATGTATTATGACGTGCTATCACATAAAAGCACTAAATAAGAACGTTTGTGAGTTGCAACGAGTGATCTTTTGGGATTTCTGTGTTGACCAAAAATAAATGAGGATCTATGATCCCACTGGATCTCAAGCAAGAATACTACACTCAGATTAATGATCCCTACGGATCCCCTAGTAGCACATCAACATTGTATCAATGTTGTATCAATATTGACAGCAATGTTGTATCGATGTAATTCTGTTAGCTCGAGAGATCTCTCGATAAATTAAAGAGCTGGATCTATGATCCCGACGGATCCGAGATCAGGATCCATGGGATCAGATCCCAGATCCATTTTCTCGGATCCATGCACATGTCTGGTTCATAGGTCAAATGTAAGAAATTATATTACGCAAAATGACCTTGTAGTCGGCGCGCCCTTAAGCCCCAATAAACAAGAAATTATATTATTTATACTCAATGGGGTGTATAATCTTTCATGCAAGGAAACACAGAAGATCAACAGCCTCTTAGAATTGCCCATTTCAACATATTGAACTTCTTTTTTGTTGCAATTGTAGTTTATAGTTCTTTCATTTTGCAGAAGCTACTTACCAAATGCTGAAACTAACACATCTTGAATATACCTTGTATAGCTTTCAAGATTAACATGTTACAAACTGCCCACAGATGTTTTTCCCATATGCTCATGGCAACAGCAAAACAGTGTGGCTCTACATAGCGTGGTTGACAACATTACTTCTTATTCCTCATGGTAAGTGAAATTTGAAAAGCACAACACTATCTATAAAAGTTAGGTTCTAAGAAAGAAGTAAAGGTGAAGTAATTGTCTTGAATTATAGTATTTCATAGTTCCAGTGCTCTAGCTAGGGCTGTCCTGGTCCATTAGCTCTGACAGCAAATACATGACAGTGTGTGAGCAATACGGCATCGTGGCTCTGACAGCACACTGTCCCATCCCTCAGCCTCATTACAGGATTCAGCTCAGATTGATGGAGCCACTGCCTGTGAATGTGACCTGATGGCTGACCTCTGTGACCCAGACTGCTGCTGTGATCCAGTGAGTCTGTCTGCCTATATCATGCACATATTCTTGCGACAGTGTCAGAAACTGTTTGGCTTATCTATAATGGTGACAATTTAGTGGGTGTCAGTCACCACTCAACTTGCTTCTTATATATGGGTTAGGAGCTATACCCTAAGGAGCTATGTTATCACCACAGCTCAGATAAAACTATAAAAACATGCAGCCTTATAAAAATACTGAACTTGGTCTTGATCCGTCTGTATGACCGACCTCCGGCCGGTGTTTGGCAGGACTGCGAGGACTCCCCGGCATGTCCTCCGTCCGACCCGCTGGGAGCGCTGTCGGCGCTGCGCTGCTCGGCTCCGGCGGCCGGCCAGTCGCCGTGGCACGTGCTGCTCTGCCTGTCCGCGGACCGCTCACCGTTCCTGGGCCAGTTCCACTCCGCTCCGGCTCCTGCTGACATGGAGCTGTACCGCCGCTCCAAACCGCACTGGCCGGAGACGAGCGGCGGTGGAGGGGGAGGCGAGGGGGACGGCTACCGCTCGGGGTCCACCCTGCTGACCCCGTCTGGCCTACCGCTGCGGCTGCCGCGGACACTACTGGACGGCCGCTGTGCGCCCGCCGTGCCCGTGCCGTTCCTACGGCCCACCACGGCCCGCTGTCCGGTCACAGACGTACGCAGCTCCTGCCGAGAACGCTCCCCACTGGACCCGAGCGGCTACGATCAGTTATCTGTGCTAGCCGGCCGGTCGGGAGCGGTGGTTACCGCCCGCATGCAGCGCCTCTGTGGGTCCGCCAGCAACGAACAGGTGACTCAGTGCCCGTCGCGTCCGATCGCGCTCGACGGAGACGTGTGTCGTAACGCGTTAGTGAACCTGGTGCTGGTGTTCTCGTGGAATGGCTCCCAGGTAGTGGATGCGACCGTGAATGTGACGGTGGCGGACCTGGCTGTGCCGAACGGACGAGTGAACGTGACCCAAACAGTGGCGGTCAGCTTCCGCCACGTGGCGGCAGGGAACAGCACCGCGCCCTCGCCAGAGGGCAGTGCGGCGCGGCGCCTCGGAAAGACGGGATACCACCGAGACGATGTCATCATCTCATCAACTGAGCCGTAAGTATGACACACTGCGTGCTATTGACCGTCATTCAACGCCATTTTCATGAAAGTTATCCTTTTGTTCTTCCCTGTGGGTGAATGGGTGTACTTTGTTGCTAGTGTGTAGTTGCCTGCCGTTAGCAAGCGTATGGTAACTGCTACATTCAGTGTTATTGCAGTTGGTTACCACCGACCTATTTCGTTTTCCTCACCCTGCCGCGCCGTATCTGTCCGTAAAGCCGTCAGAGTACCTGGCGCAGTCGCCGGCTTAGCGTGCTGTGCTCGGATGGTTTATAGTCGGCTCCAAACTTGCTCAATAAGTCTTGCATGGTGTTAACTTTAACTGAAGTCCGTGTAATGAAGGCCTCCCACCACGGCACGTTCACGGCACCTGCTGCGCTTTGACTACCCAAGGCTGCTGAATGAAGATAAATTGAACTGCTGTTATGGGGATAATATCGATCGACAGCAGCCGGGTTACCAACGGGAAGAGTTTATCAACATTATGTTAACAAGCCGGCCAGTTATGCTAACTCCTCTTGCAGTTAGTTTCTCCAGCATTAGAGCAAATGAGTACCTTCTTAATCTTTAGTATGAGTACCTTTATGAAATGAGTACCGTTTTCATACTATCAATGAAAAAGTTTCAATGAACACTTCTCCCCTAGCCATTAATCATTAGTCGATGGGGGTGGTCATGAAATCATGGTTCTTAATTTATCGTACACTCTGATTTACGAGGCGCTCTCCCCTGCCAATTTGGATCGATATAGGGAAAACATTACGCTACTACGACGTCCTTTGGGGTCCGGATGCCTGAATCTGGATAAGTTATTGCATCAGCCTGTCGGTTGATTTAGACAGGGTTGTGCTAAGTTTGGTTGCGATAGGCTTGCTCAGTTTGGGGCCATTCAGAAGTGATTGGAACTTTTTCGCCCGGTAAGCAGTTGGTGGGTTACCGGCGTTTTCGAGAGACACATTGTGTTTCATTGGTTTAGGGATGAAACTCTTACTGGCCACTCATTTACCGTACAGTCGAAAAATAAAACAATAGGGCGGTAAAGAACGGAAAAGAAGTGAAAGTGAACTAAATGCACAGAGTCGCTATGTGTTGTGAAGTCCTTACACACAGAGCGTATGTTTGGAATTAAAATTCTGACTTTGGGGATTGTATAATGTACATATATTGACCCATCACCCGCATTACGAAACTTATTCTTATATTTCTTACAGGTGGCTTGGTGAGAGTAACATTTGAGCGTTCAGCTATTCCCACATCCCTTATCGATATGCATTTGTAACGCTATTCTGACGACACTGTGACGCTGTCGCCAGGGTGAACGTCACCTCTGCTGACCTGCCCGCCGACCAGCTTGGCCCGCTGCTGACACTTCAGTCAGGTCAGTCACGGCTGTCTGTCAGGGCAGTACATACACGCCAAGGTGCGGTACTGCCTCGCCCGTCACAGGGCTGCCGTGCAAAGGCAAAAACGCATATCTAACATTTTTCTGTCAGCACAAAATTTTACACAGGGGCGAGTTTTGTGTTTTTCGGTCATTGTGGTCTTCCATTGACCAGAAGCGCAGCAATGTATATATCATTTGAAACAGAATAACGCGTTCTACCTATGTACATGCGTATCATAGTCCAAAAGTAATAAATATTCATATAATTACATAAAAGTTTTTCTGCCATTGCAATATTTTCTTTGCGGGGGTGACCCATGCCAACGACAAACGCGTATCTGGGCAAATCCACACAACGGTAGATATGCGTATTTGCCACTCGGCACAAGGCGGTAGCACTATGGCAAATACGCGTGTTGGGAGATATGCGCACGTGCCATTGGACACAGACGCCACAGCTAGCTGGAAAAGAGACGTATAGTAAGATGTGCATAATTGCCACAATCGTCCTATCGGACTAGACAACTAACATATTGGATGATACGCTTGTTGTTTCGTGGCTCGTGCATACAAAACTTATGCCCGTAAATACATATGCACACGTAACTGACCACACCCTGTGATCAATACGGGAGATGCAGATTCACATAGCTGGCAAGACGTTTGTGCGTTGGTATACATAATGTTGTGACGCTGTCGTGGATCCTCACGCAAGTGCCTGGTTCCGTAAAAAGGTTGCCGGCCTTTTAACCCTCGCACTTATAGAGCGGGGGAGGGGTCGTATGGAGTATGGACCCCTCGGTTTTTCGAGACCGCCAAAAAGCGGCCGATCGCAACAAAACTTTACTTACCCTTGAGTTTAGAAATTTTACACCTACTCGAAACAATCTGATGACCTTGACCCAAATGACCTTTGAGCTGTGACTTATTTCTCAAGACCGTGTTTGGCCGAAATCGCGATTCGGCGTATATCAACTCACATTATCCGCGCGTTTCCAGTCTTCCAGGGGGGGGGGGAGTGTTTAAGGTCCAATGAGTTCCTTCAAGCACAGGGCCTCGGCTAAGGAAATTTGACTACTGGGGCAAATCGTCAAAGTGTGTTGGCGCCCTGCTGGGGGGGGGGGAGGTTGAACACCTGCAATTTTTCCTGCGGTTTTTCGCGGATATCTCAAAAACGGCGGCGCTCCAGCATCCATCAATTCTACACGTGTTGTAAAATTTCAGACCAAGGTCATTCAAGATCAGGTCACCAGGTCACTTCAAGTGACCTCACCTCATAAAATGTTTCAATGAATGCCGTAGCTACACCGAGTGACCGATCGCTTTGAAACTTCCAGCGATTGATAAGGGCAACACTGCATGTACAAAATTTATATCTCGGAATTTTCATATCGGGGACCTAAGGTCAGCTCAATTTTGCGACCTCTATTATAAGTCAATGGGAAAAAATTCAAAACCACCTCTTTTGGACGAAAGTCGTTCTAAACACTATAAAACACTGTACGTGACTTTGACACACTGAACATGAAAATAGCACCCGTGCCCCTTGCTTATATGCCCCTGAGGTCATCTCAGTTCACGAATGGTATCTAACAGTTTTTCGCGAATAACTTTTGAAAGAGGCATGCTAGAGCGATGAAAATGCCTTAGTTGTGTTTGGCTCGACGATGCAGATCGATTGATATGCAACATGACAATTTCCGGTCAGATCATGACCTTACCTGAGGTCGAATTTTCACGTTGACCTTCAAGGTGAAATTGTAGTTAATTTGATGCGTCTTGACGAGAGGAACACGATGTCGGTAAAAGAAAGCTCGTGCAAGGCATGAAATCTTCTATTTTGGTAGTTTTTGCCCATTGCAGGCAAAACCGTTGACGTTAGGTCAAATCTAAGAGAAATAACCAGAAAGCATGCTAATAAGGCTATCAAATGCGCTTTTCCGCGGTGCTGTAGCTCTAATTGGTTCCCGAGTTATGCGTCGGCATCTTGTAAACTGTCGATATTCGACCTGAAAATCGGCGAAATTTGGCGTTCACCATGACCTGACCTTTGACCTGACCAAAAAAGTGGCCGAAGTAATTTCGTCATTATTTTTGACGCTCTTTCGAATGAAGATGGATTATGGGGTGCAAAAAGACATGTCTGCCAATGCACGCCTATGTTTTTGGATAGACATTGAGGGTGCAGCTGCACGCCGTGCACTCCCTCTTCCGCCGCCCCTGATTTCTTGCCATAAACGTCTTCAACCGCTCCCGAATGAAAGAATGTGCGTTAATATTGATGTATTCTCATTTTGTGGAGGTTGGGCAAAGCCTGACGACTACTGGGGCATTCCTCGACTCTACTGAGGCATTTGCCCCAGTACCTAGTTAACATGTTAGCCGAGGCCCTGTTCAAGCAGGGGTAAATTTTAGCACAGGAGGCGCACTATATACTTTGTTTTTACATGCCGATTGCCGAAGTTGGCGTCCAATTTTGTTATTTCTTTCACAATATGATAGCAAATACATTTTTAAGTACATATTGAGAAAATCTAGTTAATACAACCATAAAATGGCAGTTAGAACTGTGCTAAGAGTAAGACCTGTTCCGGTTACGGCGGGATCAGCCGACGCGGAAAGTTTCAGCCGCAATTTTGTGCATAGGTAAACCCTCGTAACTCAAAATTTTACCGGCCGATTTTCGTATTTCTTTGACCATTTAATTGCCAGTACATTTGCAAGGCTCCATTGGGGTTTAGACGCGAATCGATTATTATCAGCGGTTACAGCGCATTGCAAAGACGGAAATGTCCGGCGCCGGTACAGTCTATAATTTAGGCGGTTAATAACGGCCAAGGCCAATTTTTTTGCGTTGAAGCTTTAGCTTTTGTCAATGCATGGCAAAACACCTGCTTAATTTTCAAAACATTTATAATATTTGTTTTACGCTGGCATGTTTTATTCAAAGGGGACACAGTCTCAGAGTCGGTACATATACCTAATCATCTAAGTCATTACGTAAAACATGGTAAAACATTCAATTAATAAGCGTTTTTGCAAGTCCCTCAGAAATCAGCCCCGGGCAGCGACGGACTGCCGGCCGGCCGACCGGCCCCGGGTGGCTGGAAGCAGGGGCCAGTCATTTGGTCCGGATGTGTAGGAGCGGGAGCAGCACTCTTTCACGTATATTCGCGTATTTATTTAGGCACATCGACATGCAATGTCATTATATCTGATACGATGCGAGATCACAGACCAGAGATCCAGCTTATAACTTATATTAAATATTTAACCGATGAATCAGATCAAAAGGACTATGTACGATGTACGTCAGATACGTATCCAGGATTTCGCCCAAGAAGGGGTCACCCGCTCTTGAAGGGGCCCGCGAGTCATCCGGGGGCCCGGTTTCAGCCCAGGCAAGGACGTATCCAGGACCTTTCGATGGGAAGGGGGGGGGGGCACGGTGGGTGTAGTCCCACTGGCAGACGGGCCTCTTTAAAACGGTCTTTGCCGTGAGAAAATGTGGAAAATTGGCAAGTAAAGGTATCATTTATGCCCGAGGAGTGTCCCTAATATTCACTAATGTCTAATGTGCATAGTATTTTACGAGCGAGAGAAGCGAGCGAGCTCCTCTGAGTCACCGTCCTCTGAGTCACCGGTGTGTGGCGCGCTCAGAGGTGCCAGTGAAAGGCCGTCAGATGCGTTGGTTTTGGGTCCTCACAGGCGCCGTTGCGGGGTCTCGGGGCTTAGAGACACTGGTGGGGCCATCATTGGCATGTGTGTGGCCGTGCAAAGTGGCCTGCAAGTGGAAAGTGGCCCTTCATAGGCTGGCAAGGACACTCAGAGGATGGTAAGAGGCCCTCAGAGGCACTGGTACGTGGCCCTCAGAGCCGCCAGGCCGATGTAGGCCCTTAAGATGCGCTGGTGTGGGTCCCTTGGAGGTGGCGTGAGGAGCTTCGCAGGTGCTGTCGTGGTGGCTTTTAGAAACACTGTTGTGGGCCGTGGGGCTATCACAGACGGATGTGGAGCCATTGCAGCTGATCCCTCATTGGCCGTTACTAGGGCCATCAGATGTCGGCAAGATTTTTTTTCGAACTACTCCGCCACCCATTATTAGGTGACCAGGAGTGCCCCCACCCTCAGCCCAGCGACTCACAGCACCTTACGTTAACACCAGACAAAAATAAAAAAGGATAAGTCGCGGCACTCCCAGCTAGGAAAATTGAAAAAAAAGTAAGCAAAAGAAGTGCGGGAACCGGTTAATAAATAAAGAGAGCCAAAGTAGTCATTGCTGAAAGCAGCGGATGACTGTTCTACTACATCTAAGAAAGAAGTCATTCATACATGCATACATAATTGGTTAGTAGAGTGCATTCAGACTTTCACTCCTAGAAGAAAAATCAGCAAATGGCAGTCCAGTGGGGAAACATTCTCTCATACACCGGCATTGGGCCTTTATGGAGATAAGTGTGGCTACATGGGAGCCAATTACGTGCTCTCACAAGCCCTGTGGTGCCTTTCCGAGTTGAAGCGCGGCTAGCACGAACCCTCTGCCACCAACTGGCGCCGCAGGGCCCCTCGGGTTCGAAGGAACCCATTGGGCCTTTATGGATATAAGTGTGGCTACATGGGAGCCAATTACGTGCTCTCACAAGCCCTGTAGTGTCTTTCCGAGTTGAAGCGCGGCTAGCACGAACCCTCTGCCACCAACTGGCGCCGCAGGGCCCCTCGGGTTCGAAGGAACCCTAAACCCGAGAACGGGCAAGTACCCACTCGCTTCCTGGCTATAGCCATTGAATCCAAGTGATCAGGAAGGAACCCTTCAGGTAATCAGGGGCCTCTCAGATGACCAGGGGTTTTCAATTGATCAGGGGCCCACCAGGTGACCAGGGGAACCTCTGGTACCCAGGGGCCCCTCAAGTAACCAGGGACCCCTTAAATAACCAGGGCCCCCTCAGTAAACGGAGGCCTCTTAGGTAACTGTAGGAGTCCCTCAGATAACCAGGGTCCGGCAAGGTCTCTCAGGTCCGTTTTTGACGAGGCTGTTATTGACGTCAGGTGCGAGCCCTTTGCCACCAGCAGAGGGCCCTTTCAAGCCTTTTGACTTTTGACTTTTGAGCCGTTTAAGGTCTCTTGAGGGCCGTTTGACGTCTCTTGAGTTCCCTTTGAAGCTTTCTAAGGGCCCTTTGAGCAGCCGAGGGGCCTTTGAGGCCTTTTGAAGGCCTCTTGACGTCAGCTGAGGACCATTTGGGGCCTTTTGATGGCCATTAGACGCCAATTGAGGACCCTCTGACACCAACTGGGGGCTCTCAGACACCAGCTAAGGGCTCTTTAAGTTTGACGCCAGCTCAGATCCCTCTGACAACAGCTGGGGCCCTCTGATGCTAGCTCAGGGCCCTTTGACGCCCTTTTAGGCCTTCTGAGGGCCCCCTGAGGCCTTCTAAGGGCCCCTTGAGGCTTTTTGAGGGCCGCTTGACGCCAGTTGAGGACCGTTGGACTCCAGCTGAGGACCGTTGGACTTCAGCTGAGGACCGTTTGATGCCTTCTGATGGCCATTTGGCGCCAGCTGAGGGCCCTCCGACACCAGCTGGGGGTCCTCTGACATCAGCTAAGGACCCTTTAACCCGCGCCGTGCTGGGGGGGGCGTTTTTACGCCCCCCCCCTCAGGTTTTTCGCGAATATCTCAAAAACGGCGGCGCGCAGCGCCGCCGTTTTTGGTACACGTGTTCCTACATCATTTCCGCACATGTTGTGAAAATTTCAGACCTAGGCCGTTCAAGGTCAGGTCACCAGGTCACGTCAAGTGACCTTACCTCAGAAAAAGTTCAAAGGCTCGCTATAGCTACACCGACTGAACGATCACTTTGAAACTTTCAGCGATTGATATGAGTAACAGTATGTATAAAATGTATATCTCGGATTTTTGATATCTGTGACCTAAGGTCAGGTCAATTTTGCGACCTCTCCATTATAAGTCAATGGGAGAAAATTGAAATGCGCCTCTTTTGGACGAATATCGTTCAAAACGCTCTCAAACATCGGTTCATAGGTAAACATGACACACTGAATAGGAAAAATGCACCTGTGACCCCTCTGTGTGCCCCTGAGGTCATCTCAGGTCATGAACGGTCGCCAGCAGTTTTTTGGCTATAACTTTTGATAGAGACGTGCTAGAGCGGTGAAAACACGTCAGATGTGTTCAGCTCGACGATACGGATCGACTGATATGCAACATGACCCTTTTCGGTCAGGTCATGACCTTGACCTGAGGTCAAATTTTCAAAATGACCTTTCAAGGTCAACAAATAGTTCATTCGACGCGTCTCGACGAGAGGAACACGATGCTGGCAAAAGTAATGTCATGGCGCTTATGAGTCAAAAGTTATTGACGAAAAAACGTTTTTCGTAAAAACGGCTATTTTTGGAGTTTTTGCCCTCTGGAGGCTAAACCGTTGACCTGAGGTCAAATCTGAGAACATTACTCAGAAAGGTCTGTAAAAGGGCTATCGAATGCGCTTTTCCGCGGCGCTGTAGCTCTATCGGTTCCCGAGATAGCCGTTGGCAGTTTCCAAAATGTTGAAATAGTCAACATTTTACCTTTGGTGACCTCTGGTGACCTGACCTTTGACCTGACCCAAAAAATGACCGAAGTGTTTTCGTCCTTATTTTTGACGCTCTTTCGATTGCCGCTTACCGCGTGTCGCTACGTGGCCCAGGAGCCGAGTTAGACGGGGGGGCGTGAAAACGCCCCCCCCCCCCAGCACTCGGCGGAAAGTTCAGGCCACCAGCACGGCGCGGGTTAAGGCCTTCGGAGAGCCGTTTGACGCGAGCTCAGGGCCCTCTGACGCCAGCTCAGGGCCCTTTGACGCCCTGGAAGGCCTTCTGAGGTCCGTTTGACGTTGGTGAAGGCCCTTTGAGGCCATTTGAAAGCCCTTTTAAGTCATCTGGGGCCCTTTGAGGCCATCTGAGGGCCCCTTGACACCATCTGAGGGCCCTTTGACGCTAATTGAGGGCCCTTTGAGGCCATCTGAGGGCCCTTTGACACCAGATGAGGGCCATTTGACGCTAACTGATGGCCCTCGAGACCATCCGAGGACCCTGTCACGCCATCCGAGGACCGTTTGAGGCCTTTTGAGTGTCATTGCAATTTCACCACAATCACCCTGGCTGCGCTACTAGGCATTTTATGGACTCATATGAGACTGCTGGGGAACGAGATGGGCCCTCCCGGTCTTTTCAATCTTTATTTAATCTCATTTTAACACGGTCTTCGGCGGTCTAATGATTAGGGGGCCCCCGACTTGAATGGAATGGATCATCTCATTGTCCTCATTGTGATATAGTGGAATCCAATGATTCACGAACTTACATTCGCAGCAGGCCCATGTCGTCCCCTATCTCCGCGTGTGTCCACTAACACGAATGACGTCACGCATGTGGGCGGAGCTATGGGCGGAGCCTAACGCACGCGGCAGTCCAAGCCGCCATATTTGAATTTATATTTTAATAGAATCTTGTCAATATTTTGGGTGAAGTCAATTTATATGGATAGCTTCGTGACAGTTTAGCTAAACTAATATTAATATAATATGGACGTGCGCATATTCAGCTTGGAATTGCTATTAAAGTTCCGCACCGCGTAGATTCGAACTCGGGACCTTTGGAATACTGCGCGGGCACGCTAACCACTACACTACCGCGACCGCGCGGCGGCCGGCGGCAGGGAGGCTGCGGAGACATGGGGGGACATTTTACGCTTTTGTGAAAAAAGCAAAAGATTTAGCGAAAAACACGTAATAGATAACTTGCAGAAAATTGTCTGCTCTTTCAGATAAGATACTTAGGTTTGATATATCTTGTGCAGACTTCATTCTACAGTGCTTCAAAAATCGCTCATTTACATGGGGATTGAACGGGGCTTCGAGACTTGACTCCAAATGACGTCAGGAGCTGACGTCACGAAAAGGTTGAATCGCCGGACGACCCTACCTGGTATATAGGGCCTTGCATTCGCAGATAATATTGGTTACGAGCCTTTCCCTTTTCACGGCAGATTCACTCATCGAAAAAAAGAATCACGTGTTTCACTACGATACCTCCGCTCAGGAGAAGCGGTCGAAAACGCATATCTGCAAAAATTGTCGAATGAACATGATTGAGAATCGCTCCACCACGACAAAAACGCACATCTACGTTGCTCGTTCACTGTTTACCAAGCCAAAAACGCGTATCTGCACAGATGTGCGTTTTTGTCTTGGAATGCAAAGACATTATAGCACACGGAAACCAACAATACGCATATCTGCAACAGATATGCGTTTTTGTTTTGGAAGGAGGATTATTTAATCCAGACGATTACCAGCAGGGAGTAGATATGTAAAAGTTATGTGTTTTTGCCTCTGTGGATGCCTGCCTAATTGTGTTGTGTGTGCTTTTTCCAAACTTATATACGAAATATTTAGTTATTAAATGACGTATAGACTTTAATATCGATATGAGCATGTGTAGCTCATAGAGAGGAATCGAATGGTATAAAAAAACAAATTTTGCCAAAATTGTTAGTTATGCGTTTTTGCCTTTGCACGGCAGAGGGGCATCGGGGTGGTGTTCGACCGTCGATCGCCGCCTATTACATTTATCGGTGACCTGATGACCAGTGCTCCGGTAACTCGGCTTGGTGACGCCATGATCCTACAACACGCAGATTAGTTCTTGTCAGGGTGATCGGTGCTGAAAGATTTGGTGCCCCGTGGCCGTTTGCTAGTGTATCAACGGCCGGATCACTCTGTGACGTCAGACATGGCGATTGGTGATTGGTGATCATCATGTGTTCATCGTGTGCTGGTGATCACTGGTGATCACTGATCACTGATCGCCAATCAGTTATCAGCACCCGGTGGCCTGTGAGCTGCTATCTCGGTGGTCAGCAAGAGCAACGACATTTTCCAGTGGCCTGCTGCTCCGGGCCCCGTGTCTTGACCCCGCACATCGTCTCCCTCACTTTATCTCGGGTGTTAGTTTACATTTATCTCCATCGCTCCGTCTCCGTCTCTGTTGTCTCCGGTTTCCATCTCCCATCGCTCCGTCCCTGTCGCTCCGTCTCCAGTATATCGTCTCCGTCTCCCCGATCCCTGGTCTGTCTCCGCCGCTGTTAAACCGTCCACATTCCACGGCCGTCGACCTCTAGGACGGCGGGTGTCTGGCAGACTCCCCCAGGGCTCCCCCAGGGAAATCAACCAGCCAGGTGGGGTGGAGTGCCCTTCCGGTGAGCGGGCACCCTCCTCCCCTTCCCGACAGGTGACTTGTTGGACTGAGGTCAGATAGGGGGATTCCGGAGGAACATTTGTCAAAGCTCGATCTTCGTGGAGAAAATGAAATGATTGAGGATTAATGTTTTTGAAATGGTGATTCCTGTTTAGATAATGTTATGTCGTGGACGATGCTGGTATTTTAGTACATGCCTTTTTCGATACCTACTACGTTGGAAACTTCTATATTCTGAACACTTCGTGGTCGTATTCTGAATTTGGAGCTGGCTTATGTAACTTTGGTCGTTAGGGAATTCTGGGTAGCAAGTGCACCGGAGAGGGCTGGAATTTCATTCATTTGGCTTGAATGAGATCTCGCAAGCCTACTCCATGACCCGTGCTGAGAGATTCGGAGAGTGTACTTGTGCTTATGCCTTCTTGCACAATAGCCATCAGACCCAAAGACGGGGGATACATGAGCAGAGTAAATGCGTATTACAAACGGATTACAATGGTGAGCAAATATGAAAATCCGTTCATGCGTACTTACTTGCTCATGTATTCGGAGCCATAGAGTGCCACTCTTCTGATGATCGTCAAACTACGATTAACAGTCGGTTGGTATATATCATAGTGTATTAGCGATGGTTGAGAGGTATATAGCGAGCCGTATGCACGACAATGATGTGGTCCTTCCTCGATAGCCGCCCCACTTTGTAGAAAAATACTTGGCTCAGTGCCAGGACCGCACCATTGGTCATAACGGAGATGAAGACAAAGTCACCACAGACCAATATATATCAAAACACACGCAGCGGCGGTGCGCGGGATCGGGCCGCCGCCCGCCGCGGTGGCTCGCGGCTCCTCCGGCCGACAGCTCCTCCCCGTGACCGCACGGATTCAGAGGGGATACCGACCCGGCCGAGGGGTCACCAGCGTCCACGAGCGGCGGGCGATGGTCGACCGACCAGCCGGCGCCAGACCAGTAGAGAGGAGCTAGAGAGGCAGAGGAAAAACACGACATTCATAGCTCACTAACAGCGACGCTCACGGAGCTAACGAGGCGCTAACGGGCCGCGGGCAGTGCCGGACGACTGCCGTCGGCTCGGAACGGAAACGCCGGCGGCGGCGGCCGCCGCGGCCGGCGCGCGGAGGCCACCAATGATATGATCTTTGTACCGGACGAGCGGTAACACATCGCAAATCACAACAAAGTTGCGCGGCAGGCGCTGCGCAGTGGCGGCGGCCGTGGTACGGCGACACGTTGCAGCCCCGCTGGGCCACGCCGGTGGCCTGGAGCGGGCTCTCGACCACGCGGGACAAACATTGGCGTTCGGTGGGAATCGAACCCAACACACACGCCTCCCTTCCGCCTCCGCGCGACGCTTCTGGCCGCGTTGAGCGTATGCTTGCGCGTCGCAAACTAAGTGCAATAGAGCCAACGCAGCAGACATTCACAGTCAGTGGCACACCAGGGCAATCAGCGTCATCAAACGGATATTTTTTAGAACACAGTTGCTGCACTGATTGCCTACTTGTTCAAAGATGCTGTTTAGAGGGAAGTGAATGGTAGGTATCCTTATGATCACTTCGGAGAAACGTTGCTCATTATATCATAAAATGAAATTGTTGGGAATGTCTGACTCGGACACCAGGAATGTATTCTGTATATATATCCTGTTTTATGACGCTGGGCCTTTGCATGCTGCACGCACATATAGCATTGGACAAACCTTGAACAATCGACATGCCTGTGTTCTAACGGACTTTTATGAAAATCTCATTTTCATCTCCTCATGCATTCTCCCTTTCATTTTCTTCTTTCACTCTCTCTCATTCCTGCTATCTTCTCTCTCCTCTCTCTTTCCCTCTCTCCCTCTCTCTCCCTCTCCCTTTCACTCTCACTCTCACTCTCTCTCTCTCTCTCACTCTCTCCCTCTCCCTCTCCTCTCTCTATCTCTCTTTCTCTCTCTCTCTCTCTCTCTCTCTCTCTCTCTCTCTCTCTCTCTCTCTCTCTCTCTCGTAGTGCCGAACCACGGCAGTGACGGGGCGAGAGCGCCTCGTCTTGGTCCGGTCGGCCCAACTCGGCTCACGTTAGCTCATTTTGCCCCAACTTAGCCTAGCTCGCCTCTTAGCTAGCACACGGGCAGCTAGCTCACACTCTGCATTTGAGAAAGAAGAGTGCCGGGTACCAATTTGTATCCCACTGCTCGACATAAACTCTAGTCTCGCGACAGATTCGTGCCGAATTTGAGACGAACTGTGGATAATTACGACGCCCAAAAGGTGACTAACACCCAGGGGTTAATGTTATGGATATTGGGTAATCTGTCATAAAGCTGAACCAGTTAGGCCGTAAGCGAATATTAGTGGAGAATTAAGCATGGCTTTCGGGCAGGAAAGCCGATGCCAGTTAACGACAAATGTCGGGACATCGAACAGATCCTATTGCATTCAATACACGAATTTTATATACATACATTTTAGGATAAAGTCGTGCGTGATAAAATGGAATTGACCCAGCTGCATTAAGTCTTATTTGAAGATAAATGATTTCTCACAAGCAACATTGGGGATTTCGTGATAAACAGTTTCTTTCCAACAATCGCACAGATCCTTCTTCTGAGGCCATTTCTTTTGATGGATATTGCTTCTGAGACTATCCGTTCTCCTTAGGGCGAAACAAATGGCTGAACCTTTCAGTGTCTGTATCATTAGGGGTATTTCTTCGGCGGCACTGACCATTGGCTGCCGGCCTGCTCTGAGAGCACGGGGCTGGGCTGTAGGTAACCCTCTGACGTCCCTGACCGCGGTGGCGGGCCGCTATTTTCTGACATTACTGACAGGAAGTGAGACGAACGGGTCTACAGTCGCAACAAACAGCCCTGAAACTCAACACAGTGCCGCCTGTCGTGCAGGACTGGTGCGGGGAATGGCGGTCAAGGTGGCCGTCTGGATGGCCACGGACTGGATTTGGGCGGGTGGGTCGTGGGACCGTGGACTGGCCGTTACTGGGATCGCGGGAGTGCAGATGAACGAGCACCACCCTTCCGGAACTCGGGACGGCGGAGACCCGCGCGATCGCGTCACTCGACAGTCACACCATACGTCCACGTCCACGTCCTACACTGGCAGACCTTGACCGTGGCAAGACCCACCTACCAACGAGACGCTCACAGCTGGTGGGCTCGCTACTGCCGCGCAGCTGCCGAGCCGGTCAGCAGCAGCAGCTGCAGCCAGCAGCTGGCCGCTGCGGCCGGCGGCTGGCCGCCAGTCGGACAGTTGAATTCGCTGCGCGGTAGCTTCTTGACGCTGACGATGTGCCGGCTGTCGTACTTTCTGCAGTGTGGGTCGTGGTGCAGCGACTGGAACTCCTCCTTCTCCGAGTGGTTGGTGATCCACTCCTTGAACCAGACCATGTCGCAGTTGCAGATGAGCGGGTTCTCTGCAACGTACAGCGGCGGGAGGCAGGGTTAGTGGAGCTCGGCGAATGACAAGTTATTCAACTTGCATGTGTGCAGTGTTTAGAAATATGTATTTCTTGGGAAATCTGACATATTCATACTTTTTTCGAAAACGTAGCTTCAGGTGCGCTTCAGGAACCGCTTTTTATGTTTCTGGCGGTAATTTAATCGGCATGATCCAACTTTGTATAAGTCACATTGATATAAGTCACCGAATGCTGGGTCACCGGCCCGCTTGCACTGGGAGGGCTCGAACTCCGAATGACGGTAAAATAAGTAACTAGAGCAATTTGCATTACTAAGGTAGCTCGACAGAGATTTATGGAGCACATAGGATATTTTGAATATCGAAGTTCAAGGTCGAAGTTGAAACATATGAAGCGAAATATACGACGGATTACAGTAGCATGAGATTTATGGAGGCCATAGGAAATTTTCAGTATCGAAGTTCAAAGTCGAAGTTTAAGCACAGGAAGCGAAATCTAGGACGGTTTAGTTAAGTACGTTTGCGTGTTGCATAGTACGTTGTCGTGGTTGGGGCATTCCACGTCAAATCAAACACCGAAATCCGTCATCCCCTTCGATTTTTCTGAAAATTTGTAGGCAGACTGGGCATGGTTCAAAACCGAGTTACGTATAATATTTTCGAAATTTGATAGCGTATCGCTGAGATATAGGTCATCGAATATAGCGAAAAATGCCACACATCAATTTTTTAAATGGCTATAACTCTGGTTCCTTTTCTGGTATCAAAATGATATTAACAGGGTCTTATAGGCAATTGATAAGGCTTTGATTTTTAATTATAAAATTAAATTGAAGTGACCTTGAAATGCATTTGACCTTGAATTAAAACAGAAAAATTTAAATAGCAAAAAACACGTCACCTTCGATTTGGGTAATTTTTACATATTATGTCCGTCACAATGTTCCTAACCATCTGTGAAAAAATTGGAGTGGGCCATTCATAACTTTCGCGGCAAACGCCGTTTTCATGCATCAACATCACGCAACCGCGCGTGACCTTGAAAGACAGAGTCAAGACATGCTTGCTTGTGTACACTTTCTGAAATGAATGATTGCTGATTAGTGATATCCCAAACTCTGCGAGAATGGAAATGCATAGTCATCGTAGTCAAGCATTCACGTTCCATAGTAAAAGTGTCTCAAGCAAACGGTATTTTGCGGTGAATTTTGAGCCGTGTGGAAATGCATCATGAAGTAAATTCAACGAAAACATTATCACGCAACGATATCTTCACGTCTTTTGATCTTCACTAAACGAAAGAACATACATTTTTTAGTAAGTATGGGGAATTTCTAGTTATTCCAATAATAAATATGGCAGTTAGAGGCCTGCTAAGAGTAACGTACCGCCGGCTGAGGCGGGCTCGGCCGATGCGGGAAACGCAGCAATCACAATTTTGTGTTTACACGTTTATATTTCCATTGTTTATCAACCGATTTTCAAAATTCTTTCATCATAAGATTGCCTGTACATTTCTTAGTCTTCTCACAAAATTTGACGCGAATCAAACGTAATCAGCGGTAGGGAGCGCGATGTAAAGACGGAACCGTTCCGTTCCGTCCCGGCACAGTCTACAATTCAGGCGGCGCGTAGCGGTCGGCGCCGGCTGCCGAGTCGCCGCGTCGCTGCGGCGACAGGATGTTCACTTTACACCGCTATTACTAGAACAGTTGTGAACCGATTTTCTTATTGCTTGCACGATGAGATGTCCAATTCAATTCTTGACAGGTAGCCATAATTAATTTCGCATTAATCTTATGAGATATTGGCGAAAAACAGGAGGGGTGGGCGAAATTCGCTCTTCCCCCTCCACTGCGCGTGCTAACATACGTTTGCATATGTGCAATTTTCTTCAAAACTTATGAATGGCCCACTCTAATTTTTTCACAGGTTGTTAAGAATATGGTAGGCAATAAAATATATGAAAATGAGCCAAATCGAAGGTGACGTGTTTTTTGCTATTTCAATATTTGTGCTTAAGAACAGAGTTAAGCAAATTTCAAGGTCATATATTTAAGTAGGTGAAATTCTAAACAAATGCTTAAGAAATTACCTGTACAGTAAGGTTTATTTCATTCAAATCAAACAAGTACAACTAAAGTTATGGTCGTTCAAAAATATAAAGATGCAACATTTTGTAAAAATTTGATGCCCTATATTTAGAAGACCTGTGGTCAGAATGTGCAAAAAACATCAATGTAATGTCCGGGGCCACACAGGAACTCGCTCACAAATTTATAATGAAATCGATGATGGTAAGGTGCAAAACAGCCGATTTTTGTTCGATTTGACGTGGAATGCCCCGGTTGTCTCCTGGATGGTCTGTGCTTACATTCGCGTCTCCTTCATGACAAGTTTTGCCACCCTCGTAGCCCTTTCTTTGTACTTTCACCGCCCCTCATTTTGCTATGTAGACAGCAGGACCGGTCATGGCCTGGACCGGTGATCTGAGTCCCGTTCGTGGCGTGACTCGGAAGCCACAGATGACCTCTGCACGCTATCGTGTCATCCCGGGCACACATCCGCCCCCTGCCATCGGCGGCTGGCGTCCCTCCTGAGCGGCCTGTCACCGCTCTGTCGCGGACCCATTACCACCAATGGCGAAAAGCCACTGATTGCAGTGGACTCGTTGTGAATAAATAAGTTTCAAGTTTCAAGTTTCAGTCGCCCGCAGAATCTGCTTTTACAATCCCGTCGGCATGGGTGACTGGCTGGGTAGACTGTGCCGCGTCACAGACCAGCGCTGCGGCACAGCCTACCCACGCAGTCAACGTCGTCGTACCGCGGCGCAGTCTCTCGTCTTGTGGACCGGGACAGCCAAGTTAATTATCATGCCGGATGCGCCAAGGAGCTGCTTTTGATAAGCAGAAAAAATGCCTGTCAATCCTTTGCCTTACTCCTTCCTGGAGACGCACGCATATTCAATATTCATCTCACCCTCCGTGATCGGGGGTGCGACAGCGTCCTTTCCCACCTGTGGCCGCCTGCCGCTCGCCGCCCGCCCGGGATCCCTATCCCGCCGGTATTCCGCCTGCAGCGGTGACCGGGCAGACCGCTACCGGCCGCAGACCTCTGTTTGTTGTCCGGTGTTTTTGGCTGCGGCGTCGTCCGGCCTCCCCAGGGACCGGGCGACGGTGGCGCGGTCTGGTGGCGGCGGCCCGAACTAACGGTAGCACACCTGGCCGTTGACGATCAATGGGTCGGCACCGGGCCGACGGCCGCTCTCCGGCGCCGACCTCCTCCGTCCCCGGCCGAGTCTCCGCCGACAGTATTACTTCAGTTCCCCGACCGAGCCCACGCGGACAATATCCGACCGACCCACAGCGGTCACGGTTCGTCGGAAGGTCATTTCAGGCTCAAAAGAAACGATATATACCATTCGAAAGCTGACGGTGAGCTGAATCCAAAAATGTAATTTTTATCAAAATCGATCGATGGCCTTTTTCGAAAATTGCGTTTTTGTAAAAACTTAATAATCTTTTATTCAACGGGCTGTCCCGGACATTCTTGAAAACATAAACATGTATTTTTGAGTTCCAGTGAAAGCTGAACGCCAAAAGAACAATATTTAGCGAAGCAATATTTCCAAGCATTAATATGCGTCTCCCACAGCCGACAATAAGGCGCAATCACACAGCTCAGTGTCACTATGGACCAAAGTCAGCCACACAGAAGCGTGAAATGACCCTTATCGACTCGCAGACCCGGCGCTCTCGGCCCGCCTGACCGGCCACGGAAAGAACGTTCGGCTCTCGTTCTACTAAACAAATGTCATATTTGTCAGTTTAACTGTCCACATCGCTATTAAAGTTATTCAGGCTAACTGTGAAGAAAATTCATTGTTCTTTCATCTTCACATCATGCATTAATTTACATTTGTTCATGTCTACTTTGCTCAATTGAGCTTGGTATCATGCCCATATAAGGAAAATTGGCCGCGCTGAAATGTCAGAGGTTGCACCGGCCTCAGCTCGGGTGGAGTGGGGGTAGCGCCCGGCGGGGCAGGGTAACCTTTGACCGGTCGCACGGCCGAGCAGCTGTCACCAGTACAGCCTCTGACAGTGAAACCCCGCTCACTTCCCCTGCGCGGGCACTGATCGCAGCTGGATGGAACAAAACATGTATAAGAAAAATGTAAATTAAAGCATGTTGTAAATCAAGCAGAACAATGAATTTTCTTCACAGGTATCCTGAATAACTTTAATAGCGATGTGGACAGTTAAAGTGACAAATATGACATTTGTTTAGTAGAACGAGAGCCGAACGTTCTTTCCGTGGCCGGTCAGGCGGGCCGAGAGCGCCGGGTCTGCGAGTCGATAAGGGTCATTTCACGCTTCTGTGTGGCTGACTTTGGTCCATCGTGACACTGAGCTGTGTGATTGCGCCTTATTGTCGGCTGTGGGAGACGCATATTAATGTTTGGAAATATTGCTTCGCTAAATATTGTTCTTTTGGCGTTCAGCTTTCACTGGAACTCAAAAATACATGTTTATGTTTTCAAGAATGCCGGGGACAGCCCGTTGAATATAAGATTATTAAGTTTTTACAAAAACGCAATTTTCAAAAAAGGCCATCGATCGATTTTGATAAAAATTACATTTTTGGATTCAGCTCACCGTCAGCTTTCGAATGGTATATACCGTTTCTTTTGAGCCTGAGATGACCTTCCGACGAACCGTGCGGTGTGCCATTGACATACTGTTTGAGATTATTTGCTCGAGTTGATTCAGTTATTTGCCGCATTGATGCCAATACTTTGCGAGATTTTTTATGGAGTCACATGAAAAGAAAGAAATACAAAATTTATTACGTGCAACACGACTTAAAGGATGCAACTGAACGTTACAATTGTTCTATCGTTCGAGCCGGCTCCTCGAAGTCGAATCTCTGTTCAATGACCGATATTAGGTAATCAAAGGACGGTTACGCTGGATTTCAAGTTCCCACCCTGAAGTTGCCGACCCATTGGCGAGGCTCACCGTAAAGGTCGATGACTTCGAGCGTGTTGAGCATGCTCTCGACGGTCTCCAGCGGCAGGGTGGTGATCTGGTTGTGACTGAGCTGCAGCCACTCCAGTGAGTGCATCTGCAGGAAGGTGCCTTGCGGGATGTCCTTGATGCTGCGGAGAGAGCGACGGGGGTCACTGCGATTGGAGGAGGACGAGGGTCGAGGCTGACACTGCGGGAGGGACGGGTCATTTGGCGTGTGACCCGCTGCTGTGGAGTGTGGGTCCACTCACATGACCCATCTCGTGTTTGACCCATCCGCTGTGGTTGCACGCTCATGTGAGTGCGCAGCTGTGACCCACTATTGTAATCACTACTGACTGGATCGCTTTGCATTGCAACTTGTCTACCGTGACCCGTCCGATGACTGATGGGTCCTGTCGTTTCCTTGACTCGCTTTGGTTCGTTTGCTGTGACCCCATCGCTGGCTGGCACGTCTGCTGTGACCCGCGTGACCCGTCCGTTGTACCGCGGTCGCCGGCAGTATATATCGACCGTGCCCCATGTCCGGCTCTCTGGCTAATGAGTGGCTGATGACGCCAGTTGCGCCGGCCCGGTGCAGTGATGCACAGGAAGGCGACACGCGCCGGCCCGACGCACGCCCGGCCGGCGGTCACGCTAATGAACCAGTGCCGACCTCATGACTGTGCTACTGCACGTGGGAACGCGGAAGCGCGCACAGCGGCGAAACGACCGGTCGGTGGATGTTTGCTCAATAAAAGTGTGTGTAGTGACTGTTTTGTGCGGATGCTTTTTTTACAAAATACATACACATTGTGCCTACTGGTGCGGGGCGGAAATTTTTGGTGGATGGGAAATATCCAGATCCCTCTCGCCAGTTGCCAACTGGCTAAATTTGCAATATGCATGCATAGAAACGCGGGTCAAAGGACGTGGATCCCTCCGGTCGTGAACTCGCTTCCACCGAATTGCGAGACGCACGCCGAGTCCGCTACTTCACACTGAGGACAAACTATGAGGTAATCATTGCCTGGTTCATCAACCAATCAGGCAAGTTATGACACAAATTATCCGTATGTTTGCCTGATCGCTAATGAAAATGAGACTCTAGAGATCTTATAAGATAATTGTGGGACGCATGCGCGACTAACGAAAACCGACAGAACTTTCCCTGTTCTGAACGAAATCTCGGATTCTTCCTGCTATCAATAGCTTTCACATACTTCTTCTGCAACTTGCTTAAAAAATGCATTACAAAAGGTTTAACAACATGCTTCGCTTTTAAATGGCCTCTTTATCCATTCCCACCGCCAGCACAACCCTTGTTTGGTGCGCCGACACCGACCGGACCGACCGACCGACCGACCGACCGACCGACCGACCGACCGACCGACCGACCGACCGACCGACCGACCGACCGACCGACCGACCGACCGACCGACCGACCGACCGACCGACCGACCGACCGACCGACCGACCGAGACCGACCGGACCGACCGACCGGCCGCTGCGGGAGGTCCTCAGACACGCAGCGGGGCGGACACGGCGACCAACAGCTACGCTCGCCGCCGGACTATTTTCCGCGCCCTAATGGAGTTTCAAATCGGCTGGACACGGGGCTGCCGCCGCTGCGGCGTTTTTGTCGACGGACGGCGAACGGCCGTGCGTGAGCTGTCGATTGGCTGGGCCGGCCCTCGCCGTATTGTTTGGGGGGAGAGGGAGGGAAGAGACCAATATAACGCACGCTTTGCAGTCAGGACAGGAATAAGCCGAAGATTACTGTAGTAGAATCCGCTCAGCGACATACACCGTGTATGTCGCTGAGCTGTATGGGTTGAGGACTTCATATGTGGTGGATGCTCACCGGTCAGGCTGGCTACAATTAACCACCCTCGTTATCGAGGAATCACTTATGTTCTGACAGGTTGTTTATCGTCGTATTCAAATATGCACGACCCACTCCGGCCGTGCCGTGATGCCCTCCCTCCGGAGGCCTTGTTTTGAGAGATGGCTGATTGACAACATTATTCTGCTGCACTTTGCAGGTAGCTTGCGACATTGTTCCGGGAAGTGGCACGGGCAACATTGGTCAATCTAAATATCTACGTTACGTAACAGTCTCAGCCACCTGTTGACAACGCGCCCACGGGAGCCATCCGGCTCGCTACGGGGCCTAGTTTCGGTGAGACGCTGACAGTGGTGATGCCGACTGGCAGGATTTTATCGCCATCGTCAGGATTTCGCCGGAATCGTGATGAGGCTGTATTGCCCGTGAGAGCTTCCCAGTTGGACTGAAACTAGAGCGTCCATTCGGTCGAATGGGCCGTCCACCGTCGGCGCCAGTGTCCAGCTCAGCCCATTGTGATGGAAATGGTGTTGCGCCACTCCCAGCGGATCTGTGCCGAATCGGCGCCTCGTCTCGGCAGGAGCCTTTCCGAGTCCTCGCTCAGTGTCGCCGCGCGCCGCACGATCGAGTGGCCATTTCACATTACACACATAGCTGTGAACGGTCACATTACACACATAGCTGTGAACGGTCGGCTTTATATCAGCCAGACCACCAGGCAGGGTTGTATACGACTCAGAGTTGAATCATGAATCGACTCAAGAATCAGTCGTTTTTCTTCGAGTCATGAGTTGAGTCGAATCAAATAATTTGAAAGCTTAATGAATCATGAGTCGAGTCGATTCACATATGTATAGGCCACTTGAGTCAGAGTTTGAGTCGATTCAAGGTAACGCGAGTCACATTTTGAATCGATTCAAGGAACTTGTCACAGTCTGCTCCAGCCACCAGGTAAGATAAACTTATTTTTAAAGTCATGAAACTGCTAGTGAAGTAGTGAGCACCTTTTATGTTTTGGCTGGCATCAGCTACCTATTATATTCAACTTTGGCAAGTCAGCATTGCAATTGCCTCAGCCTGTATTTATACCTATATGCAATCGCTACATCTGTGGACTGTTACTGGAATACTCACATTGGGTTGGCTTTGTGAGTGCTAGTAAGGGACACTAACAGGTATGAGATAGATGCCAGTTTACAATTGAAATAAAACCTTAAATAATTGTCTATCAAAGTTGTCTAGAAAGACCATCAATAACCCTCACATTTTTCTTTTCCGATGGTTCACAATTGCTAATTCGTGGTCGCGCATGACGTCGCAAATAACTATTCGTAAACAAGATGAAAATGAAGTTTTTATTTAATTCAAGCTGATAAATGAATAGGAACAGATTTAAAACGATATGAGAACTTGATCTTTTTAGCCAGAAAATTATAAAATGATAAAAGTGAAGAAAAAATATAACATGATTTGGTTTCAAATTAAAATTGTATGACGTCATTAACGTGGACAAATGTTTCTCGAGCTTGCATAGATAAGAGTAATATTTGTAAGTTATTAGCAATTTCTGTCGACAATCATGTTTGCTGCCATATCCCAAACGTAAAGGAAAAGCAAAAAATCGTAGCGGCGCTACCATAGCTAAATAAAAAAACGCTACCATAACGCAAATCAACTGGAAAGTGACGTTTTATTTAACTTTTGTTATTTATAATTAACGCAAACGTCCATTTTTAGGCTTGGTGTTGTATTTTTCTGCTAAATTTAATAAAAATTGGTTTGTTTATTTTGAGTTTAATTAGGTATGACAAGCTAAAGCTAAGGTTAAGATAATTGACGTCATGTGTTTATACCTTTAAAAAGTGAACCACACTACATTATTGGATTATGCCCTAAACCTTGTCCTGGTTTGGTCCTGGTTAATTCTCAAGGCCACAAGGCAACAGGGCATGAACAAAATGTTTTTTCTTTGCATTTTGATATTCTAATTAGCCTTATATTTGGCTTCATATTTGTCATATATTAAAGGCTTCATATTTGCATTCTTATTTAGAAATCAATTCTGTGCTGGCTTGCAGCTGGCACGTAGTTAAGTAGTTAGGTACATGTTGATTTGCTGCTGACATTTTTATTTACATTATAGGTATGCAAAGTGTGTTATGTGGTTTCAATAATAATAGCAACATGTTTTTCTTTATTTTTATTTCATACACAAATGAAATGGTTAATGTTAGATTTTTAAAATATCTACATATAGCTCACTAGTTGTCAGGAATTACATATGCAGTATGCACCCATGAATGCATTTCACTACATAGTAAAGCAAGCGTCACACTTCTTTTTGCAACAAAGGAGAGGCGCTGTAGGTTAGGTTTTAGGTTTTAGGTTTTAGGTGGTAGGTTTTAGGTTGTAGGTTGTGTTAGGCTATGCCAGGTTTGATTAGGTTTGGTTTGGTTTGGGTTGGTTGATTAGAAAGCATCTCTGGGTACAGCGCCTCTCCATGGTTGCAGAAATAAGTGTGACGCCTGCTTTACGACTACTTGTATTTCTTGGGTTTGCACAAACATTTTATGTTGAATAACTTGATGAGTCTGTCCAATGAGTTGAGTCAGAATTGAGTCATGAGTCGATTCAAATTATTTAACAGAACCCTTGAGTCATGAGTTGAATCGAATCGTTAAACTGAAAATATGCTTGAATCATGAGTCGAATTGATTCATATATTTCTTGTCATGTTTGAGTCAAGAGTTGAATCGAATCATTTCAATTAAAGTTTTTGGAATCATGAGTCGAGTCGATTCAGTTTTAGGAAACTCTCTTCTGAATCGACTCACCAAAAATTTGAGTCGTATACAACCCTGCCACCAGGGCGCCTGGGTCCCAGATTTCGGCACCATGGGGGCAAACTGATCACAATAATTATTCCCACTGAGTTCCCAAGTGTCGGCGACCGGCGTTACAACGGACGGTGTCCATTAGAGACAAAGCCCACCCGCTGTCCCGGAACACTCACTGGTTGTGCTGCAGCCGGAGGAACTTGAGCGTCTGTCCGTAGGCCTCGAAGGCATCCTCTGGGATGATGGAGATGTTGTTGTTCTTCAGGTCGAGCTCCTTGAGGCGGTGGAGGCCGCGCAGTGCCTGCTTGGGTATCGCGAACACCCGGTTGTTGCCGAGAGAGAGCCACTCGAGAGACTCTGCCGAACAGGGAAAGGCAGTCAGGAACTCCGAGACGGGTATGGTACTATGGTAGCTAGGGTCGGCGGACTAGGAAAGGTAGTCAGTAGGTAACCTCTAGTCAGAGTTTCTGCCGATTCCGGCTCGGTATGATGTCCGGGTCTGCGAAACAAGGGACGATAGTCGAGGTTTCTTTGTGCAACTGCACACTACGGTCAGACTCTTGGAGCGCAGTAAATTGTCAGTCTCCATGAGCATTGAGCATGCTGTGCACGTTATGTAAGGGTCTCTGTAGAGCACATCACAATGCTCATGTCAGTGGCTATCAAAGGCGCTGGCACATAGTTACGGCCGCACTGATAGATCCTGTAATAAGGTAATTCAATTTTCCACGAAAATATGCTTTTGTTCTCATGTGTATGCGGGCGGTCGTTAGACCTTCGTGTATCTATTTTTATTTTTAAAATGCCCTTGTCGTTAAGATATTTTGAACCAACAATGCATAAATGATATAGACATTGGCGACCAACTCGACGTGCATTTGCCATCATTCTGTGCCTTTTTGTGCCCAACACGCCGCACAACCATCCCTCCAACCTCCTATTCCACCCACCTATTCCACCTGTCACCCCATCAGTCATCGCGTCTCGGCCGGACATCACTCGGCGCGCGGCCATCGGTCCGTGTCGCCGGTGCCACTTGGATCACGGCGTCGGCTTCCGACTGCTCTCACGGCACATCCGGCCGGGCCGACGGCCATCCGGGGTCCGCCGGGGCTGTCAGGCCGGTCGTAATGGATGTAACGGGCGTCGGCGTCACCCCGGGGCTTTGGGCTGGTAGCCTCGTCACGGCCTCAGCCATTCTGGGAGTGGTGTAACTTGTTGGTCCAGGAACACGTCGGAGATCATATCCCTTCGGTGCCTTTGACTTTATTTTAGCATTTTATTTATCCTTTCCCGTACCATTTGCATGATCAGTTAGCAAAGACCAGCGGGCGCTCTCCTTCGATATCTAGGTCCAGACATCGTTTTATTGAACTTCATACTGTTCTTAACTACCGCACATTAGATAAAGAAAGTATTTTGATTTAGGCATGCATCGATTTGCCTTTATATGGGTTGAAAGTTATAGAGCCGTACGCTGGTGACGCAACCTGCGTTCTTAGCTAGTGCCTCTAAGTGCCTGACAAACTTTGGTTGTTTTCAAAATACAAACTGGCCATTTTATTACCCCTGTGCACGAAAAGCTGACATGTGCATTACGTTTCCGCCCAAGTGCCGCCTTTAACCTGTCGCCGCTTTGTACAAGTGTTATTTATGGCTGCATCCATTCTGCCCGGGCCGGCCGGCGGTGTTGGGCGGCCACTGACGTCGGCACTACGTCACCTGCTGTTGATATGACGTCAGAACATTAGGGTCGTGCGTGATGGACGGAGTTAGACACTACCCTGGGGACGCGGGCCGGCGTTATGGTGACCGAACGGGACCGGTGCCGGCTATTCTGGTATTGGCCCGGAACGGCCGGCAATTACGATATCTCCTCTGGAGACGCAAGTTAGCCATGAACTGCGTGACGTCCGTCAGTCTGCGTCAGAGCGCGTGTGTCAGAGAGCGGCGTCACTCCTGCCTTTCTCAACAAGTGGCAGTTTTTTTTCCTGACCATGGAAATAAGGAAGCGGCCGATACATGATGTCTTGTGAAAGTTACTTGACATATTTATGAGTGCTAAGCATCTTTTCGCTCATGGCACGTAATCTAGGCAGGGAAGGCAGGAGGTACGCCTTGAATAGTCCTTTTCTGAAAGCGGCTCCAGTGACATGAGCGCCATCCGTGTCATGGAACCCAGGAGCCAGCGTCAGTCTGCAGTCATCAACTTTCCAACCATGGTTCCAGCCATGTTTTCACCATGGACTATCTGCGGCACCCATCCACTTCGCCGCGCCCTACCAGCCGTGCCAGCTCTATCACGCTGCCCGACCTTACTCGGCGCCACGCCGAGCATCAGCGTCGCTCGCGCACCGCACGGCCGCGCCGGTAATTTGGCCAATCGGCCAGTCGGCTGGGAAGGCGGTCACGCCTGGCTATTCCAGTCGGGACGTGTCGTCTCAGACGGATCAGGCAGATGGAATTCGTCCCGGGACGGACCCAGTCACGGACTCACTGCAGTCAGTGGGACACTGGCAGTCAGCGATACTGCTGCAGGCGCCGCAAACTTCAGCGACACACCCTTGGAAAATCTCGCCTTGGAGTGTTGACCGGACTACAACATTCTGCAACGGTGATAGGTCGCAACTGATGCAGGCTCTTTTCCTCATCATCCAGTGTCACTTTTTTTCGTTTTGAAGTTTCTACCTGTCAGATATGGAAGGAGAGGTAACCCAGAGCGACTGGGCTGCTGTTTTCAGTGACGCAATACTGACGTTGCTCGACCCCGGCCCGTTTCGTCAGCGATCATCCTACGGTTAACGCTCGTCCAAAATTGCGATGTCACCCTGTGAGGTGTGAACGGAAGTTGTAGGTACTCGAGTCTACTGCCACTCATGTTGGTACAGTTTCACGCCGCAAAGCTGCGCACTGCTCTGCTGCCGCCTTCAGCCATAGTTAGAAGTTACAACTTCACGAGCTTGACGCCGCAAAGTTGAACACTTGTCTACAGTCCCACCCATCTAAACGCCTAGTTTTCCTCTGGACCCCAAACTGCTTTTCTGACTGGAAACGTCTTCGCGCAAGTATTCACTGGAGTCGAAACAGCGAACCAGTTTGTAATGATGGCACACACGACTTCTGGAAACCGTCAAGGTCAACGAGTTCGTGCCAGGATGGCAGCAGGAAGGGCTCCTTGGTTTACCAGGGGAAACATAGCTGAGGCGGTTAAGGTACAACTCAACAAGTTACCGAGTAACTGCATCGGTTTCCGACAAGATCTTGATACGTTGACTTTAAGTTGCGATTGAACAAACGAATAGTATCTCGAATTGATAACATCATCGCAAAATACTCCTGCCTGCGCTACGAAACTTCCTGTTCGGGTAGTCTTTTAGAGTCAAATAATGTAAGGCCGTGACAGTAGGGTATGCTCATTCCTATGCAGATCCTTTGAAGAAAGATATTTCTTTCATTTAAGTTTGGAACTCTTATCTCCTGTGTCTATCCATCAGTGTAATTATCGCTCAAAGCTCGGCAGTTGCACTTACGTTCCAGTCCCTCGAAGGCCTTCTCATCGATGTAGGTGATCTGGTTGCTCTCCATTTTCAATGTGGTCAGCTCCTGCAGTTCGGAGAAGGCCCCCGGCGGCAGCTGCTTGATCTGATTATGCTCCAGTTTCAGCGAGTCCAAGGTGTGCAGGCCTGTCGGACGGAGGATATCCTTGTTAGACTGATGCGCCGGTGGGACCTTTGGGGACGCGCATGCCTATCAGCCGGGAGAGCGGTCGCTTATTGAACCGGACAGGGCTCCCAGAATGGTACAATACAATGTTTCGCTGTGAAGGCGCGAGGTAAATGTGCCTACAACCAACCGCAAGCGGTCCGATGCTTGCCGACTTTTTAAGCGTCACCTACGTTTGTCTCAAATGCCAATGAAGTACGAGGGGCGTTCAAAAAGTTCCCGGCCCAACCATGAAGGAGTTGGAATTTCGGCCTGCAACGCGGTGTGTTCAATGATGTGTTATTGGGATGTCCACTTACGTAGCCATTAACCAATCTGCCCTGTGATTGGTTCAGGCTGCTAATTAATCGTAACATAGTTTGCCATTCCCGGTCAGAATGGGCGACGCCCAGAAGAGAACAGTGATATGGTTCATGCATTGCAGAAAAATGCACCAAACGTTATTCACAAAAAGCTAGTGCCAACACATGTTGAGGTTTGTCTTTCTTACAGTAGCGTCAAAAAGTGGGCAGCTCTGTTCAACTTTGGTCAACAGATCATTAATGGTCACCCCCGCAGTGGCCAGCCATCAACAGTAATGACTCAAGAAAATATGAAAAATAAGCACTTCTTTGTGAAAAATGACAAATGTTCTGGTCCGGAACAACGCAGCAGAAGCGGAGGTGTCTATCAGGTTCCTCAAATCCATTCTTCGACAGCGTATTAATATGTTTAAGATCTCTGCAAGATGCATCCCCCGTTTGCTGACTCCAGAGGAAAGGCAAACTCGAAGGGAGGCGTAACGCGAAAATTTTGGCCCCAATATCGAAGATCCAAAAGAGTTCATTGAACTACTTGTTACCGTGGAGGGATTGTGGGTGTCACACGTTGACCCTAAGGGCGTGACCGAGTTGCACAAGTGGAAGCACACTGAGTAAAGGCCACCAAATGTGTGCGACGTGTTTAAGTCAGACGGCAAGGTGACAGTGGTTGCATTTTGGAATGCTGGCGGGGCTGTGCTCGTCAACTTTCTAAAACAGGGGCGCACAATTAATGATGAATACTACACCTCCTTTCGATAACAGTAGCGAGCAGCAGCTATCAAGGAGAGACTAGGGAAGCTGACTAAAAGTGTGCGCCTGATCCAGGACCACGCACCAGCACACATGAGCAGGGTGACGATCAGCGAAGCAGTGAGCTGTGGCTTCGAGTTGTTGTCACAGCCACTTTTTTCTCCGTACCTTGCACCCTCAGGCTGCCACCTCTTCCCCAACATAAGGAAATTGCTTAGCAGTGGCAAATTCGCTGACAGCAAGGAGACAAAAGCAGCCGTCTTGGATGTGCCAGATGCGTCCATAACCCACTTGGCTATGGAGACCCTGAGGCCTCTCGCGAAGCGCTGCGCGAAATGTTTTTGTCTTAACGCTGGTTATTTGACTAAATTAACATTTTTGGTCTAATAAGTCGACGTCGTATCTCTGCTCTTTCATGGTCGGGCCGAGAACTTTTTGAACGCCCCTCGTAGTGATTAATGGAATGGACGGTTCGTCTTAATTAAGCAGTGGTTGTTACATTTCGATTGGAGAAAGCCACACCCACGTAGTTAACTCGATATTTACGTCTAAGACAAAATTGCGAAAAGGACAAAAATGACTATTTTCTATACAAATCGAAAAGAAGTACGTGTGTGCTCGATGGCACCCCGGCCGCCGACAACCCTCCCTGAACATCTCATCTCCATCTCATTACGGCTCTAGCAGCAGGTATTCATGGGTAGGGCGACGGCGCTGTTACTCAAACATGGCCAGGGCCGCGACTGTGGCACGGTCCGCCAGTGCGGGACGCCCCGCCTCCACGTTGTTTAGCCCGGCGAGTGTTGGACCACATTGTTGAGTCTGGTGGTGTGGTGATCCTCTCACCACCGCGCGCCTTTGTTCTCCGGAGAGCGGCAGGGAGCGCGGCCCCAGCCCAGCCGAGGTCGGCTCAGCTCCAGACCGGTGGGGCCACTCTGTATTGGGTAGTAGCGGTCAGGCCAGCCTGAAGGTGCGTGGTCGATGCAAGTAAATTGTTGTCAAACTGGCGTGTGAACCCGACCTTCCATGAAAAAGGCTGATCAGCTGTTGGCAGTGGAAGGATAATGGTCTATGAATGGTCATTCATGTTTGCACATGAGCATTCAGCGCTTATTTTCAGATCAAATGGAAGCAAAGCTATTTTCGGCTGATTTCGCACAGAACACGCACTTATTGCTCAGTCTTGTATCATCCCTAGAAATTTATCTAAACACTGTATCTTAAAAGAATCAGCCAGGACCCTAAGTCCAAGGACATAAGATACACAGCTCAAACCTTGAGGGCTCCAGGTTTCTTGCAATTTTCTGCCATATTTAGGTAGCATTTAGCGAGCATTTCCGCTAGCTCCATCTACTGATGAAAGAAAACTGCTAAACTGATTTCGTGCCTGTGCTTTTTCCACCGAAAACTGTCCATTTTAACTCTGCGCGCCGCAGCGTTGTCGCCAAGATTGATTCAGCGGCGCCTGGGCGGGCGGTGACGCCCAACACAGCCCAAGCTCACCAGTCCAGGATGGAAGCTAATGCTACAATACCGCCGCCTCACCGAGCAACCGGACGCGATTTCGTGGAATAAACCAGTATAACGCCTTTTGGGGCGACCAGGGGCGGCGGATTCGGGGGGGGGGGGCAGGGGGGGCAGTTGCCCCCCCTGGCAAACTCGTGGGGGGGCAAAAGTATCTTTTTGCCCCCCCATAATTTGTGACAAAGCTTAGACAAGAAACCATATACCTGATTATTCTGTTCGATCATCTGAAAATGTAACCAGATGCCCATATACTTTATCATACGTTGCCTTTCTTAAATGGCAAGCGTTAACGTTCAATTGAAGTTTTCCGCTCTTCAACCTAGTTTTGGAGGCATTATAAGCGTCAACGTGAAGCAGTGGCAACCCAGGCCTTCAGTGACCGCTTACAGGGGCGACGGATACGGGGTGGCAGAGGAGGCATCGTTCCCTAAGAAACTTTTGGACGAGGGGCAAACGTATATTCTTGCCCCTCCATAATTTGTGCCCTAAACATGAGGAAAATTTCCATAACCTGATATTGCAGCTAGCGCTCCTACAGTTTGTCCAACGGTGCCTTTTGAATATGTGTAAATGCTAACCATTTCCGCTTTATATCATTTTGTTTTTGTCTTTTCAGATTCGATTTATAGATGTGTGCAAGTGACGCAACTCATACCTTCAGTGGTCGTTTGCCTCTATGTTGTGCCTACATAAATGCCAAATCGCAAGCGAGCGGAGACGGAAGGGCTAGGCATTCGCTTGCGGGTAGTTAGGACTGATGAGCGCTCATAATAAGCCACTCCCCCGATTTTTTCGAGCGCAACAGTTTCCAGCGCATAAAATGGTAAACGCCGAGGTCGTGCACATTGACGACATTGACCAATGCACGGTATGGTATGACACCCAAAGGCCGGTCATCAGAGATCTGCTTTGGGCATTCGGAGGCTTGTGTGGGGCCAGTGTAAAAACTGGATGTTCACTGTTCAGTATCCGCTTTATTTCAGTTTTCACTATTAAAAAAGTAAAAATTAATGTTGGAAACTTTTGAGGGTTAGGGCACTGATCATTAGTGGGCCCCCCTCTGTCTAAAGGCTGACTATAGAATAAAGAGCATCAAACACGAACAGCAGCGGCGGAACACCTTCAATTAAGGGAGGGGGGGGACTGCCGACTTTTGGTCCCATTCTTTCCATGCAACGCCCATAGGGCCAACGTTAAAATGCCAAAATCAAAGGGGGCACGGTGCCCCGGTGCCCTCCCCGTTCCGCCGCCTATGAACACGAAAGCAAAATCTGAGGCATTTTGGAAAAATGAGTATGCCCCGCAGCGTCCGATAACTACCACCTTCCAGTGGGTCAAGCCAACGGGGCCCAAGTCTATTAGACTATGGCACACTTAACGAAAGCACTAACCTTGTCTCACTTTTTGTTGAAGTCTGTTCCGAATAGTTTCGGTCATAGACTGGCTGCACTGAGGTCGTTTGGTATGTGCAACTGTAATTAAAGCCACCTGAGGCACCCTAACACCAGGCTGAAGCTAGGGTTGGAAATGCTTCGTCTTTGCAGATATCACTGGCCGCTGATTCTCGAGTGCCTAAATCGGTAGATGTCGTGGCAAAATTTGGTGTGATAATTTGGACCTTACCGCAGTCAGCGCACCCTAAAGCCCCGATAAAGAAACGCCCCACCCAGAGCTTCTGGATCCTCATTCCAGTCCACCGTTCCTTCACCCTAGCCCGCCGCTCCCTCGCCTCAGCCCTCCGTTCCCAGCTTGACGAGCGTTTGGGCCTTAGTTAAGCCTTGCTGTAGGCTAACTGTATAAACCCATCGAGACAGCCCGTCTCGGTGAGCTTAGTTGGCGAACTACTGCCTTGGGGAGGGTTTCTGGCGGATCGCTGTCCCAATAGGTTTAGATGCGACCGACTGTCTCTGAATGTTTGAGCGGTCTCCTCCCGCTGTGAGCTAGTTTCAGTTGATATCTGTCTCAGAAATAATTTTTAAAGGAAGGTTAAACGGAAATCGAACGGGAAATGAACAGAGGAAATGGTAACGAGTTACCTCATTGAAGAATAGCGCTCGCCTACTTGTTAAAGATTTGGAACCGTTCTTCAACATCTAATATGCGATCGGGTTATGGCACAACTTTTCCCATTGGAGTTTTTTTTTTCTAATACAGCAATACGAAAAGCGTTGCATCGTTTACTGGCGGAACCAGGGAGCGGGCATTTAAAGCAAATATTTTCTCTCCCTCCCCTGGCTCCTGCATCGCCCGAAATAGACAAAACGTACCTTATGTTTCCTAATAATAACACTTTTATCAGATTTGTTTTTTCTTTATATTGTTCAGCAGTAGATCCGTAAGGAATCGAAATCCGAGGAGTTTTTGGATTTTGGACACTTGGGGGGGGGGGGTATGTCCCCTACAGCGTCGAAAACGCCTTTCTGGATCCGCCTATGACATCATCTCGACAGGGATCTTGCCCCCCCACGCCAAAATCGAATCCGCCGCCACTGGGGGCGACTAACGGAGCGAGCGAGAGGGTGGGCCTTGCACGTGCGAAATTTCGAGGGGGTACCTCCAACTGACTTGTGCACGGCACCCTACTAACCGGTCTCTAGCGATGTGCCAAATTTGAGCACAATTGGCCCAGCCGGTCTCGAGATCTGGAAGCGGCACCCTGCACGTGCGCACGTGCAAAATGGGTCCCAACTGACTTGTGCACGGCACCCTACTAACTGGCCCCTAACCGTGTACCAAATTTGAGCGCAATCGGTCCAGCCGTTCTCGAGATCTGGAAACGACCCCTGCACGTGCGCACGTGCAGCAGCACCCCAACTCTGGCACATGGATATGCATTGCCTAGCGGGTGCCTACCTACATGCCAACTTTCAGCGCAATCGGCCCAGTAGTTACAGAGATATTGCAACAATTACAAAACTGACACCTCTTCGTTTTTCACGTGGCACGTGCATAAGGGGTCACCCACATGCATCGGGAATAGTCCAATACTTGGTAGAAGGAATGAAGCTACCCTACAAAAATTACCGCATGTAAATCGGTCAAGTGGTTGCTGAGATATAAGCCTCGCAAAAGCGTGACCACGGCCGGCCGGCCGGCCGGCCGCTCATACTCAGAAATTTCCGTTATTCTACGTAAGACTCCGCTCGCTTCGCTCGCTCCGTAATCATACAGCCGGCGGGAGAGAAAGCTCTGTTTCGGTGGCGCCACTCGAGCCCCGCTGATGTATGTGCATGGTACGTGAGTCGTCATTTATGCACCGCGCGTTTCAGCGTACCGGTTCGGGTCGGATCGGCGTCAGAAGCTACCCTCTCGGCCCCGGGCCCTGAGAGGTGTTCAGCATTCCAGGCCGGCTGGCTGGCGGGATTATATGCGAACGTTTTCTCAGAAGCTTATGGTTGCATGAATGGACCTCGGGAAAAGGCTGCACCCTCTGACACCATTTCAAAGTCTTTGTTTTTGGAAGAATACGAGTTTCTGCTCTTGTGTTTTCAATGTAGATTTTCCAAGCGATACATGACGTTATTAAATAGTACCTAACCTTAAAATATCAAAAGATAGGTGTGGTATTTTGAGCCAGACGATTCCTAGAACCCACGGTGAATGATTCCGAACCGGTCTGAGGCAGGTGACGCCGACTGGCATAGCGGTGTGACCGGCCACGGACAACCACGGCCCTGGAAGTCCCGGACTGTCACTGTTTGCTAACTTGTAGACGGCAACGAGCGCCGGCGGAGAAAAGTAATGTTGCAGGGAGTGCCCTTCGCCCTATCGCAAATGGCATCGTGAACATCTTGCGAACTTTGTGTATATGCTTCTCTAGCCATTTAAACTCCGACTAAGACTGTGTCTTACTTTCATAAATGGGTACTCACAGGAAACTACAATGATGCTAATGATGTAGCATCATTATCGTATATATACTTCCGGGTAAAGGCGTGATTTTGACAGCGGGGGCATCCACAACCCCCAAGTCTTCGCTCCTGGCAGCGAGCGAAATATGTACTTTTCAATTCAGGTGACAAATTCAAGTGACCAATTTGCGAAGCTGCAATAATGCAAAGGTTCATAGGCGGAGCTCGAAAGATGCAGCCGAACTACCAAGACCACCAAAATAGCGCGTCTGTCCAATTTATACAATGCGGCGTTTGCGTCAGTGAAACACGATCTAACGAGCCCCGGTGTGTGGTCTGACGCTTTAACCGCCGCTTTAGTGGTGTCATAACCTCCAAGACTTTCATCGTTATGCATGCGAGCATGCACAATATTCATAAGCAATAACCATCAGACAGCATGTCAGTAAAGCCTGCAACCGCTCCTGGCGGCCCAACTGCCGGCCGTTGTGCGACTGGGCGCCTCTGACCGGGCGTGGCGGCGGTCGTGGCGCGCCTGTCGATGGGCCCCGCTCAGCTCGGTAACGGCTCGACGGGCCGTCGCCGCCTTCCAGCTGGGCCGCGCCGCTCGTCCCGGGAGCATTCGCTCGGCTCCAATCAGGGCCGGATCGGCGCCGTCGCCACCGACAAACTTTGTCGGCGTCCTCTGATGACGCGTGACCTTTGTCGCGGCGGCACTGGCGGCACGTGCACTCGTCGCCTAATGTCGGCGTCGGCTCCGTCGGGCCCCGCCGGACGAGCGCAGTTATTTGGTGGCCCGAGATTCGTTGCATCCATACAAACATGTCGCTGCGGCCCCCGGACGACCCCCGCCGTCTGAGTGAGCGAGTCGACATCGGCGGGCGGGCGATGGTTTAGGTGACGCCCCCGCCGCCTGACTGAATACCAATCCGATCACCAAGGGAATGCTTCAATGCTAAACACTGTTAAGCTTTGAGGTGTTCCCTTGGTAAACAAGCCCAGAAGTGAAATGAAATATAGATAGTAGACTGGATGTCTTCTCGATGCAATAGGTAAAAGGAGTCTCAGGGCTCTATGTTTTACTTTGCCGTGTTTTCATTCTATCCTTTCGAATTCTCTATGTTCTTCTTAGACGGAAAACGTAATTGATCGAACTTGAAACTTTGAACGGTGTTCAGGACAAAGCAGCCTTATTAAAATGCAAAGGCAACATTACAGGGACATCCAACACCATTAGCAAGAAAAGATCACAGCGACAGTGGGAAATTAAAAATTATGCTGCGAAAAACAACTCGCTTCATTCAAACAGCTACAATGGAAAAGTTGACAGCTGTTACGATTGATCAACTCAATTCCAAATGTGTATTACGGCGATAAGACAAGTGGTGCTGCTTCTGCAGCAACTGGTGGTTCGTAGTGATTGGCCTCAAATGCAACTGGTGTTTTGAAAGCGCATAGTGTCAACAGGTACTGATACCCTAACGCATAGTCTCAGACTCTCAACAGGTGTTTATAGCCTGCGCACGAGTTGTGCGACGGAATTGTGTGCTTCCATAAAAACAGCTCATCATCTCCCGTGAGTGAAGCCTTCTGTGTAAAGCTCCATCAAACTTTTATCACCGTTTTGCCTCACTAGGCCTCGGACGTTCCTCTATGCCTCTCAACTGAGCAATCAACATTGTCGACCTGTTTATGCCTCTACTCGGCTGCTCAGCACAAACACGTCGTTGAGTTGACGAGCTTCACTGCCTAGTAGTGGGCTGACACAATAGCTGGCTGTGTGCAAATGATAATAGCAGCGATGACAGACGCAGACGCAAACACTGAGCTCATATTTCATAACCCACGGGTCGTCGCGACACCGACCCGTATAATTTCGTTTAATCCGTCTCTGGTTGGTGGATTCGGGGGCGGTGGGTTCGACGTGGTTTGTGCAACACACCTCCCACCCCGTCGCTCCTGACTGCCTTCTCCGCCTTCCCTGTTCCCCGGGACGGCTCGGCCATGCCTGGGATGCCCACTTCGCCCAACACCTACCTGAGAAGTCGTTTTTCTTGATCTCGGTGATGTTGTTCATGGAGAGGTCGAGGGCGACGAGTCGCGTCAGCGGTTTGATGGCCTGCGCCGGCACCGAACGCAGGTGGTTCTGGACCATGTTCAGCGTGTGCAGACTGGTCAACACACAGAGACACACAGGTGGTTAAAAGATGACATACTGTTATTATTATTGTTATTACTGTTATTAATATACCACTCAGTTTTTGCATGTGTAGTAGGGTGTCCCAAGCATACATGGGAAAAACAAAACTATGAAATATTCAAGGGGCTGAAGTTTGCCCCGGTTCCACTACCGGTAAGGAAGACACTGGTCGAGTTTCAGAGGAATCAGAGTATATTTAGAGGTTGCGAGCTTGTGCACTTTTTAACTGAGCAAACCCCATTCCATAATATGTGTAGGTATATACCGATTGAACAAGCATGACAAATCAGGGTATTTAGACAATTTTACAGCAGAAGGTAGCACTGCACTATCTATGAAACTCTTTGTCTATCCATCCTTGATTTTCTTGGGCTGCGCCTGCTGATGGTGATGCACTAGCTGAAGCAGGTATTGCTTCTGCTCTTCTGACTTGGTGGTGGTGTTGTACCGCTAGATAAGCGAGATTCCCCGTTCGGCGGCATCATTGACGATATTAAGAGCCCTTGCTCTATGGCTGACCATGTGATAGGCTGCGTCGTCCTTCCTTAAACTCCTTGGTTTATTTCGCGATGAAACCTGGGTCCACCACCATAGTCGTCAGCAGGAACATGGATGGACCAGGAGGTTACAAAGTCTTCGAGAGGAATGCCAATGCTGCTTCAACATGGCGGCAATTGGAGATCGTCATATTCCGTCTCAGCCTAGGCAGTAGGACCGTAAGAGGGACGACGAGCTGGTCAGAGAAGCAGCCGGCTTCCCGCAGGAGGTGCCGGCAGAAGCAAAGGCCATCACAAGTGCCGGAGTAGGGGCGGCTGCAACTGCTTGACGCATGACATGGCCAGACTCCTTCTTCAAGAGGATCTGGGGAGACCGGATGCCGACCTCCACCTCAGTCTCTGGCGTAAGCAAGGGCTAGGCGGTGGATGCCTATCGGCATCAACTACGTGCTGGATACTGCAGTAGGTATGTCGTACCAGTACATCCACCGGATCGGCCGCCTCCCGGCGCGGACCTGCCCAGTGCCCAGGGTGACCCGACCTGCGGTACTCAGCGGTGAGGTGCGCCGTTTGCAAGGAGACGACACACCTGACCAGTGACCATATCCTGATCCGGTGTATGTGCCTGGACGATCTTCATCTTAAGTTAACCGGCAACAAAGATGCGACCGAGACGCAGCTGCAGAGAAGGGAAGTGGTCGCGGCATTTGCCCGCAACTTCAGGCACCATCAGGAGCCTAACGATGGTTTCTGGAATGATGCTCGTCGATGGTCGCCTTGCGGACAGTTTGAAGATGAAAATTGTGGCCAACCTCCGGAAACCGCCAAGGAAACAGCTGAAACGACTGGAGGGAAAAAGTTCGAACGATTCTGCCCCGTCTGAATCATGCCATGCATGCGATCCTAGTAGCCATGTTAAAATGCACCTAAGAAGAGATAAAAATGTTCATTTGCTCGCAACCTCTAAACGTACTCGGATTCACTTGAAATTTTGTCAGCATCATATCCCAGCCAAGTGGAATGGGGGCAGCCTTCAGCCGGTCAAAAATTAACAAAAAAGTTTTTTTGGGACACCCTAATGTGGAGTTCTGATATGTATTTGGCTGACTGGTAGCATCACAACAATGTCATGATCTAAGAACAGGCGATGCGAAGTCACCCCGGGCCAAGATCTGTGGCCGTAAACTTGCATCTCATTTGACATGTGCTCTCAGTTGGGCTAATGAAGAATCTACGCCTCGGATTGATGTAGATTTCCGTTTTCCATTATCAGTTAATCATGGATTTCACAACTGCCGTGTATGGCATAGCGCCCGGCACTTGGTGAGATTAGTCCTGGATAGGGCGGCGCCGCTCGGGCGACTATCATCTATCTTCCGCGCGCCGGGCGGTCGGCGGAACCCGGTCGGCAGGTAATCTATTCGCCCTGTGTCTTCATCAGCGAGCGACACGACGGCCGAACACAGCTGCCAGAGGCGAGAGCCGCTCGATCGCGACTCTCTGAAACGCGGGCCAGACATCCTGTCTGCAGGGGTGGTGGAGTCAGCGCCGCGCGGACGGCAGCGGCAGCGAGATGAGCCATTCTGGGCCGCACTGGGGCGCGATTCCTTCCGCCGAGACGTGGCGACGACGCCTGGCTGATGGCCTCGGCGACTTCAATCGTCCGATCTGACGGCTGGAAGTGCGTTACTCGGCCCAGTGACGGTCCCCGTCCCGCGGGGGACAGAGTGGAGCGAACGGCTCGCCCCCGCTCGTCCCGTTCGATTGACCGGCGCCTCGGCAACATTTAATGGCCTGGCTGGCTTTGAAGCGGCGCACAATTGGCGTGTGATAAATGATTGCCCAGCGGGGCCGAATGCCGCCCACCTACGCCTACGGCGAACGGCGGCGCTTTTGCCTCATTAATGACGCTGGTGGACCGAAGGCGATCCCCTTGTCGGCTGCTGCCACGGTTCGATACTAATGTCGAGTGTTTACATACGAAGGTCCCGGTGCGTTTTGCAGGAGGCACAACTAATTAAGCACGATTGCTGATAGATGAGGTAATTTCTGATACGCGAACTGACGAAAATCATTTCCGCTCTTTTTAATTGGCATTGTCTACAATTGTATGTACGTGTTCCCATAATATATGAGCCGGGATGATGCTGGACTGTCGATAAGCGTTGTGCGTCGCCTTCAAGCGCCCAACGATTCTCTTGAGCGAAACTCGTTATTCGGAAACCCTGACACTGCTAGATCTTGAAAAGAGAATATGCTTTATGCTTTATGGATTAATGCGGGGACCGATATTCCCAGTCATTCGGTCAGTCCCGTAGTGGCTCACTTGGGCAGGCCGTAGAAGGCGTCGTCGTCCACTTTGCTGATTTTGTTGTAGTAGAGGCTGAGCCGCGACATGTTGGCCAGCCCGGCGAACGCCCGCGCCGGGATCTCCTCGATCTGGTTACCGTTCAGGTAGAGCGCATCGACCTTCTTCAGGCGCCGGAACGCCTGATCCGGAATCTGCGGAGAACCCTGTGGTCAGCAATAGGAGTGGGAATCATGTGTTCTTAGGAGAGCTGAAAGCGGATTTGGCGGAAAGCGGAAAGCAGAGCTGAAAGCGGAGAAGGATGGAGTCCATCGTAAACGAGTTATTCCTTTAGCGGTCATAGCTACTGCATTGTGCTCATTGCGAGACATTTTCAGTACAGCCATCCAGCCGCCAGGCTTCGGTTAAAGGTTATGGACTTTTTGTGTTGTCAGTCGGGCTTTCGCGAACTTTGTTTGAACTGTCCATTTTTAAAGAGCGCCCACAGATCGAAAGAGTACTCGAAAACGCACCCACGGATCGCCATGACGTGCTGTAGCAGTGTAGATGTGGGTACCTACGGCTACATCTAGTGTTGGATTGTGCGCTGCGATGTCTGACCGCTGTTCCTGTCGTCTCCTGCTTTAGGCCCCTTGTCCCTGGCCTCCTGGCTCTTGCCCCTGACCACGATCCCCCATCACTAGCCCCTCTCTGAGACCCCATTTTCTCAGCCACTCAGCCACTGATGCTGCTTTAATGTCCCTGGTCCTCAGTCTCCGTCCTCCAGCCCCATTCTGGCCCGCCCGCCTATCTGCCTTGTCAGCGTGTCGGGGCTCGTCAGGCCAACTTTTTCTGCGTCGCTGCTCTTACCGCCGCCGGGCGGCTAACTTTCCGAGACACGTCTTGGCTTCAGGCTCTGACAGACTGTTCAATAATGTAACAACGCTGCAACGCAGCTCCCGACGGACGGACGCGAGCCCCCGGCCCACTCAGTTCGGCTACTGTGGGTTTCGATGCCGTTTTCGGGCAGTTTCTTTGTGTGTGGCTTCAAAACACATGTTTTGACTGCGGCGCTCGTATTGATGGCCATGATTGATTGTCGTTACTTTTGCATGCAGCTGATTCATTGGTTTTGTTTTTTTTACGAGCGAAAATGGCGAGGCACTCCGCGTTATTTGAGGAGCGCGATATTCGAAGACAGGGAGTGAGTGAGTGGACGAGTGGATTGACGAGGGAGAGGGAAAGTGAGTTACAGTGAGTGTGTATATAGGTCAGCCTGAACACCGCGTATATGCTAGCAGCGAGTAGGGCATTATCGACTATCCAAACCTCTGTTGCGCCGAGCATCATTCGCAAATGCTGACAGCTCCATGTCTCTGTCCGTGTATGAGATCTACTGCGCGACCAATGGCTGCCCAGCGCCGTATTCATGCATTCCACTGAACGGGCGATGGGTGCGCCATGTTCCATTCGCTCTGCGTCGGGCCCACTACGTGGGGCCCGATGCGTGCAGCACTGCAGTCTGACCACAGAGTCCACCAATGGCACCGCGGTACCCTCCGTTCGCCGTCCCTCACTGATCCTCTTACCGGCCATCGGTATGCAACGAGGTCTGTTTGCGTATGTAGATGACTGTCTCTGGAAATCTGCCCCATCGGCGATCGAACATGTGGCGTGGCGCACAAGGGATTGTGTGCGGGGGCGTCGCGGTAGGGTGCATGAAGATTGGGCCAGGGCGAGGAGAAAGGATAAGGGGAAGTAGTGCGAAGGGAGTGTGGACGTAGAGTTACGTCAGGATCGGCTTGGTTACGGATGTCCGTGTGACGTTTTCAACTAAATTTCGTTATTAATCTGTGTGTCTTCGACGCATGCTGGTGGGTCGAGCTGCTGACCGTTTTGATGTTGTTGGAGCTGAAGTCGAGCGTCTCCAGCGACTCTGCCAGCGAGCTGAGCGCGTTGTTCTCCACGACGGACAGGTGGCTGCGGATGATGTACAGGTGCTTGATGCTCAGGCTCATGAAGAAGTAGTCGGGCAGCCGAGACAGGTCACAGTCGCGGATCTTCATGTACTGGATCGCCTGTGGAAGAACCGTAGGACGTTACAAGTTCGGATAGGCCGGGAGGACGGTGGGGCGTTAGAAACCGGATAGTTTGGGGGAGAAGGGTGGAGAATCATACGCCTCGGTCAAGAGAGAGTGCATGTGAAGGGTCACTCTCGGATCGCATGTGTGAGTGCGATGGGACGTCACACGCTTGAATCGCCTGAAGAAGTGTGAGACATCAGCCGCCGTTTGGAGAGAAGTGATACGCGTGTTCGCACTGCGCAATGCACATGATTCCAATGGTTAATGGAGGCTCGAATTCAATCCCTTATAGATGCTTTAGGTTTGTCTTCAGCGTTAATACTATAATAGAAATATTTGTAGGATGTATCTTTAATCTTATCAAAATAAGTGAGGATAACGTGGTCCAGACAGCGTCAGCCTGCGGTGCTTAAACATCTGCGAGGAAAGATGGAAAGAGAGGAGGAATGCCGAGATGGGGAGGAGTGTGGCACTCACCGAGTTGGGCACCCCCTTGATGTGGTCCATGACTTTGTGGAGGGTGTCGGCGTTGGCCGCCTCGCACACGATGTCCAGACCTAGCGGCACAGCGGGAGGCTCGTGAGCGGTAAAAGGGGCGCGCGCCCGAGGACGGAACAGAGCGAACAGCACTATATAGTTAGACGGTAGACTCGGGTAAACGGACAGACGGACGGAGAGACGGACACGACTGATGAATGTCTTGGCAGACCCTTGGACTGCAAACTCTGACAGATGGAGTGATATGGACAGACAAAGACACGTTCAGACTGGATGAGCGTGTCTAACAAATAACTGTTATATTAACTGTTAAATAATAACTTTATAAATAACTGTTAATAAATAATCATACTGGGGTATACAGACACAGGTTCTGACATTAGATGGAGGAATTTTGGGCATGGGCCATTCACCACGCAAAATCAGATGCGCTTGTCGTGAATGAACATTGGACAGGAAAAACCGGACCTCTCATTAGTTGACAGATATGGCAAAACGGATTTAAACGTATATGACACACATACAGAACGCAGCTAAAACATATACATTGCACAGAAACGGCACTGAGCACAAATATTCTGCTTAAAACAAATGACAAATGTTAACTGTAGTCTTAATAAGACGTAGCGACTCTGGCAAGACATTTCATGTAGCCTAATTAACATTAGCGTCGCATACAATCAAGTGAAACACCAACAGCCTTAAGGCTGAGGAGTGAGGAGTACTGCACGCACGACGAGTTCCTACTTAACGGGTAAGTAGTCGGTTTAAGCAGTTTGCTATTTCTATTAGTAGCGCAGCTTATGAGCGTTAAGCGGCTAACATACTCGAGTCCGATATTACCAGGTAACCATTAGTGCATGCGCGGATCGGAGGCTTAGCTTTATAGTCCGGTAGAGGCCCAACACGCATTTCCAGTCACCGAGTTCGATACGCTTGTTGATCCCTCAGAAATAGCATATCTTGACTTTCATTATTCTTCTTTGTGCCCAGTTATTTAAAATGTGAACGGAACAGCCGGTCGGCTGGCTGCTTACCGCTTTCCCAGCTACTTGCCGCAAGGCGATTCTTTTTCCGTCTAATGATATAAGACTGTTTTCAGGCGGATCATTGATTTTATGCTAACTCCGAGACTCGGGGCCGGTGAGCCTGCCGACGGGCACCAACGCCTGTACCGCCACCTAACCGGCCTACGCAACACAAATACTTTTTGGGCAAGACTGTGATGACGGCGGCCCGGCACCCCCCGGAAACAAGCGTGCAAAACAAAAAAACGGGCACACTCATTCACACAGCCAACACAAATGGGTCTCGCCCAGACAGACCGGTAAGAGGTGCTGTGTTACAGTCACAATCGAGGTAACACATTCATGATTTGTGTGTTGACAGGGTGAAGTGTGCTCATCGCATCGCACACTGTGTTGCGCGTGCTATCTAACGACTGGTGACACACTGCGGGGGGGGGGGAGGGGGGCACGGCCGGCCGGCGTGCGGGACGGAGGTTTTGAGGGCGTTGTGCCACGCAGTTGTGGATTGAGGATGATGTTGGATTGGGAACGTTGGACTGCTAGTGGAGGTGAAGTTGATACTTTTGGAGATGATGGATTGTGAGCTGCCGGTGGCTGTAATTGACTGCGAGAGGAGGTGGAAAGTTGAACTGAATGCTGAACAAGGAAGTGGAACAGAAGACCGCCGGTGAAGGTGGAACTGTGGGCTGCAAGTGATAACTGGCAGGATGTGAGATCAGTGGATCAATGGTGAAAAGGGATAGCTGGACCTTTTCATACGATCAAGGGGCCTTGGGTGGCTGCGTGGTGTTTGCGATGCCGCATTGTTGGAGATGGTGGACGTGGTGGACCGCTATTGGACGTCCATTACTGAATGCTCATTCTCTTTCACCCCTTGCTCCCTTTCGTTGGGGACGGTCACGCAACTGGTGGATTGGATTGAGTCTTGATTTCCAGGCTGCAGGTGTGGTAGCCGATAGTATGATTGATGATGTCATTGATGTCACCTGGTCATCGATGTGCTGCTGACACACTGATGACAAGGTGACAAGGCGGACCGTTCCCCGGTGACATGGCGAACGGATCACACCGTCCGGGGATAAAGCGTCCTGTCCGACAGGCGCGGAGGGTGCTGAGCGGATCAGGCCGGCCGCTGGCCGCCGCCCGCGGACCGCTAAGAGGCTTGGCTGCTAATAACGTGGTCGGAGGCGGGGCGCGGCGCGGCGTGCTGATTGTTTTCCCGGACCCCGGTGCCGGTCAGGTACTGCAGTCGGTGCCGATATTGCCGGCACAGGGCCCCCGCGGACCGACCGAGCGACGGAAGCGACGGGCCCGGCGCTGGCGGGACGGGCAAATGAGGCAGGCCGCTGCTGGGATAGGCGCATGGGACAGGTCGCGGAACTGACTGCTGATCTGATCGACAAACGGGGCGCGGCGCTGACGGGACGCGCCGCCGACTGGATCGGCTAGGGTGACCCAGTACGCCGGGAGGGAAAAGGCTCCCCGTCGCCAGCACGAGCAAGGCCATTTGATTACCTCGAAGGTTTCAGCGTAGGGTGGGTTTGAACATGCCTTCGCGCGTATACATTGGTACTTATGTGCTCTTTTTCTTTTTTAAATGAAATGATCAGTAAAATTTGGATGAGCTTTTAGTGAAATTTACCTTAATGTTAATAATTCAAGCGAAAAATTATCAACCTCATATTTTTTAGACTTTTAAATCACCACCATATTTCTTTATCCAGATAATAAAACAATGTCATCTCTTCTGGCTGATATTTGCTTGCATACAACCTTGTTAATGACACTCTTGGAATATCCACAGAATCGAGTTTTTTCTAGTTTGTCCAATAGGTATTTCTACGAAGATTGTTTTCAGGGTTATTACGAGTTAACTATGACTGTTTTTATGTTTTTTGTTGTTGTCGTAATTGATGCTTTAAATTCAATAGTGTTTTAATTGAACGGCGAACAACAATGTCAAGCATGAGCGGATCTTTAATGAAATATGGCCTTTGGTTCCTGACGTCATTATGAGCATGGCTCTGGTTTATTGCTGGCTTGCCTCTATAACTGTCAAGTGTCAATGCTATTCGGCTGGTATGTATTTGAAATATTTCAAAGCATACGATTTATTTAACCGTAAAAAGATAATTGATTAGAACCATCGGCTTGCAAAGCGTGGTTTCGAGAACACTACGCGTATCGGAAACTTTGAGTGACACTGGTAGCCATGTCTGGGTTTTCTCAAAATTGTCTGAAGAGGTCACGGATCGGGTCAGGGTTACGGAACGGATAAGGCCAGCGACAGATCATGTGACGAACAAATTGAAGCTAGTTTTACATTCTTTCGTGAGATGGCTTTAACATTTAACAACAGATGAATTGTGACAAGTGACATTGGAGACAGCCAAGGCAACGCGTGGATATGCAAATGACTTGAAAGTGTTTCTCTTCATCAGAAGTTCTGTCGTAAACAAAGATTAAAGTCAGCGTTCCGACGCTGTGTGTTGCATTATGCATTAGGAGGGGTTATGGGGTTATGCAACGGAGAACTGTTATACTTTGCGCGGCTGCGCCAGGTGTTTGGTAAGGCGACAGTGACTGTGTGTTCAGGATAAACAGTGTCGGGCAAACAGCGGTAGGCAAAACACGCTTTTGGAGGGAGGAGCACCGGACACTGGGGCACGGCGGACACCGGGGACCCGGCGACCAGACGGCGACCGGACACCGCGACGCGGCGACCGGCGGACACCGGGACACGGCGACCGGACGCTGGGTTCCCTCTCGACGGCCGGGGTCAGCTGCGGGTCAGCGCCGGCCGGCCGGCACACGGCAGCTACTTACATGTCAGCGGTGTGCCGTCTCCGCCGAGGTGAGGTGCGCAATTAGCTGCAACGAGCGCAGGAGAGATCACGTAATCAAACCGGGGTCAGACCGAAACAAAAACAACCGAGTGGCCAGCGCGGCGGCTCTCGTCCCCAAACAACCAAAACGCCGGCGCTCCGGCTCACTGCGGGCAGCGCGCTCCCCGGGCGGGGGCGGGGGCGGCGCTGCTGAGGGCGGCGCCACGACTCTGGGCGGGCGGACGGGTTGGGCGGGCGTCAAGGGGACAAAGGGGCACCATCTCCCTTCTGGCTGGGCCGCGCGGCGCGCCTCCCAAAGCAGCGCTCCCGGCAGCCAGGCAGGCGTGCCCCGGCCACGTTTTGGTTGTTTGGCGAGACCACAAAATAAATCTGTAAGAAGCCATGAGCAGAGGGGTGGCAGCGCGCGGACAGCCGGGTGGGGCGGGGTGGCCGAGCGGCCGCCGGCAGCCGGCAGACATGCGGGACGGCGCCGCCGGCCGGACGATTCGGACGTCTCGGCAGGGGCAGCGGCGGCGGCAGCAATAGCGCGAGGCGACCACATGCGGTGTCAGTGAGAGTGTGAGATAGAGAGTGAGAGTGTGAAAGAGAGGGAGGGAGAGGCGCAAGGCCGGGGAACAGAGACAGACAAAGGTCAAACCAGAGATAAACCAGAGGTGCTCTGTGCCGCAGCCGGTAAACCGCAGGCAGTCCCGGGCCGGAGATGGATCACCCGTCGTCTCCATCTCATACAGCTACGACTGAGCTCGCGCCGGCCGGCGGCCCAGCGACGGCTAAACCCGGCGAGAACGGCAACTTTACAAACTTTCCGAGCTTGTTAACTGCTCGCCATAATTGGACATGAACTTAACACGTCGCAGGCGCTGTTAGCAGCAAATGGCAATTGCTGCTAATGCCTCACTCGTTATCTGATTGACTGTTGTTCTCGGGCATGAATTTTGCAGCGGCGCTAGTGACTACATACCTGACGACGTAGGATCTTTGAGCTTCAAATGGGTACAATTTGCCGTTACTCGCTAGCTCGTTTCTACGTTTGTGGTAGGCACGATTATTATCTGCTAGAGGATTTATTCTCGTGAAAGCGCAAAAGTTAAAGATGATTTTTTTTTTAACCATAAGAAGTATTGCATTTCACTTATTGCATAGTATCCCTCATTTCATCTTATAGCAGCTGTTCTACCGCGCATGGTTCCCACACTACGTGGACGACGATAACCTGCTCACGGATGGACCTACGATGGTTCCCTAGTGTAACCGTTGTACTGTCCACTGCCAGAGGTCTGACGGCCCCTGCAATATCTGAGGCTGCTCGGCATAGCGCCAGGCAGTGGTCAGAGCAGTCGGGACGCACCCCCTACGCTGCGTCCCAGGCAGCCCCTGCCCTGACCGGTGAACTGGCTCGCGGTCCAGTGCAGCGGTTACTCGGTAATTGAACGCGCTCGAGAGGAGACCCGCCCCGGCGCCACTCTGAGCCGGCCCGGGTCAGGTCGCGCCGCGGCCCCCGGCGCCATCTCCTCGACTCTCAGACCTGATACAGATTTATTTTGTGTCTGCGCCGCGTGGCTGGCTGGGCGGCGCGCTCATCTGCTCACCGACGGCTCGGTCTCCGGCGACCGGTCCAGGCGGGTAGGGGCCACGCCGGCCCCGCGCTCACCTTTCGATTTGGTCTTGCACGTGCAGGGCTCGATGAGGCGGCCGCTGGGGCAGCTGGCGCGGGCGAGTGCCGGATGAGGTCCGGCCAGCAGCAGCAGCAGCAGCGGCGGCAGCACGAGCAGAAGGATGGCAGATGGCTGGCGGACCGGCCGGCGGGCGGAGTCCATGACTGCACGCGCGGCGGACGGGACGGGTGGGCCGAGCCGGGCGATCACCGGAGCATCACCACCTGGCGACACGGGGACCGGGTACACGGGCCTTAGTGATAGGTGGCCGTGGGGTGGCATGGTATAACAGGCTTCATTGGTCGCAGTCAAGCTGTTTGAGAAACACGAGGGAGGCTCGGCCTGACTAAGAAAATACATAAACGAAGTAAATTAGTGAAGTGATTATTCGTATCGCAACAAGTATCCCGATTTGTAATCAATTTATTTGCGCGCAAACCTGTTGTCTGCCAATTGCCTGGGTGATTTTCTGTGGCACTAGATTTGTACGCACACTGATGTCAGGACACTGGTCCTATATTGACATTCACACAGCAGTAATGATGTGTCGTCTGCTGGCGCTGGGCCGGCCGTCGGACGATCGACTGTGGTGGTGTCCGATGTGTTATTCACCTGATGACCACCGTAATGGCGATCAATGACCCAACCGCCCGACAGGAGTGGCCCGTGCATAATGAGGGCGCGCGCTCCCAGACGGCGAGCGCCTGGTCATAGCGGAACATCGGGCGACTAAGGGTCAACAACAGTAACTGTGGGAATTGGTCAGCCGGGGGCGAAACCTGCGATAGGGGATCCTCTTTCAGCTGATGTCTGAAATGATTTAACTAGCTGGAATCTGGATGTTTTATTATCATTTGACTCAGATAGGTACTGTGTACACTTCTACGTACTTGCCGACATTAGACCAGAAAAGCTGTTTGTTGAATTTATATGTGTTACACAAAGCTGTGTCACAAATATTATCGTATCACAATGCGACAATGAATTAAATTTCTGAGCACATACTTACGCCCCTTTGTAAATTACTATCTGATTATGACGGAAAAGAAAATGTCTTATTTCTTAGCTCTTTTCTAAGCTCCACTTATCCCTAGCCCATTTACCTGATGGAATATTCGATGTGGACCCTGACCGATACTGAGCCGCCGTACGTCGGTTCGCGTGCCGCGCTCCGGTCAGCCACTGGTACAGCTGAGTTACGCCGCACGTTCAGTAGGCTGTGATGGGCAGTCGCATGTCGCTAGGTGGGTGCTCAGACGGTGTGTTATGTGTATCGAGTTTCAGGTTGTGGCCGGCTTCTTCCAAGTTACGAGTGTCTGGAACCACAGTAATTTGGCTGTGTTTGCTGTAGGTGGACCCATAAGGAGTTATTACAGCTACAGATCACCATTCACGACTTGAGGACATGGTATGGGATCTGAAGGCCTCTGACCTCGGCACTCGTTACCATTTATTGACTTATGAGTGCTTTTTATCGACTAAGCTTCTCTGAAAATTAAGCTGTACGCTTAACGTATATTATTTGGCGTTTTAGATCATTTTTGGCTGAGGGACTTTGACTCAATTCGTTTTATTCGTCTATTCCTATTTTGCGAAATGCTTACGTTGTATGCACCAGTGCATTATATTGGCTGTATGCTATTGGCTTTAGGTATATTCGTGAAATTTTGTGTTTTACGGTTGATTGGGCACAAATAGATTGTCGTCTATTTTTCACAAATTGGGCGTCGGCTTGCCTCCCCATAGCATGTTTCCTTGATACTTTGATTTTGTGACATGATGTCTGGGTTATATCATTTTTAAATGCCAACGAACTATTTTTTAACAGAAATAGTTTGTTGGCTTTATTGGGTCGACGCTGCATAGAAGAGTCCCTCGAACTCGACAGTCAATACACAGGGCACTGTGCCCTGTCTTGGCCAAACCAGAGCTAACCGACCTGACCGAGTGCCTTGACTGACCAACCCTAACCTAGCTGCACCTGGCAGCCTCTGGACGTCTCCTAGCCTCGCCCCCCTCGGTTTGCCCATTGCCACTCTAGGCACGGGGTCGCCAATTTCCCGGAGTGGGTCGCCGGACGACGGTGGCCACTTGCCCCGCTGGATGGCGTAATCTGGGAGGCCCTGAGGACCGTAAATGGGGGGAGGGGGGGGGGGTCCAGGGGGACGTGGGTGGGTAGGGGGATATATGTGATAACTTTGAGACAGGTGTGGCCATAAAATGCACCACTCATTCATTTTGGGAGAGAGTATGACGGTGATGATTTGGCTCTAGACCTTTCATCATACGCCAGAAAAAATAGGAGTTCTTTTTAAATGGAGTTGAGTCTTTTGAGCCTAAAGTTATTGTGTCGACTTTGCGAAGCAATGTGTTAATGCTATTTGTATCTTACATCGTGTAGGTATTTGGACAGTTTTCATCTGTTGATGTTGTATAGTGCCGACGGCTCTGCTTTTTTACTACCAGTTGATCGCGCTCGTTGATGTTCTTTTTGATTTATGCTGCATTTTCAGTTGGAACTTGAGTGTCCACAACACGAGGTAGGCTTCTTGATTGTGCCGGCCTGCTTTTATTGCCTCACACGAGTGAATGTGTGGCCAACGAGCGCAGGGAGCTACCAGGAACATTAATGGAAAAGAAGCCACTTCATCATTGACACAAAGCGAAACCTTTTACAAAAGAAAAATTCCGCTTGGCAGCCGCCAGGTGCGCAGAAATACACCGGAACATAACAACACATTTACGATTCATTCACATTGAGCGTGTGCATTACCTTCATCGATTGTGGTAATGGTTGTTATTACTCCAGCGATCGATTAATGGACGCTTAGAACGCTTCTGTGTTGAGGATGCTATCTGATTAGCGTGGTCCGAACTGCGGCCCGCTTAGGACATATTAGCCTTTCTCTTGACCATTATCTGGCAAATTTATGGTTCACCCTTGATGCAGATTTGATCAACTTTGATTCGCAACTAACATGTAAATTATTGCCCTATGTGACGTCACTGTAGCCCGAGGGTGAAGATCGAAACATGGTTTATCGCCCGAGTCGTAGCCAGGGGCAATAATGCTTGTTGAGGTCTTCACGCGAGAGTTTGTGGCGAGTTCTTACTTCCTTTTATTAGAGGTCTTTGTTCCTATTTTATCACGCCTTATCACTGAACTCTAATATATACTTTATTTGCGCCTTATTTGATTCATGTTTATTTTCTTTTATTGTTGCTGCGCTCGTGAAAAACAATTTTTTTTAGCTCAGAAAACCGAGTCAACGTCGATGTTGGAAATTGTTTTTAGTTCAGTGTGCGGCCTACTCTGAAACTGTTATGTTCTTTATTTCCGTCTCTATAATTATCTATAATTATATCATTTTTATCTTTTTGTCTCGGCCGCCACATTGATGACCCCGACATGATATGAATTTAACTTTTAAATAGTAAATTATTCCTCTTCAATATTTTATATCCTATTCTAAAGACGACTTCAAAAGAAAACGAGGAAGACTGCATGTCAAGAAATCGAAACGAAAACGAGATACTTCTTCATGACAAGAAATACATCCGTGTACACTGTACAGTGAAACACAAACCTAAACAAGAAACACAAACAAGAAACACAAACCAAAACAGTGTTGTGTACTTGGTGAACTGTATGTATGTACCTACTTCGTGCCTATTTTCACTGTAACGCCCACGTTTCTGTGGTTGGTGAAAATAAATGAAATAATAATAATAATAATCCGACCAAAACGATCACCTGAATAATCGCCGGTGATTTCGGGCCGCGCCGCACCCACGCCGCGTCGCCTCCCTCCGCACCGGTTGATACCAGCGCACCAACCGCTCAAGCTCGCTTCTCCAAAGAGCGGCTCCACTGAATTGTGGCCTAACCAAGGTGGATCCAGGCCGCGCTGAGCCACGCCGCCTGCTCCACCGCGGTGTTTCTTATCTTCGTACCTACCTACCTACATACCCAAGCGTTCGTCAACGACATGAACCTATATGTCGCCGCGAAACGCAGAACACAAGTCAGCGAGTCGCAAGTCGCCGTCGCCGGAGTTTCCGGGCTGCGCCGTTTTATCGCCGCTCCCGTCCGACGCGGCAGGCGCTGTGCCGCCATTAATAAGAGCTGGTCTGCGCCCATTCTGCCTGACAATTTGTAATCGATTTTGTTTAGCAATTTACTATACCTATTTTCTAGCTCCGCTCTGGGGCGGGGAGTGTTGTGGCGAGTTCTTACTTCCTTTTATTAGAGGTCTTTGTTCCTATTTTATCACGCCTTATTTGATTCATGTTTATTTTCGTTTATTGTTGCTGCGCTCGTGAAAAACAAGTTTTTTTTAGCTCAGAAAACCGAGTCAACGTCGATGTTGGAAATTGTTTTTAGTTCAGTGTGCGGCCTACTCTCAAACTGTTATGTTCTTTATTTCCGTCTCTATAATTATCTATAATTATATCATTTTTATCTTTTTGTCTCGGCCGCCACAAGTTACAGTGATGTCACAGAATGCAATATTTTTTTCTTATTGCTCCTACCCATTACAGTATTCATTTTATTACATGACCCGCTCGGACTCGCTAATAAATGTCTCTAAATTTGTCGCGCCCAGAAGAAAATTGAAATAGGATTAAAACTCGCTCAGATCATTATGGCCGGTTGTCATGGTATCATTAACAAAAATATGGAATCCCGGAGAAGAAAATTGAATGGGAAAATTGCGGTAACAATCTAAATTATTACTCACCCAGTTTACAAAACTTGTAAGTCCTTTTGTTGAAATGTGTGACCTGTGACCCAGTCTTGCTAAGACAGCTTCATGGTTCAGGCCCGTAAGAAGCCCTTTTATAACCAGTGTAAAATTTTTCCGGTATTAGCCTGGAAAATCACAGTTAATGAAATCTGCTAATTTTTCATCCTGGCTCATAATTTTCATCTTTCAACACAAATGCACCAAATCCTTATTCAAATTGGTTAAAATGTCCCAAAATAATGTTAGAAGGTTAAAAACTGCACCTATCATGAAAACCACAAAAAATATACATGATAAATTATACGCACCTTCCTTTCCAATCAGCAATGATAGTAATGACACATGGAAATATCTCAGCACAGTGTATGTATCATGCGCTTCGTGATTGCCTCGATTAAAAAAAGAAACAGAACAATAAAAAGGTGTAGGTAAGTGCAGATAAATACACTCGATAATACAATATTATCAATCAAATAATGTCTAAAAATTAAAATTGAATTAATTATTGCTTTTGTATAAACATTCCCTGAAGAATTGCATTAAACTAGTTCTACAACTGAATGATGAAATTAGGATGAAAAAGCATTAAAAAGGCCAGGCTGAGGATGAAATTTTCCAGGTAACCGCGGGGATCTCTCACGCCTTCATGAAGTTTCCAAATCATCTGCTGTTTGGATTAGCATGTTATATGGATCGTTCTCCATGTTTGCTGAAGATATAATAGAAAAATATTGAATATTAGGGAAATTATAGCTGTTTTCTTACAGAGTGTCCGAGGATGAAAAATTCTTCGATTTTTAGTCACCAGTCGAGAATGCTTGTAGGGAGTCTAGTCAATATTTTTATGACTGTAATGCATTTTTTAGAAGATAAGACACTGGACTTCGTTATAAGATACATACAAACTCTTAGATTGCTGTTGATATAAAAATATTGCCTTTCGAAAATGAACAAAAATTTCATCCTCGGACTGGTGTCCAGGCTGCAACATGGACGCAAGCTATCTCATGATTTGATGAAAGATATGGCAAATACTATACATATGTGACAGCCTCGATCATTTTTGAACTGTGTGGTGCAAGTTTCTTCCGATTTGATGCCATGCAGGCTGGGTAATGTCTCGAGGGAAATTGCACCTCTTACGGTGTATAGGGGGCCGGGTTCGGTTTAATGCAACGCAATTATTTAGTAGCCGCATTTGCTGGCGCCAGCGTGACAAACTACGGCGCAAACAACGCGTCGCGTGCCTTCCGTTTTCAGAGAGGGTAATGATCAGGATATAATAATAATAATAATAATAATACCGTTTATTTCATGCCATCAGAGGCACATAACACAAATACAGACAGTCACCAAGCAACGTAATGATAATGCGTCGCTGGGTAGCTCTCTGAAACCTGGTAGGTATTTTTATTTTCAGAATTATTTTAATTTTACATTGTGAAGAAGTTGTTCACGTTCAACCCGAGCACTATCCTCTCTGATCAGAGAAGATGGTGCTGATTGTTGCCCATAACTTGTGAATAATGACCATAGGTCCATACTGATACGATGAAATTTTAGCCCATTTGCTTATATTTTCAACGTGTGCCCATCTAAAACAATGTTTCTGCATTTATTTGATGAGTCTGTCCTGATTAGCATCTTTTCAAAAAACTGTCCCCATTTCTCCTTGTACCTGGATACCTTCTTACCCAATGACTCGGATATGATGATATCGGACATGCAGTCTTGTCAAACCATGTGCTAGGTAGCTAATTTTGAGAATGAATTGACTGCAGGAATATTCATAAATATGTTACTTACTGTAGATCATTCTTATTACCTATGAATAAGACAGCAACTTGAACTACATATCTAGCTGATCAAAAAGGTGGATGAATGACCTCGGCTTGGATGGTGCACTGAAGCACCAACCATGGTGAAGATTTCCATAGTATCTGTTCAAACATTAGTAAAAATGTATAGTATAGGTGCTTTTCCATGTGAAATATCATTGTTTGTCATTTGCAAACATCAAAGAGCTAATAAAATGCTGATTTTCCTGTTATTAGTTAATTTAGTCTATTTTCAATAATGACACGAGTAGGTTTTGGTTGTAGATGTATGTTGTAGGTGTATTTTTGGTAAGTTTAGGTTAGGTTCTGTTAGTTTAGGCTTGGTTTGGTTAGGCTATGTTTTGTCCGAGCTGTTGGTGCCACCGTGACGTAATTCACGTTGTCATTCTTTTCATCATAGCACCCGTTAGTGTAAAAATCATCATTGCATGTTAAGATCGGTCAATTTTTTTCATCACTGACTGGTAAAAAACAAAACTTTTTTCATCTGCACAGGAAACGGTGAAGTAAAAATTTTACACTGTTTATAACACTTCCCTGCTTTTGTGTCGGGCAGCGGGCATTGCTTTGGTGATAATGAAGTCTTGGAGCAGCTGTTTACACACATCTTTTGTTTAAATTGGGTACATTAATTTCTTCAGGTTCCTGTATCTGACAAACTTGTGAAAAACTCCATTAGCTGGTCCCCTTTGATGTATGTATGCTCTTTGAGTCTTGTCTGTTGGTTACGGAGCGAGCGAAGCGAGCGGAGTCTCATACTGAATTAAGGGAAAATCCTGAGTATGAGCGGCCGGCCATGGGGACGCTCTTCAAAAGCTAATATCTTAGGAACGGGACATCCGATTGACAATTAGGCGCACGTGTTGCTGGAGTGTCCGTGCTTTTACGGCCTCCGGCTCCGTGCGCGGGGAAACATCGTCGGCGCGGCCCACGATGTCGAACGCGACGACATGGTGGCGATCTTGGTCGCCGGCTACGAGGCCCACAAGAGCCTTGTTTTGGCTACGGCGGCAGCTTTGGGGCTCACCGCGCCCCCGCCCCGGTCCAAGCCGCTACCAGATGGAGACGACTGGGACATATGGGTCCCGGCGGGCCGCTTCTGCTCCAGTGCGCGCGCGGAGCTCACGGCGCCCCCGCCCCGGTCCGAGCTGCTACCAGGGAGAAGGCTGTTACACTTATCAGCGCTGGTCGGGCCACTGGGGATGATCGGGGCAGCATCTCCACCGGATTGAAAAAAGGCCAACGTCCGAGTGCGCCCAGTGCAGTCAGCAGTGACACCGAATGTCCAACAGGCCGCTGCCTGGTCTGCGGCGAAGCAGCAGACAATTAGGCGCACGTGTTGCTGGAGTGTCCGTGCTTTTACGGCCTCCGGCTCCGTGCGCGGGGAAACATCGTCGGCGCGGCCCACGATGTCGAACGCGACGACATGGTGGCGATCTTGGTCGCCGGCTACGAGGCCCACAAGAGCCTTGTTTTGGCTACGGCGGCAGCTTTGGGGACACCACAACAGCTGACGGCGGCCGCGGCCCCAGAGATGCGCACCTGCGGGCAGGGCGGCCGCTGATCTACATCTCAGCTGATTATACTGAACAGGTGGGTACTAGGTGTGTGTGTGTAGGGGGGGGGGGTACCGATGGAAGCTATGTACGTCATGGTCGCTCTGATATGGCTGTTGAACTGGCTTGGCTGATAGTGCATCTGCAGGGTCAGCGGGGAATTGGTCTCCCGAGCCTCGTATAGCAGTTGTGCGGCAATTATGTGCCGTACCATGAACCGCCAACGACGTGTTCTTGGTAATTTGTGATACTTTATTGTGTCTCGTACTACTAGCTTGGCCTTTTTCCGTGTCCGTGCTGTCAGTAATTATCTTTCCTAATATCAGCTACCTTTTGCATTAGCTCCTGTGGTAACTTACTCTCTGACATTCCCTTTTCGGCCTGTCGAGTAACCGCCTATGCGTTGAAAGCTCGGTGTTCGCCCAGCCCTCTCCCCGTGTTTGTTCGGTGTTTGACCCGGCCCCCTCCATCGTGTCAGGTCGGTATTAGACCTAACTACTCCCACGTGCCAGCTCGGTGTTCGATCTAACCTCTCTTCTGTGTCAGCCTGATGTCTTACCCAGACCCCTCCCCGTGTCAGATCGGTATTTGACCCAGCCCCCACCCCTTGTCAGCTCGGTGTTCGACCCAGCCGTTCCTCCTGTGTCAGCTCAGTGTTTGACCCATTATCCTCTCTCTTGCCAGATCGGTATTAAACCTAACTACTCCCCGTGTCAGCCTGTATTAACCCAGCCCCACCCCTGTGTGATGCCAGACGGAGGAGACTGAGGCGCTGGACAACGAGTCTGTCTCTGGCCGTACTGAAGACGCTGCATCGGAAGACCGTCAGTTCTGGTTGGGAATCTGGCTGCTCTGACTCCGTCCAGCTGGCCGACGAGTGCGTGCCAAGACAGCCGCCGCCGCCGCCGCGCGCGCGCCAAGACGGCCGTCTACCGGCGCCGATGCCGCCACGCGCACGCTAGACGCCCGTCCACTGGTGCCACCGCCCCACGCGCGCGCACAGTCGGCAGCCGCCGCGTGTGCGTGCCCGCCCAGAATATGCGCTCTGCCGCCGTTGACTGCGGCTCGAGATTCATGTTCAAGGTTTAGGCATACACTCATGTTAATTGTCTACATTCATGAAGGTGCGTGGTGACAAAGATGCCTCGTCTGTGGCAGCGGATTTGCTTGTTCCGCCTCAACATGTGCAAAGTTGTTATGTAAACTGATGCGCTCGGCATTCGCCGTCCGCTCGCGCTGGTGGCGCGCGAACGAATGACCTGGCCCTGTTCATGGCTCATGCGGACCTGACGAGCGGCGGTATGACGCAATCACATAGACGGATTACCTTTCACCGCGAAGAAAATCATTATCAGCTGGCTTAAAATTATGCAATTGTTTGCCCTCAGTTCGCCAGGTAATATCATTCTTTGATCATTCATGCTGACTTGCGAGGCTGATATTTGATAATATATAGTGTGAAGCGTTCCATTTTTTTCTTATTTCAAAACTCATCTGTGTATCTCGCAACAATAATCAACCGAGTCTTTTCTGTTCTGCAGAATTTGGAAGCTGAGCGAGACTTAAGCAATACATTTGAATAATTCGAACAGTCGATAGTAAGTGTATTCATGCCCATGTGATATGACCTCATTTAACTCTTTAGCAGCTACTTTCTTGCTCTTTGACGGGGTTATCGGTGCCGACAATTCACGCTTCACTCGAGTTCATCATTCCGAACAATCATCAGATCTCCACACATTTTTATATAAAATTTGCACACACATTTTAGTGTTTATATGTTTGTGTATAGTGTGTAGGGAGGGGGAGGGGCTCTAAATAGCCCTCCTCCCTGTCAGGCGCGGTTTAACTAACGCTCGCCGGCCGAATGGTAGGGGGGGGGGGAGCGCCGCGCCTTTTATATTTTTTTTTTTACGATAGCTCGGGACACGCTGGAGATAGAGAGCTGGACCTTAGCATACCTGACATTTGATTCAACCCGAATCTTGTGACATCATCCGCATTTTCAGGTCAGGTCAAGTCAATGACCTACGACATAAGTGAGCATCTGCACGGTCCTAAAATGTCGCAACTTCGCAACGATCTCAGTGCCAGAGGAGCTTTCAAAGGGAGATGAAACTTACAGTGCCTAATGGCTAATATCATCTAGAGGCCTCACACCTTGTACATCTCGGATTTTTCCTAAAGGTCACATGAGTTCAGGTTATTTATTAGGGCCGAAAAGGTGAGGGGGTCGTACCAACGATATGGGCGAGGGTTAAATTACGCGCATGACATACAATCTAATGGCGATAAAACACGATTAAAGGTGATACTAGAACGGGTTCATGCTTTCGAATCGAGTAAGCGAATAAAACCGTGCTTACATGGACTGTGTTAAGCTCCGCCCACAAGTCCATGGATATATGAAAATAACTCATAGAGAAATTAGGCTCCGCCCACTGTCCATGCAAACACCCTTATCACATCTTTTTTTGGTCCATGTATGTCGGTCGAATTCTCTACCCTTAAACACGTCAATTTCGGCACAGAATCGGGCTAGTAACAAGCGGGCAACTTCGCTTGTTGTCATGTCAAGAGGGCATCGTCGAACATTCAACGGCAACGGCGTGACACCGAAAAACGTGGACGTCCCTGTAAACACGGACTTTACTTCCGTCCATGCATATACGAATTTCGAGAATGGGTGTCGGCATCAAACTTCCCACATTTCGCTGAGCCGGTCGCCCGGAGACATGACGCCTTCGGTGGCCGGTAATTCGATTTGGGTCGGCCCGGCTGCTGCGCGGAGGATGTGACCTGCCATCGTCTCTGGGTACATGTCGATGACGAGGTGGTGTGGGCGGCACAGGCCGTAGGGGGGGGGGGGGGCACGTACCGATCAACCTCCCGGGGCCGGACACTGAACTGAACTCACGCCTCCCTCAAACCAGGGCAGGACCGAGCGATGACAGGTCCGGCCACTTTTGGCACTCACGAAGCCGGGGAACCCCGCTGTGAAATCCAGAATCCCGCTGTGAAATCCGGTGAGACCATCGTCGCCCTCCGGCTGTGTTCGCAGTCATGCCGAAGCCTCTCTGCAGATGCAGGAATAGCTGTATAACGATGGCACGGAAGACGTCGAGCGTCGTCTTGACTCGCCGTGCGGCGTGACCGGTCCCGAGGCGCCGCGGAGACATGCCTATTTGATGAGGCTGGGCAGCGCGCGTCCGTTCTGCAGTTGCGTGACGGACGTATCACACGCCCGGAGGACCCTGCTACCGCGGTGGGGCGCACGCCGGGGTCTGTTCGCTTGCCGCCGGCGCAGCGGTCTTAACCCGCGCCCCGTAGGGGGGGGGGGGCCGAAACGGCCCCCCCCTGTCCTTTTCGGTCGATATCTCCTAAACGGCTGGAGATATCGCCACCAAACTTTCAGGACCCCTCCGGGTATCAATTTTACACATTGTGACCAAAAATTTTTCCAGAGGCTATGATAGGTTGGCCACAAATGACGTCAGAGTGACGTCATGTTCTGTCATTTTCGACCGAAAAAAGACCTTCGCGAGAAGACCTGTCAGGACTACAGCTTTGAAGATACAGAAAAATGATCAAGACATAAAAGGTGTAGAATTGACAGGGCTACAAAACTGCTATCTCGAATTTTTGAAATTTCTGAGTTTTGACCCCCAAAAATCAAAAAACATTTTTTTGGATATATTCGCCAAAAATCCAAAAAGTTTTTTGAGTTTCGAAAAAACCGGAATATATGTGATAGTGCCTACCGTCTTCTATCTACATACCAAATTTCAGATCGATACCTCGTTTTTTGGCCAAGTTATAGCGAAAAAACTGTTCAAAAATGATGACGTCAAATTTTCAAACTCAATTTTTGGCAATTCTAGAACTCGTAGAGCAAAACGAAGACCACCATTAGACTCCCCGTGACGAGCTGCATCGAATCGATACCCATTTTATGCAAAAATATCAACTTTGAAATTTGACCTAATTTGACCTGACCTTGACCTGACCTTCACCAAAACGTGACCTAGGCTGGCCCCAAAGGCTGCCTAACCCACATAATCGCATTTGTCATGTAAAATGGACCATAAAACATGTATCACACGACACATTCATATTGTGACCCCCGGTGACCTGACCTCGCTGTGACCTGACCTGGTATCAGTGACCTCAGATAGCAAAGTATGTGTTTGACGAACAATGTACCATCGATGGTTTTCAATAAATTACCAATTTACTCGCTTTCACAGCACATTTCTTGAATTGCCTGTGAACGGTGAAAATCTGACCTTTGACCTGACCTGTGACGTCATCGGTTTGACCTAGGTCAATGAAATTTGGTCACAAGGTAGTTCCCGGGTGGGGCTATCGAACGCCGTTTGAATTTTGAAAATCGGCCGGTAACTTTCCGAGATCTTAGGGGGGGGGCCGAAACGGCCCCCCCCCCCCTACGGGTGGTAGGGTCCGCCGGTAGCCCAACGGGGCGCGGGTTAACTCGGAAGCGACCATCTTGCGTGTGAGGACACAACCAGAGGCGTGAAACATTCATAGACAATTTATTCCGTTATTGGCTTATGATGTCTGTGTGAAAATTCCAGGGATGCCGCTGCGTCGAAGGGTAGTGTGGCCATCGAGTGGAATGATTTTTGTGCATTGCTGCCTCTGCACTGGTGCCTCAGTTCGGAGGGAAAACGACTAGTTGTCGGGTTAAATTTGTGCCTTAGCTTTGTGTTGATGTTGTGAGTTGGACCGTATTAGTAATAAAATAACCTCGCGGGTCGGTCTCCTAGGTGACCGTCTTCAGAGCCAGCATTTCCTCGAGTGGACAGACAGGCCTTCTTTCAGCAGTATCACTCGAGGAGCATAGTGGTGTCGCACTACGGACCGAGTTAAACACAATCTGCGGCGCCCAGTGCGGGTTGTTGTTGGACAGCAGCCAGCCAGACCGGCCTGCTCCCAGCACTCAGTCCTGATTGGTAGCATCGGCCGCCATGTAAAACAATGCCGCGGATTGCGGAACGCCGCACTCGGGGTCGATAAATTAACACAAGAGCCGCCACTCGCCAGAGCCTTTCGGCAGCGATGAACAGAGCCGTAGCGGCGCGACGTGCGAGCAGCGACTGGGGCGGCTTCCATCGCGGAGCCGGTGATCAGGTTTCGCCACCTGTTGGTGGGTATGCCGCTCCAGATCGACCGATCGCCTCCCACCCCTCACTCCGCCCCCCGCGCTGAGCCGCGGCGACAGCGTGGCTGCGATTAATTGGACCCCGGACCGCCTAATTGGGCGGCGGGGCAGCGCGCAGACGGCCGACCGGCGCGGTCCGGGACTCTGATTGGGTCGGCACGGTTCCCTCCCGCCGCGCCGCCGCGGCGACGGCCGTGGCCACGATTTCAGACTCGTTGGGCAGTTTGTACAATAATGATACTAATTAGGAATTAGATGAATTCCAAACGATATCGCTGCTGGATCTTTTAATTCAAATGAACTCATTTTTGCCACATCCAATTCTTGAAATTCCGAGATACTGAAAACTAAACCCGATTCTGAAGAAGCCACTTTGTCGTTTTTTTTTACACAGCAGACATATATCGGCACGGGCATAATTACACACCTTTTACTGACGAGGGATGTCTAAGTGTACATAATGCTCTTTTGCCCTTCGACTCATGCAGTGAACCAGAGGTCTATGAGTGAACTCAAGATTTTTGTCTGCAAGGGATGCAAAACCGAATGGTGAAATTAGGAAAAAGGCGTTCTGTTGCCTCGGCTGTAGTAGCTTTTGCTTTTTTCAACAAGTCTTGATAAAAGCCCGTCCCAATAAACGAAGGCTGGAGGTCCCTCATGCCCGCCGTCGACCGCCGCTTGTCGTCCACTGCCCACCGCCCACCGCCCACCCTCCACCGTCCACCGCCCACCGTCTGCCGCCCACCGCCCACCGCCCACCCACCGCCTGCCGTGCCAGCCGCCGCCATACTAATTAGTAAATGAAGGCGGGCCACGCACAACACTGATTTATCGAAATTAGGGAGTTGGAGGGGGGGGGGGGCAATACACGAACTTCCGTTTCCGTAAACGCCGTGAGGGAAGCGAAAAGTAAGGTAAGTACCCGCACTGGAATATTTACAAAGGTTTATTGTAGGCTAGGCGGAAGACGCGAACAATTAACTGGCTTCTGTATGCATATCCACCAGGTAATGGACAGGGAAGGTTATTTGTTACTGACTGCACAAAAGTGCGTAATGCACCTAAAGAGGTGATGTATCGTCCACACACATTACACAGTCCTACGCTGGAGCGGTAGGCAAACTAATGTATCGCCTTTTTCCCACGGGCTTGACTCGAAGTGGCATTTCGCGTCGTCAGTGAACACACGTGTTCCTAGTAAGTACATGCCTACTTTTGTTTGTTCTGCGCACCCTTGATGCAGAATATTTTTGCTTTTTTGGTTACACGTATCGAATCGATTCAATGCGTACTGCATTTCTTATGAGGTCCACAATAATGGTGTAGCGCCAAAAATTATAAATTGCCCACTGAGTAAAAATTAAAAAAAGAACAGAAAAACAATTTACAGTGACATTGATCTCT